TTTAACGGTAGATCTATGCAGTTTAATTGCTAAAATAATGCAAGTTCAATTACTTTTATTGTTATTTATTTATTTATTTACTATTTAAACGGGTTCATAAAGGAGAAAATAAAATTATAATAATAGATAAATATTATTTATATTATTATTACTATTATTACTTTTTTTATTTTTATTGTTAAAATTATTTTTTTCTTCACTTTCTTTTATTATTATGTTATCTCAATATTAGAGGACAGTTGGACAAAATAGAATAACTTTTTGTAACTGTCAATTCCCAGTAGAAATTAAAAAAAATAATTAAAATCACCCTATGAATAAATTATTAGTTGAACACTTTATAATAAAAAGAATAGTATTATTATTCTTTATTATTCAGTTATTAATTGACGAGAAAGAAAATTTTTACAACAAGTGATACGTTATTTTTTTTGAAAAAGTACAAGTTTTGCCCCATCAATGGGGTAGAACGTAATATTTTTAGAAAAATACACACAATAATAATGCAAAATTAGTTTGAATTGAATTATAATCAAAATTAAAATAATTTCGTTAAAGTTGAATCTGAAAGTACATAAATTAACTGAAAATAACAATTTTTTTTATTAACCGATTACTTGCCTATTATGAAATAAATTAAATTTAATTTAAATTAATTTTAATTAATTATGTAATTAAATTTTAATTTTAATTTTAAAAAATTTGTAGTTTTTAAGTACCGTAAGCTTTCGCAATAGATACCGGAAGTTTTTTCTTTACATTATACATATAATTATTATATCGATAGAACAATGAATATTACTAAAGGACATTGACATTGGAGAATTTTTAATTCAAGTTTATGACACGTGATGACAATATCGAATTTCTAATGTACATGATTTAATGTTGAAAATTTGTCTCCCTCTCTCTTTTCTTTTGTTGCATTTGACACGGTGAAAAAGTGAACGCCAATGAACCTGTCATCGGTAAATACATCAAGGACTAATACACGTTACGTGAACACACGGACTTTCAAAATTACTTCCTCTGTGAATATACAATGACCATACATGATTTGGTAAATGACGAAGCAAGCTGTAAATTTTAAATGTATTTATTTGCAAAAAAAAAGGAGAAGAAGTAGAAATTAGAAAAAACACATTTTTCTTTCTTTCAATGTGCGAAAAAAAGAAAACTTCTTTTTACGGTGTCTTAAATAATCAGGGGAATCACTGAATGATCCTTTTTACACTTTTTTTTTAAATTTCCCGCGCCATTTGAAAATATTTTTTTTTAATTGAAAATTTATTGTAATTTTAATTTTTATTTTGAAATTAGTAATAAAGTTATGAACATAAATATTTTTTCTTTGTATTTTAGATTTTAATTATAAAATAGACGCGTTCTGAAGAAAGGTACCTAAGAAGCAGCAAATTTGTAGGTTGTGTTTGTCATTTTGGAAATCAAAATACATAAAGGGGATCAACTTTTAAAATAAAACACTGATGTTTAAGTCTGTATTACATCCAAAATAATTAATAAAAACTGATTTTAGTTTTAAATAAAGCACAGAAACTTTTAATTAAGGTAAAAATAAAACCAGCATAACCTTAAAATGATTTGCTTCTTAGGTACCTTTCTTCAGTGTGCACAAAATATGATAAACAAGTAAAAAAAGAAGAAATAGAACAAAAGAATCAAAAAAAGGAAAAATTGAAAAAATAGATTTTCAGTTAATTTAATAATATTTATTTATAATAGAAATGAAGAAAGAAAAGAAAGAAATGTAAAATATAAATGAATAGGTAAATGAAGAAGAAACAGAAAAGAAGAAATGAAAAAATATTTTGAGTCACTTCCATTACATTTATTTATTTTAAATTATTTTCTTCCTTTTTTAAAAATTCTTTAAAAATAACCATCTAAATTAAAAAGCTTAACAAAAGAAAAAAAGAAAAGAAAGATAAAAAGAATCAGAAAAAACATAATGAAGAAGGAAAAAAAAATCTAGAAATAAAAGAAATATATTTTCAGGCAGTTGAATTATATTTATTTTAAATTATATAAAGTATTTTGTTCATTTTTTAAAAATATTCTTTGAAAATAACAAAAGAAATTAAAAGGAAGAAATCAATAAAAAGAAGAAATAAGAAAAAGGTTTTCAGTCATTTTAATTATTTATTTTTAAATTATTTTCTTACTTTATTTAAAATACTTTACCTATACAATTTTTTTACTATACCGATTTATATATTAAATTAAAAATTAAAAAAAAATTTAATTATTAATTTAATTTTTAAATTAAAGAAAATGTAAATTAATTAAAAAAAAATTAAATATCAAAATTACTATCACTTTAGATATATGTATATAAATTTTCTCTCGGTTTTGTAAAATGATTCCAGGATTTGCACAACTGTCTGTTCTTAATAAAATATAGAATTACAATCGGGTTGATTATGTACTTGTACACGCGGGTGTAAAAAACTTCGTGATTAATAGGTGATTTTATTGTTATGTTTACGAAAAAAAAGTAAAATAAATTGATATTGGACTTCTTAAATCTAAGAGAATTTTACACTGTATGGAATATAATTTTCTTAAACAAATCGTGACTTTAATGTCTAAATAAAATAAAAAAATTTATATATAATCTCTGAATGAAAATTATTTGCAAAAGTTATTGAAAAAATATAAAGATATATACGTCTGATGAGTGAAATAAATTTTTTATACAATTAGAAATGAAGAGAAAATACATTGCGAATAAATACTTCTTTTTTAAATAATCAACACTTTAATAATATAATCGTCGTACGGGAAGATAAAATTAAAAAATATTTTCACGATTTAATTTATATAACCTTACACATTTCTTTACTTAAAAAATTGTTTATAATTAGTTATTAATTATTAACTTGCAATAATTAACATTAATAACAATTATAGCAAAAAAAAAATATTAATGTAAAAATAAAATTGTTTTAAATTTGTTTTTTTTTATTAAAAAAATATATATCTGTAAATAAATAAATAAACAAATTTAATATTATTGAATTTATCACTTGGTGAAATTATATTAATATATATAAGAAGTTATCAATCCTCCAAGTCAATCAATAAAAAAAGGAAAAAGAAAAAATCTTTTTTTAACGTTTCGACAGCACAGCTGTCCTTTTCAGAAACGTAAAAAAAATTATTAAAAAAATTATTTATAATGACATGGTACGAGCATTATCACTCTTCGAAGAGTGATAATGCTCGTACCATGTCATGTCATTATAAATAATTTTTTTAATAATTTTTTTACGTTTCTGAAGAGGACAGCCGTGCTGTCGAAACGTTAAAAAAAGATTTTTTCTTTTTCCTTTTTTTATTGATTGACTTGGAGGATTGATAACTTCTTATATATATTAAATAAACAAATTATTGTTTCTACCTACTATTGATATTTTTATTATTAATATTATATTAGTATTATATTAATATATTATATTAATATTATTTAGTGCAAATATTAAAATTATTGATGAACCAAAATATTAAACATTTGTATCGATAAAGACATGAAAATGAAATAAAATTATAATTACAAGAAAAATTGACTTCTAGTATAAGAATGTTGTTTTATAATCTTCTCGAAACTATGTACAATCTAACGTACCTATAGGTATATATTCAAGGCTTAAATCAAATATATCTGATTATACTTGTACCGTTTCAGACTGTAATTAAACCGTTTATTTCATTTGCATTCATATGTTCACTTATACAAAAATATCACCTTATATAGCCGATCCATTTTTTAATTTTATTCGTACATTTCTGTTTTGCATTTTTACATTACATAAAAAAATAGAATAAAGAAAAAGGCTGAAAAAATTGTTTATTAATAAAAAAGTTTACGCAATTTAAAAAATAAAAATACAAAAATAGTTAGCGATTGATTTCAATTTTTTACTTTGCATTTGCTTCCATATTTTTCAATTTTTTAAAACATTTTTATTTAATTTTTAATCTATAATTAATTTAAATTAATTAATTGTTTAATTATTTAATTTATTATTTAATATTTAAATTATTTAATTGACTTGATTGGAAAAGAATAAGCGATGAGGAAAATGATTAGAAAAAATTTCTTTAAAATAGATAGAAAAAGGTAGAAAGGTAAATAATTAAAGGAAGAGAAACAAAATATATAAAGAAGATAAATAAGAAAAAAGAAAAAATGAAGAAAAAAAATATGTAAAGAATGATGAAAAGAAAGAAGTAAATAAAGAAACAAACAAGCAAAGAAAAAATTAATTAATAAATGAAAAAAAGTAAAAACAAGTAAGAGAAGAGGAAAAGAAAATAATAAACAAAAAAATAAAACATATAAACAAGAAAAGAGAATAAATAAAAAAATAAAGAAAGAAGAGTTTAAAAACACAAAAAAATAAAAGAAGAAAAAATGGAGGAACAAGAAAAAGAAGAAGAATAAATAAAAATAAAACCAAATAATAGAAACAGAAACAGAAAAAAATGAAGAAAAAGAGAGGAAAGAAATAACATATAATTATGACAAGTGAAAGAAGCAGAAATAAAAAGAAAATTAATTTAAAAAATGAAGTAAATAAAAAATATAGTTAAGTAAAAGAATAAGCTAAAAAACGAACAAGAAAGAAACAGAAGAAAAATATATGAATAAGGAAAAGAAGAAACAGGTAAAAAATAAACGAGAAGAAGAAAAAAAATAATAATAATAATAATAAAAAATAAAAAGAAAAAGAAGCTGAAAAAATTAACGATAAAGAAAGTGAAGGAAAAAATATGAATAAGGAAAAGAAGAAAGAGATAAAAGATAAAAAAGATGATGAAAAATAAAGAAAACAACAATATAGAAAAAGAAAGGAAGAAAAAGAAACTGAAAAAAATACAAAAAATATGAAAAAATAAAAAAGATGAATAAAAGCAAATAAAAACAAAAAGATTAAGTAAATCACATTCACAAAATTAATTTACATCCAAAGTCTCACCTGTCACAGCAAATTATTATACGTTTACTCAAATTACATATATGTAAAATACTTTTTAAAATTGCAGCACTTTTTCACGCTTAATGATTCACTTTGCACTTTAAAAATTCAACAATTAATCATAAATTTCACTCGAGAATACTTTGCATATTAGTTATTGCGTACTTATTATTTTCAAATAATCAATATTTAACAATTGACGTAGAAGATGATAAACTAAAGAATTTAATTAAATCAAAAAAAAAAATTCTATAATAAAATAAATTCTTTACACTATTTTGTGTATTTCAAATATATTCTGTACTTTATTTATTCTAATTTTATTTAAAATTATAATTAAACAGGTAAATTCGAAATTTTTCTAAAATATACTCCTGGTATTTTTTATTAATACATTTCCCATTAGAAAAATATAATTCAAATTTCTATATTATTAATTTTAATTCAATTTTTTTTTCTCAGCTTTTCTTATTAAAAATATTTCTTACATAAAAAAAAATTAAAATAAGTGATAAAATTTTATTTTCTTGTATTTTAAAATTATTATGTTTTTTTTCTTTTTTTGTAATTTTGGATCTGTGGCCGAAAAAAAATTGGCACAAGTATCCTTACAGAGCGATGTCAAACGCGCTACTGCTTCATACCGATTGTAACAAGTTGGTCGGTATGAAAACTCATTTTCTAATAAGCCAATGAAATTTAAGCGCAGTCATCTTCGCCGATTTGCTTGTTCTGGAACAGATACCCACGCGTAACAAATCGGCACGAATAATGTCAGAGGATCACTTGCTCTTAAAAAAAAAAAAGAAAAAAATCTCTCTCTCTCTATAACCATACAACGGAAGTGCTGGCAACACAATTATTACACTTCATTTTATTGCAAAAATTACAGTATTGTTACTTCACAAGTTTCGCGAAATGTCAATTAACTTTTCAAAAATGTGTCACTCGTTCACAGCAAACTATGTATTTTCAAAAAAAAAAAAACTCCATTTAAACAATTTTAATTTTAGTCTTAAAAATTAAATTAATGCTTCGACTTTAATTGTTTCTCTTTTTTCTTCAAAATTGTCAATTTTATTATTTTTTCCATTATTTTAAAGTTTTTGTTAATAATTAAGCAAAAAAAGAAAAAAAAAACAGAAAAAATTATTTTTTATTTCTGACTATTTTTTAAGTTAATTTATATTATTTTAAAAATAATTTACTATCTATTTTGAAAATTAAGAGTTTTATTTAAAAATAATTTATTCCTTGTCAATGTAAATTTAATTTTTGAAAAACTAGGTTTCGCAATATGCAAAATTGCAAGAGAAAAATTCTAAAAAGGTAATTTAAAAAAAAGAATTCAATTAAAGTAGAGACGAAAAATGATTTTAATTTTAAATTAATTTTGATTTATTTAAATTAAAATTTAATTTATATTTAAATTAAAATTTATTTTAATTTAATTTAACTTGTTAAAAAGAAATTATTTCCGTTTAATTTATGACAATAGAAATCGAAGAAAATTGCGATAGTGACAACAAGAAAATGTAGGACTAGGATCTGCTTTTTTTTATTAAAAGGCGTCAGAATTATTACGCTTCAAGTGTAAAATACGCCATAAAATTCTTACACAATGTGGAAATAAAAGTTTCAATGCGCGGTAATTTTTTTCAAATATTTCACGTGCGCCTTCATTTTTCAAGTTCTTTAGGTCATTGTAATGAATTAAATTTACACCGTGACACTTTTTCAAAAAGATTTTATAGTTTTTCTTTAACATTTCTCTTTTTTTTGCAATAAAATTATTTTGCAAAAAAAAAAGAAAAATGTTAAACAATTTTATAAAATATTGATTTAAAAAGTAATAAAAGATTTTTAAAAAGTTATACTTTGATAATTAGTAAAAAAAAATTATATCGTACTTTGTCTGTGATTTACAGCAGCATTTTCCTAATCAATTCGGCTCCTTTCTTCAAGATTCGCTAAGGATCTTGAAAAAATACTGCACCTAGAAAATGATAAGAAATTAGTTTTTTTCATTTTTTTTCTTGAAAAATTAAAATTAGATAGTAAACAATTATTAAAAATCTGTTTCTTCCACTTTTTAACTTGAAAATTAAAAGTTGATTGTAAAGAAATTAAGTTAAGAAGTTAATTTAATTCAATAAATTAAATTAATAAATTAAAATTATATAATTATAAAAAGAAATTTTAATATTTTTAAAATTTTTCGATTATAAATTTTTCGATCATAAAAACTGAAATCCTTCTTTACCTCTAAAATTCCATCTTCTGGTAAATCTGAGCAATGAACGGCGTTTTGAACCTTTGTTTTTCCATATTTGGCACGTAATGTGTCGGGTCTGACGTGTTTAGCGATTTCCTGAAACAAAAGTGAGGCAAAATTTTTATTACATAAGCTTTATGACGCGAGAGATAAAAAAACGTCTTCTCCATAAAATTCTTTTATGGAGAGATTTAAAAAATTGTTTTTTAAATAAAATTATAAATAACGTGCGAAAAAACAAATTGAAAAAATAACAAATTCTGACAGAAACAAATTTTGTTAAATTCACACTAAATAAAAATAATGAATACGTATTTAAATAAATAAGAAATAAATAATTAAAGGGAGATTTTAATTATAAAAATTTATCTCACTGGATCCATGGGACCGCAGAATTTTCTGAATTCCACTGGAACATTAACACTCTCGTCTTTACGTTTTATCTCCATTGCAATGCAAGGTCCCGATTGTAATTCCGCAACCATTGCCTGCCAATAAGATAATAATATACATACGATTAAAATAAGATAAAATAAGATTTATAAACGAGTCGATGATTTTTTTCTCTTTTTTTTGTTATTATTATTATAATATTATTTTTATACCCCATAATCAGGAAGAACTCCTTTATAAACTTCAAGAAACTCTTCGACATTCACTGGATCCACGTGAAAAAGTTGCATCGCGGTGATAAGAAATCCTTTCTTTTGTATATCGTCAATTATATCGCCTGATTTTAATAAACAAAGGAAATTAAATGAAAAATTTAATTAATTAAAAATAAATTAAATAATTAAAATAAAAATTTAATTAAAAACTATTTCCTACAAGAATTCTGAAAGATATTCTATGTATAAATTTTATAACAAATTTCTTTTTCAAACTCTAATGGATAGAAATTTTTATTTTATTTTCTTGCATTAAAATTAAATATGTTTATTAGACAGAATATTTATATTTAGTAGAGTTGTGCAAAAAGCTCGAGGCTCGAGGCTCGAGCGAGCTTTTTCGAGCTTTTCATTTTTCGGGCCGAGCCGAGCCGAGCCTAATCAGTTCGAGCTCGAGCCGAGTTCGAGCCGAGCCGAGCTGTGTAAAAAGCTCGAATAGTTTCGAGTACTCGAGTTAATTCGAGTACTCGAATTTTTCGAGCACTCGAGGGAATTCGAGTACTCGAATTTTTTCGAGCTCTGAGTAAATTCGAGTTCTAGAGAAAATTCATAGAATTTTCGCATTTATTATATTTAGCAAATAGAAATATTGATTCAGTAATTCAAAAAAATTCGAAATTTTTTACTTATTAATAGTTTTTTTAGTAAGTCAAAAGCTCGAATCCATTCGAGTACTCGAAAAATTCGAGTACTCGAATTCACTCGAGTGCTCGAATTTAATCGAGTACTCGAATTTACCCGAGTACTCGAATTTTTCGAGTACTCGAAGTCACTCGAGTACTCGAAAATTTCGAGTACTCGATACATCGAGCCGGCTCGGGCTCGGCTCGGCTCGGCCCGAAAAAATTTCGGCTCGGCTCGGCTCGACTTTTCGAGCTTTTTGCACATCTCTAATATTTAGAAATAAATTTTATTACATACAAATTAATATTTTATTTAGATAGATTAGTGGATAATTAATTAGATAGTCAGTCTAAAATTTTAGTTTAAATTGCATTATTTTTATGTATATTAATTTAAATTTTTCATCAATTCGTCAACAATTGATTGCTGATAACAAAACAGTCAAATTTTGAATTCAACTTTCGGAATATTATTTACTTTTAAGTACTAAAAAAGGGCCATTTTAGTGTCTGTACATTGAATAAATAAATAAATAAATATTTAATTAAAATTAGAAATTTGAATATTCCATATTCTTTTTTACTTACCAGCAAGTTTCGATGTCACAGCGTGAGGTTTAATAATGCAACAAGTACAATCTGTGATTGTTGCTGTATTTGGCAATTCTCGTTTTTCGCTCATTGGATCGGGAAAGAAAAATTTTACATCCTAAAATCAAATACTTAATTAAAATTGCAATATGTAGGGTGTCTACTATTTTCGTTCAACAAAATTCCCGGTTTTTCCCGGCTTTGTCCTAATTTTTCCCAGTTTTTGTTTCTCATCAAATTCAAAAGTTATATTTGATTTCGAACATAAATAAATCTACAAATGCCATCCAAAATATTTATTATAATTTTTATAAATAATTCAATCCTTTTGACGAGTTTCTTTAAATTTTTTTAAAATAATGTTTTTTAATAATTTTAATTAAAAATTTGGAAAATAATTGAATTAAACAAAGAATTTTTTTAATTTTTTAAAATAATCTTGTCTGTTCATAATTATAATTGAAAATTTGATTAATTCAATTTTATTAAAATGTATTGATACTAATTAAATTTCTGCAAAGAATTTTACTATTTTTAAATGTTTGCATAGAATTTTATTAAATTTTTTGAAAATAATTGAATTGTGAAGAACAATTTAATTATTTATAAAGATAATTGAAATTTTGAGAATTTAAAAAAAATTTTAAATATAATTGAATTTCTGCAAAGAAATTTATGGAAATTTATAAAAATAATTGAATTCTTGTGAAGAATTCTTTTTAAAAATAATATTCAAAAGAATCAAGTAAATCTGAAGAATTTTGCTATTTATGGAAATAATTGAATTCGTGAGAAGAATTTTTTTACAGTTTCTAGAAATAATTGAATTCTTTCGACGAATTTTAATAAAATTTTTAAGAATAATTACATTTTTCGAGGAATTCGATTAAAATTGTATTAAAAATAGAATGTAAAGAAATTTCAATTATTTAAAAAATTTTTAATTATTTGTTTATAAAAATTCAATTATCTTGAAACAATAGAATTTCAAAAATCTTATTTTTCAGAATTTTCAAAAAACTTTGCAAAAATTAAATTTTATTAACAAATTTTAAGTTAAATTAACTAATTTAACTTTTTTAAAATTAACTAATAAAAATGTTAATTATTAATCTTCGCACTAAAAAACATGAATACATTAGAATGTGACTCTTTATAAAATTCAATTATTTATGAATTATTAAATTAAAATACTTTGAAAATTCGATTTGTTAAAAAGTTTTTAATGAAATTCTTTAACAAATTTAATTATTTTCAATTGAATTTCACAAAATTTCTATTAATTCAATGATTTTGTTTAAATTTATTTACATGCTATATTTGAATCAGTGACTGATTTTTTACCATCAAATTAATTATTTTTAACTAAATCAAATTTAGAGATTATTATTTTTTTAATTTCTACCTGTTCTGCTGTTTCATTAGAAGAACCGTAAAATGCATTCTCGCCAGCTTCTTTTTCATAAAAAACTCTTAAAGTTGAAGAATCTTTTTCTCCGACTTCGGAAATTTCATTTGGTGCTATTTGCTCCAGCCATCGGGAAATACAATCCTGTCCTAAAAGTTCTAGAGCTAAAATTGGTCCCGAAGTTATGCGATTTAACATCAATCTGTGAAAGAAATATTAAAATATTTTTAATTTATGTAAGTAATTAGTAATTAGGAATTAATTAAATTAGTTTATTACAATAGATGAATTTTAGTACTTTTAAAGTCTTAATTATAAATAAAACATTGAGATTAACGATCACTCCGAGTCAAATGGGGAAAAAAATAGGTTTTAAAAATATAGAATAGTGATAATAATTCCTACGCTGAATTATCTCCCTTTTCCCTGAAAAAATCCATCGCATCTTCTCTTGATAAATGAACCATTTTTAAATTTCCGATTTTAAAATTTTCAGCTAATATTCGTTTTAACATTTCTCCAATTTTGTCGTGAAGATCCGGCATTATAATTCCAAGTGTCCTGAAATATACAAATGATAATTATTTTTAAAAACTAATTACTTTTATAATTATTTTTAATAATTTACTTATTTATTTGTTTATTTATTTAATGTTACAAACGAGCGAAAAACGAATTATTATTTTTATAATATCAATAGTTTTATTATGCAAAAAATCATTACTTTTGAATTTTCTGTGACACTCTTGTTTTCGTAGAAAAATCGGCAAAACTAATCAATTTCATACTTCGTGCAAAAATAGTGACAACTGCACCGACGTAAAAATTTGATTCATCAACTCCCTCGCATTTTGTTCTTCTTAAAAAGGTTTTCCTTGTTTTTACATCGAACTAAAAGTTTATATTTATACAATGCTTCAGTTTAATTGTTAACAAAACAATTGTTAACAAAAAAAAACCAGAACTTTTTTTTTATAAAATACTAGTAAATTGTAATATTATTATTATTATTATTATTATTATTATTATTATTATTATTATTATTATACGAACCAGTTCTACGGAATTATCTGTGAGATAATAATATAATAAAAATTTTCTAGTAATGCAAGCCATTTTATCGTGCCATTCCGCTTCAAAAACATATCTTTCAGAATCTGTTGACATTTTTATTACCAAGGAAATGAATTGCTGGAAAATAAATAGACCTGATGATTACTGCAGAAATTGTATTTTACAAAATAGCTCTAAAATAATTTTTAAAAAGACTTCTTCTTAATATCTCGTGACAAAACATGCAATTTATTTAGATAATTTAACGAAACACAACCAAATATACGTATTTAGTGTGACTTATTTATACTTTTAACTAATATTACAATTTTTTAAAAATTCTTCCCGATTTTAATATTCAGTACTTTTATATTTATAAATATATAATTAAGTCTTATTGAAATGTAATAAATTATAACGGACAAATTGCAGAAAATTATGCTATAATAAACAATATTGTACATTGTTTCATATGCAAACAAAAACAAAATTTGCAATATAAACATAACCTATAATAATAATCGGAACTGTCAAAAACACAATAAAAACAAAATTAGAACTTACCTAATAAATTTACAATGTATAAATTTATGTATCTTAAATATGAAGTCTAAAGATGTTTCTATTTTTATTTTGCAGAATAATTATTGAACAATTAAAAATAAAAAAAACAATAAAAAAGGTTAACTACTGTCCTGTGGTCCAGTTTGTAAACTACTTTGTTGCTATGGTTACGACTACGCTAGTCAATGACATCACTGACAGCTTCATAAATCCCAAACAAGAGGTAACACTTCCGGAAAAATTTTTGAATTCTAAATTATTTTTTAAATCCAGTTTTAACATCGAAAATCGATACTAATTAATTATTAATAATTAATTTATTGATATTTTGTTATATCTACATTTATTTATATTATTATTATATTATATTATTCCTACTTTAATTTCATTTTAAATCGAATTGAAATTTCCCGCTTTTCACTTGTGACAAATATCTTTTCACTTTTTTGAGTATAAATAAAAATTGGTTCTTATTATTTATTTATATTTTTATATTTATTTTATTTTAAATAGATTTACATTTATAAAGGAGGACTTGAAATGGATTTTTTAAGTTTTAGGTCAAATTCCCATGTGTTAGTGTCACATGTGATATAGCAGACAAAATTTTCTAACCTCAAAGACGTTTTAACAAGAGGCGAAAAGAGCCAAAAGTTAAATAGTGTAAATAGTGTTAATTTATTGATTGAAAAATATAAATAATAGAATAATTAATAAACACAAATTATACCAAAATGTCTGTACAACTCACTGGGAATGTAGGATCCGAAGAAATTAAAACAGTACGTTAATTAATCACTTTTCTAAATCGAATTAAATTCATGCTATTTGCACAAAAAATATTAAAATTAACATAATTATTTTTTATATTATATTTATAAACATTTAATGTTTATTTATAACTAAATTATGCACCTTTTAATTTTTATTTTCATCTACTTAAAATTTATACAAAATAAAACGTTTTTTTGTTAATACTGTGTATATTATTAAAAAGCAATGTTTATGTTTACAATCATAATTTTGACGAATTAAGTATTTTTCAAGTCGATGTAATTTAGAGCAAAACAATTGATTTATTAGAAGTGTTCAAAAATATTTTTTTTTACTATTAATCTAACGCTATTAATATTTCTTTTGCAGTTTCGAGAATTTCTGATGAACTACAATAAATTATCGGAAATTTGTTTTGTTGATTGTGTGAGTGATTTTACCAGTCGTGATATTAAGAAGAAAGAAGAAAAATGTGCTCTCAATTGTATGGAGAAATTCCTAAAAATGAATCAAAGAATTTCACAAAGGTTTCAAGAATTTCAAATGCTTGCTAATGAAAATATTCTAGCGGCCGAGAAAAAATTGGCTCAAAATAAATAAACTATTCTAAGTTGATTGAAGGTAATATGTAAAAGGCTGTTGTAAAAATGTATATTAAAAATTCTGATTTTATATTTCCTCTCATTTTAATCATTCATTTACTTATTCAATTATTTTAATTGCAGGAAATTATTAATATAGAAAATTGATTTAATTAAAAAAAATTCTAATATAGATTTCAGTTAGTTTCAATTTAGTTTATTTTAAATAAGTTTAATATTTAGTCATAAATTTATTCAGGGTGGTCACAAGTGGTTTATCAATTTCTGAATTTCCCTGACAATTTACTGACATTAAAATTATTTTCCCTGACAAAATTCTTTTTACAGGAAAATTCTTCTAGAATTCAATTTATTTTTTAAATAAAAACACTCAATTTTTTATAATAATTGTAACTAAATAAATAAATTTAAACTAAACTAAATAAATTTTCCTTAAGTTCTTAGAAGGTATAATATTTCCAAAAAATTATAAAGAATTTCTTACAATTAATTTTTGAAAAATATTTTTAAATAAGAAAGATAATAGTTAAAGATAATAGTTTTCAATTTTGAAAAATAATTTCCAAACAATTAAAATTTGGTAAAATCTTTTAAAAATAATTGAATTTTTGAAAAATATAAATAAAAATGATCAAATTTTTGAAGAATTTTAATTATAAACAGGACCATGATTTCTCAAAAAGTTTAATAACTCCAAAAAGATAATCTTGAAAAATTATTATAGAACAATTCTAATAATTAGTTTTCAAAAATATTTTGATGTAATTTTTCAAAAATAATTGAATTTCTTAAAAGAATTTTTGTATAATTTGAAAAAACTAATTAATTTTTTGATGAATTTTAATTAAAGATTTTGAACATGATTGTTTTCTTCAAAATGTTAAAAATAATTCTAAAATATTGTTATTTTTGTATTTGAATTTTTGGAAATATGTAATTGAAAATACTTAAAATATTGAATTTTAAAAAATTAGAAGTTAATTTTCATTAATTTTCATTTTTAAATTTACCTTTAAAGATTTTTCATCAAATTTTTTGATATTTTAATTAATTTCAAAATTTGCCATTAAAATCAGGGTTGCCACGAAACCTGAAATCCTGGAAAACCTGAAAATGTCAGGGAAATAAACCTTGAAAAAATCTGGAAAAGTCAGGGAATTTAGATCGGAATCCTGGAAAATTATTGTAGATGAACTTCAAAAGGTTTTAATTTGAAATTTTAGAAAATTTCAATTTTCAATGAATGAATTAAATAATAAAAATTTCACAGGAATTCTATTACCTACCTATATATAGAAATTTTTTTATAAATTTCTTCGAAATAATTCAATTATTCTCATGAAGAATAACATCTTTTACCAGGAATTCAATTATTTTCAAAAGTAATAAAATTCTTCGCAAAAATTCAATTATGGTCAAAAGTTTAAAAAAAATTCTCGTCAAAATTTCAATTTTCTTTATAAATAATAAAATTCTTCTTCAAAATTCAATTATTTTCAAAAATTTTAATAAAATTCTTGGCAAAATTTCAATTATTCTCAAAAACTTTTCTCAATTTAATCAATTTTTTACTGAGATTCAATTATTTTTACTACAATTTTAATCTAATTTCTCGAAAAATGAAATTATTTTTAAAAATTTTATTAAAATTCATCAAAAGAATTTTAATTATTTCAAAATTTGTTGATAGAATTCTTTATGAGAGTTAAATTTTAAGAAACATTCATTTATTCAATAAATTATTTATTTTTGTATTTAAATAATTGAATTCCCGTAGAATTTTCTAATAAACATTAATTTAAATATGAATTTCAGTTAAAATTTTAGATAATCATTGAATATTAAACTCTCTAAATTTCAATTAATAAAAATGATTTCTAATTTGAAATAGTGACTGACTTTTTGCTTTTGTTTGTTTGAATTTTTCATACTTTAAACAGAAAATTGTGTAGATTTAATTTTTTTTAAAAAGTTTAGTGGAACTTTTTCGAAATTATTTTAAGTTTTTATTTTCTAATATATATTTGATTGAAGAATTTTTATATAATCGAGATTTCGTAAAATTGAATTGTAAACAAAAGAATTTGGAAATTTTCCAAAAATTATTAAAAATAATTAATTTAAAGAAGAATTTTAGAAAATAATTTTGATGAAGTTACAGTAACAATATTCTTATAATATAAAATAATGATTTTATCAGTCGGTCATCTTTAATTATTATAAAACATGAAGTTATCGATTGCTCCGAGTCGAAGACTCGGAGTGATTGATTTCTTTATGTTTTATAACATTTTTTTCAAAAAGGTTTGAATTTTAAATTTTTGAAAATCTTAATTTTTGTATGGAAAAATGATAATGATTAAATATTTATTTAATGTTTGGAAGAAAAGTTGAAAAAGTCGCAATTTTTGAAAATAAGTCGAAAAGTCTCAATTTTCTTAATTTCCCAGCCAAAAAATTTTTTTCCTGACTTTACTGACATGTGGCCACCCTGTTTATTTAATTTGAAAAATTATTTAAATGATGAAAAAAAGGGAAACTCAATATTGTCTGAAACTAAACTATTTTATTGAAATAATACAATAGATATAATAAAAGTATTACGCTAATTTACAGGCCTGTTTTATATAGTTGAGTAGATATTTTCTTTTTCTAAAACTATATAGCTATTTATGATGAAATTTCCTCCAGTCTTCAGAAATTCTGTAATATATATTGTATATTTGCGTAACATTAGAATTAAATATTATTTTACAAATAAATCGCAATTTAAGAAATAGACAATTTTAAAAAAAAACCTTGAGAATATTTACAAAATATTCTCAATGTAACAAGTTTATTTAAAGAAAAATTATTTGCAAATTTCGTAAGTGCTGATAATTCGAATCACAATTTTTCAATTAAAATATTATCAACAAAACTTATTAATCTAATATAATAAATGGAACAATATAAAACATTTTTTATTTTAATAACACAGGCACACAAAAAAATAAAAAAGTCAAAACCCAGAGGTTACACCCGCCTATCCCCAAGTTTTTGGGGTCGCTGAAACCGAATATGACCATGAAAAAATTTTTTCATCGGCCATTTTCCCGCTACCACCCCCTTACACCTGCTCCCGGGGGTTGGAATTTCAGTTTAAAAGAAAGTGGAGTAGGGTGTCTATTCCTATGTTTTTTGGGTCGCTAAAACTAAAAAAGACTACCAAAAACAAATTCTTCCCTCCCTTAACCCCCTACAACCCCGAAGTGAGGGGTCGAAATTCGAATTTTCACGAAAAGTCGATTACGGTGTATAAACCTACGTTTTTTGGGTCGCTAAAACCAAAAAAGACCACCAAAATCGACCACCAAAATCAAATTCTTTCCACCCCCGACCCCCTACAATCCCCTGCAATAATTTTTTTCAAATAAAACGAACCGATTTTTGGGAAATTAAAAATTAAATATTAATTATCAAAAAATATTGCAGGGGGTTGTAGGGGGTCGAGGGTGGAAAGGATTTGATTTTGGTAGTCTTTCTTGGTTTCAGCGACCCAAAAAACGTAGGTTTAGACACCGTAATCGACTTTACGTGAAAATTCGAATTTCGACCCCCCACCTTTCGGGTGTTAAGGGGGTTGTAGGGGGTTAAGGAAGGGAAGAATTTGTTTTTGGTAGCCTTTTTTGGTTTTAGCGACCCAAAAAACATAGAAATAGACACCCTACTCTACTTTTTTTTAAACTGAAATTTCAACCCCCGGGAGCAGGTGTAAGGGGGTGGTAGCGGGAAAATGGCCGATGAAAAACATTTTTCATGGTCATATTCGGTTTCAGCGACCCCAAAAACTTGGGGATAGGGGGGTGTGACCTCTGGGTTTTGACTTTTTTATTTTTTTGTGTGCCTGTGTAATTTATAAGTTATTAATGTTAATCGTTTGTTGTGTTCGTTAAATTAGATATAAATCATTCGTTGTTATTTAACACGAAGCTATTGTATTTCATTTTTTTTTTTTACTAATTCTCAAAATATTTTTCTTGTACGATTATTTTAAACTATTTTTCGTTAAATATTTCTTTTAGAAAACATAGAATATACGTTTTTAGAAAATACGAGTTAAACTTTATATATTTCTTTTTCTCTATGTTGAAAATAACTGTGCCGTTTATTTTTCTTCTCTTTAATTAGACTTCGAGTGTCCGAAATTGTGAAATCTTAATTTTGTTTGACTGTCAATTCCCGAATTATGTGTGTTCCATTCAAATTGCGGGAGTTTACTTAAATTTTGCATTGAGCCAACAATTTGCGATATCATTGATGAATTGAAACTTGTGCCTGATATTTGTATTTCTTGATTTTGCATTGCTGAATCGGGATTCGGTGAATTTGGTGGTGTTTTTCTTAGGCGTTTATAATCTGAAAAACGATTCAGTGACACTTGATCGACGCATATTGCTTGTGTTGTCTGACGTGTTTTGTACAAAATTGGACAACTTAAATCGCCCTTGAGACTTAGACTGTAAAGATTTGCGAGACGACGTAATTTCTCACGTTCCGGCTGATGCATTGGATGTAATTTTAATTCACTTTGATTTGGATCCTGCAGGAAACGTGAGACTTTCTCATTTGCCGATGTGATTATTGAATAGCCAGGTTTATTGTCAACGTGTCGACGACCGGCGCGTATTTCACGTCCATTTATTCCATCGCGAATCCATTGAATTCTCTGTCGATAGCATTTTCGCGCTTCGTCAGTGAGATGCTCAGAGCTGCCGTGTAAAATTGCTTGAAGTGCCGAATCAGCTGCGACTTTATCTTCGCTTATTATACTGTCGGTGTCGTCCCACCAGCTCGATTCTCCGATCCAATCGGATTGCTCATCGTCACCTGGAATAACAAAATATTCTTTCTATTGCCGAAAAAGAAAATAATTTTTAATTCACAAATAGTAAATTTAATTTTACCTTCACGATCTTCATCGTTTGTTACGATTCCCGTTTCTGAATCGCTGGACGAAATACTTGAACTTGAAACTTGTGAACAATCCATTGCATCCTCGCTTTGAACTTTTCCTCTATTTTTTGACTTTGAAACGCGAGTCGGTTTCGGAGAACGCATCTCACAATCTATTGATCGCTCTCGGCATGATCTTTTCCTCTTTCCACACCTGTAAAATTTTAATTTAGAAACAAATCTTAGAAATTTAATTTTGTTTTTCCCTGATTTCCAGACAAAATTATGACTTTTTCCCTGACCCAAAAGAATATTCTGATTTACTCTAAAAATTATTGGATACTCCAAAAAATGTTCTATTACATTTATTTATGAATTTCTTTAATTGTAAAATTATTCAAAAACACCAATAATTTCTTTTTAAAATAAATATTTAATCATTATTATTTTTCTATAGGAATTAAGATTCTCGAATACAAACCTTCTAAAATTCAATAACTTATAAGAATATTATAATAAAACACGAAGAAACCGACCACTCCGAGTCTTCGACTCGGAGTGATCGCTTTCTTTGTGTTTTATGATAAATTTAAGATGACAGAGTGATAAAATCATTATTTCATATCATAAGAATATTGTAACTATAAATTCAAATTTCCAAAGATTTTAATTTTGAACCTTTTTCAAAATTCAATTATTTCTAAAAATTCACGCTATAATGCTTTTAATATTCAATAATTGAATTCTCGAGACAAATTTTATTATTTATAAAAATAATTGATTTCTTGCGAAGAATTTTATTCAAATTTTTTTAAATAATTTAATTCCTATAAAAAATGTATAATTTGTGAAAATAATTGAATTTTTAAGAATAATTGTATTGGAAATTTCATTAACTAAATCTTGTAAAGAATTTTGTCAACATTTTTGTAAATAATAGAATTTTTAAAAGAATTTTATTTTAATTTTTCAAAATAATTGAATTTCTCAGAACTATTTTTTTTTCTATTCCCTGAATGTCTTTGAATTTTTTCGAGAAATTTCATTAAAAATTTAAAAATAATTGAATTGGTTCGAAGAAATTTATAAAAAAAATTGGTAAGTAATTGAATTTCTGTGAAATTTTTATTAAAGTTTGGTTTAAATAATTGAATTCTTTTGGAAAATGTTATTAAAATAGCAGATATTAAAAATAATTGAAATAATTTCTAAGTTAATAATTTTATGATAGTTCTTGAAAAATTATGTTATGTATTTAAAAATAAATTATTGTCACACGGAGAAAAAAAACAAGGCTTTTCCCCATGAAAAAATATGCATTTAACGCGTGAAAATTATCACAGTAAAAATGCAGGATGCTCACGGGTTTTCCCGGTGAGATTCTAGGGCTAAGGCGTGGCCTAACCGCTAAACGCATGAAATTCATCGGGAAATCCGATGAAACTGCTACCTGAAAAGGCATAAATTGAAGTCACGGGGAAAAGCCTTGTTTTTTCTCTTCGTGCAGAAATAGAAAAAATTGAAGGTTTTGTATTAGAATTCTTGACAATTTCATAATTTATTAGGCAAACAAAAAAGACACAAAAATTCAGAATTTTCTTATAAATTCGAAAAATTTAATATTTTACAGACCAATTCTAATTTCTCTGACTTTTTCCTGACTTCTCTGACCTGTGGCAACCCTGGAATAGAACTAAAATAATTTTATATAGAAAAAAATAAATATATATACCAAATTGCTCCGTAACGATTTTCGCAATCGTTTCTGAAAATTCTTTTCTTTTTTCCAACTGAAGTTGAAATAATAGCGACTGCCTGTGAAGTTGATGGATTTGAATCTGAGTCAATGGCCATTCTCTTAAATTTCCTCTTACGTCTTGTATTGACTCTTGGCACAAAATTTTCATTAACCGAATCGCTCTCGAAATTACTGGCATTATTTAAATTCGAAAAACGAGCAAATCTCTTTGTGCGATTTGTATCATCACTGTCGGATTGATATTTCGATGAGGAAGCAGTTTTCGATACTATTCTTATGTCACAAATTGACGATGAACTGTCATCTGAATGTTTATTGGCACTTAATGAAGCTAAACAGTAATTAAATTCTGTTAGACATTTACTATAATTACTAATTAATTTTTAAATAAATGTAAATAAATAAATATAAATAAAAAAATGTTATCTATTACAAATTTAAGGAAATTAAAACTTGTTTAAAGCAAAACAAAAATGTTAATTATATATTAATTCATAATTGAATAGATAACTTTGTCAATGGAAATATATTGCTTGATTAAAATTCTAGACTTACGAATATTTCCTGTTGAACGAGCTCGTCTACGAATTCCCCATCTGCGTCTGACATTTGCACTGTTGCTGCTTTCCTCAAGTGCCAATGTTAAATCATGAACAAGCGCTTCCATTTTTTCTCTTAAATCCACTGGCACTGCTTTTAAAACACGCTCCATTTGAGGGATGATTTATTCTAAAAATAACAATCAGTAAAAATTTCTAAAATACCGAATTCCGTTAAAAGCAGTAAGATAATTGTCATTTTAATTAAATAGTACTGTCATTATTTGAACCAGCGATTGATATTATGAAAAGACGGGTGTGACACTATTTGCATTCCTGATTTTAACCCTTTAAAAGTAGGGTTATGATACTTTTTCTCTTATTTGTCAAGAATTTTTTTTATAACATTTTTCCAAGTTTATCATTTTTGTTAAAATATTTTCATTACCAGCTGTCAAATATTATAATTTTAGAAAAATTAAAATTTGCTACATTATAATTAATATAATTAACAGTGGGTCATTAACCCTTATCGACTAACCACTCGTGTAATTTTGACAAATTTTTCGTTTCTTTTATTAAAAATCTTATAAATTAACCATATTTGGTAATAAATTCCAGAGTACATATTGTATCAATAATTTTTTCTAATACCATCAAAATATAATCAAGTATATTAAAATACTGTTGACAATTATTAATTGCAAAAGAATTGGAAAATTATGATAATTGATGGACAACAATTGTTTTTATGAATTTGACCCTTTTGCATATTAAATTAAAAATAGATAAATCTTGACCACGAAAAGTAATCTTGACAATTCGGGAATGATTATCTAAAAAAATGTATAGCAAAATATGTAAACATTTATTACTAACCTGTCATACACTATACTATTCGCAAAGTGAGTTTTTTTTCACAAAATCATGACTCTGAAACATATGTTTTATTGACATTTAAAAGAAACAATTCTAAGTTTCTAAATATTTGACAAAAGTAGGCGATCACTGTCTTCTTTGGATAAATACATGTGAGTAATTACTTTTTTACTTCTTTCATTTCATATACATACACAGTGACATAATTTTACACACAAAGAAACGTCATTTTCCTGTCATAAGAAAAAAACTTTTCCCCCGGGTTATTTGAATTTTGAAATTAAAAATGAATATTTCCCAAGAAATTTATTCGGTAAAATGAGTAAAATTGGTAGAAAAGGATTATTTTTTATAAATTTTGATTAATATTGATATTTTGATGAAAAAAGGATATTTATTGATTGTATTAATTAACCGTAGGAGGAAAAAGATGTAGGGATTTTAAGGTTAGGAGTATTAGATGGAAAAACATGCGCAATGGATACTGCGCATCTCCCTTCTTCTAAGTTTTTTAGTGTTAAAATTTTCAGATAGATCATGGCTGTATGTACAAGGCTTTAGTCCACAGTACGTTGCCAATGTGTCGTGAGTTGTGTTCAACCCATGACTATAATAAGAAGAAGAAGTAGTGTTAAAATTGATTTTCTGATACTAAACTCACAGTAAATGGTTTTACAGATTAGAGTAAATATTTATTTATATTTACGTTATATATTTATTGTTTCTTTTCGGAAAACTAAACAAAAGGAAATTTTATTTTCAAAGTTCGCTCTCCATTGGTGGGATTTGAAATTTGATGTTGGCTAAACTGCATAGTGAAGGAGCTATGTCATTTCCGGTTGAACTGAGAGAGGAACGCTTGCGCGTCAAAGATTCTTTTCGCAGTAAATTGCTTATTTCGTGTATATGTGTGTTGTGCTGCAGTGTGTTTTGTGCTTGCTTGTAACAACAGACAAATGAACTCGACGACATTAAGTGCAAAAGTAACAGTTGTTTGTGAAATTAGAACTGCATATTTGCAATACTTAAAGTATAGAGAAACGTGAGATTAATTGACGAATATTGTGTTTGTTCAAGTGCAACGTCTTTAAAAAAGAGGCCGAGCTGTGGCCCGGCGGAATTACACGATGGAAACTGCCGATCTTAATGGCGGGAACGCCGAGGTGGCGTGCGAAAGTTCTAACCTAGAAACTGTCGAGGAACAAATAGAAAAACAATCTGAAGGAGAAAAACCAGAAGAAACTAATGAAATCGAACAAGAAATAAATGGTGATACAACGGATTTATCAAAAAGTGTCACGTCACCGACGCGAAGAACTTTGCGTAAAACCAAGGCCAATTCGACAAGCAACGTCGAAGCCGTCGTCGAGAGTGACGCAAAACCCAAAATGAAGGGATGTAAACGAAAACTTTCAGATCCAGAAATGAATTCAGAGGAATCACTCGATTTCACCGGCTTTGATAGTCGTTATTTTGATAATTCCGATACGGGAAATTTAGTTCTTCAAAAACTAATTGGTAATTAATTATTTGCACTAGATATTCATTGATCACGAATGGGAAAAAAATGATTGTGGCAGTAAATTTTTTATTGAAAAAACAAATTGTTTTGATTAAATGTTTAAAAGTTGTAAACTTCTATGTTTAATCCTTTTTTTTATTTTTAATACAAAAGAATTAATGTTTTTGATCCAATATACCTAACCTATAAAAATGTTAAGTTTATAAATTTTAGATTTGCTTTTGTTTAAAGTCATCTTCCTCTTTACTCTTGTAAGAAAAGAAGACAATTTTATTTACTTAAAATTAATTAATTGCCATAATTAAATAAATCATTAATTACAAATTTCTTCTTCAATTTTTTTTTATTGATGTGGCTTCGAATAATATTTAAAATTAATTAATTTTAAGTATACACAAATTAGAGAGTGTTAATTTGAGAAAATTGTTTAATTTTTAGCTGAAGTAGAATTAACAGTTGGTACGAAAGCAAAACGTGGTCGTCCATCTCGAAAGAGTATAGCGATCGACAGCAAACAAGACGATATTTTAAATGACGTACGTGAAATTATGTCCGCCAAAGAGCCTGAACCGATGGATGTTGTGAATAATATTGAATCTGATGTACCTCAACCGAAGTTTGAAGAAACACTTAGTAAATCGTCAGTTTCAACTGTAAATAATAGTACGCCGAATGTGTCTGCAAAATCAAAAGCAAATCGACCATTAACAGCAATAACTCCCTCGACACCAGTGGGAAAACCAAAAGTCGACTTATCAAATCCTGCTTTTCTAGAGCCATTTAAAAGTGGTTGGAAACGAGAATTAGTTCATCGTGGTGCTGGAAGTGAAGCTAATCTCAAAAAGGTGGCTGATATCTACTATATCACGCCACAAGGAAAAAAGATTAGAAGTTACAAAGAAATCTCTGGCCATTGTAAGTAATCTTTTCATAAAGTTAATTTTTTAAAAGAAAATAATTAAAATAGACTGAAATTATAATTATTACCTAATTACATAATTACATTTTTAATTCAATTACGGAAACTTGGGAATTAGTAAATTATTACACACATTTTTAATAGTTTCTAATTAAGTAACATAAAAAGTAAAAAATCATTTGTTTAATTATTTCTACAGTGACGGCGAGTGACAATTTGACAGTGGAAAATTTTACCTTCCATAAGGACACCCTTGGCTTGAATGATCCCGAAAAGGAAATTGTTCGAACAGCCAGAAGAGGAGGACCAAAGGTAGATTTTTAAAAATTACCAAAAATAGAAAAGAAGTTTTTTTTCTCGAAAAAGAAATTGTTTTGTTAACAATTTTTTTCTATAGGATGCCACGCCAGTAGGGAAAACTGCTGTTAAAAAAGTAGCTGCCTCTCCTGCTGCTGTCACTGTCGCTAAGAAAACGCCAGCGAAAAAAGCAGAGAATCTTCCAGCACAAGTATCAACACCAGTGGTGGCTAAATCCAGTCCCGCTAAATCAGTTGGAAGACCACCGAAAAATACACCTGCTTCACAGAAAATTAAACCTGTGAAGAAAACGCCATTAAAAAGTAGTTTTTTCTTTATAAATTTTATAATTTTAATAATTTGTTGACTTAGTTTGATAATTTATCGTATTTATTTATTTTTCTATGTATTGATTAATCTGTTTATTTTTCTACTTATTGATTTCTTTATTTATTCTTCTATTCACTGATATCTATTATAATTAGTTGAAGAGTTTTTTAGAATTTTTATTTATTTATTTTTTTTTCTTTTTTTTTTTTTGATTGCAATTTTATTATTTCTTTGCGAAATTACTAATTGTACAATAATTGTTTTAGAAGAGACGAAACAAAAGCAATTGGATCAAAAACAATCTTCACCTGCGCCTGTTACCGAATCTAAGGAAAATGAGTTCTCGCCTGCAATAAGTTCTCCAGCAACTAAACGAAATCAACAGGCAATTGAGAAAACTGTTTCGCCGAAAGCGAAACGACCACTAAAGTAAGTCATTCTTTATTACAGATTAATCAATCTCTGCATAATTTACGTATATTTTATTTGAAAAAATATCATTGATGTATTTATTTTTTAGATTTTAATTTATTTTAGTATTTGTTTTAGAGACGGTTTATTTCAAACCGTATTATCAACAAAAGGCTCGCGTGTAGGAAACTTGTAAAATATAGTTTCCTTAAATTAATACTATTAAGTTAATTTTACATTAAATTAATATTATTAAATTAATTTAGCATTGAATTAATGCTATTAAAAGACAATTTTTTTGAACTTTGAATAATAACAAGCATTATTTGAATAAGTTTAAAGTGGGTTAACAAAAATTTTATTACTCGAACTTTTCTTTAAATTTTGTCACATTCAAATTTAAATTATTTTTATTATAAATTCTTATTAAAAGATTATTTTGTTAAAACCATTTTACAAAAGTATAATTTAATAGAATTGATTACGTTAATAGGTAATAAATTAAGTATATTCAATTATTCTTGTGTAAACTGTAAACGCAAAAGAAAAGTAGGTTTTATTTATTAATTATTAAGAAAAATAGTTTCATGAGATTAATTTCAAGTAATTTTAGTTAAAAACAAAATTAAAATTACATGTGCTATTCAGTTTGCATTGTTTTATTCAAAATTTATTAACAAAAACCACTAATTCTATTTTCAAGTCAAAGAAATTAGGAAATTCAGGGAAAAGCCAGGGAATTTTACCAAAGGTACTAGAAGAAGTATTAAATTTCTAGAATTGATAAAAAAAATTCTGATTTTTAGTATCTATCAATCTTTAAAAATATTAAAAACATTAAATTCTTCTTGGGTTTTTTTATTTAAACTTCTAAAAGTTTTTTTTTAACTTCTAAACTTTGAAATTACCATGAATTTTATTACAAAATCTTAAATTTTTCTATTTTTGCTTATAATTGAACTTTACAGAATATGAAATTGAATTTATTTTAAACCAACTTTCATAAAAGTATTTAGTGAATAATTAATAATGTAATAATATATAGTGAATCAAAATATTTTTTAGAGTCAGGGAAAAAGTGAAACTTCTGTTTGCACATCAGAAAAAAAATCGAACTTTTGTAAATCTTTTTACAAGAGTTTAGAAAAGGGAATTTTTTTTTGGAATCGACTAAGAAGAACATTTTAATCTTTAATAAATAAAATTAAAAATGACATGTTTGAAGATATTATGATTGAGTACAAAACTAAATTTTTATTTATTAAGGTCCGAAAAAACAAAAATTTCTTAATTTCTAACTAATTTATTGCTTATTATTATAATTAAATATTACATTTAATGAAAAGAAATTTTTTTAATAGAAAACTTGTTAATATTTTTAAGTTCAAGAAAATACTTTTAAAGCATTAAGTTCATTTTATTTTTAGATTTGTTTACGATAAAATAGCATGTATTTGGAAAGTTCTTTACAAGTGCGTCTTTTACTGCTAACACGGTTTGAAATAAAATGCTCCATAATTTTTTTTAGATTTATTGCATTTTTAATTTAACTTAACTTAATAGATTTATAAAGAAATTGTTATTTGAAGCAAAATTTTTAATTTCCGTTCCCTCTTACTTCACAAAAAAATAATATAATGATAATAATCCAAATAACCAACCACAACTTCACTTTCATCACACTCAATTTTAAATACAAACGGAACCTGTTGTCCCTTTTCCCTATCAACGCACATCTTACAGGGCCAAAGTTCTGGAACCGTGTAGTCTACGATGTTCAACCAGCATGGGCCAAATACCCAGTTTACAATGCTCAGTCTGCCTTTGTCTTTATCATCCCGAATGTGTTCACGTCGTCGAATATGCAGGCTGCGATTATGTTTGCGAGGTACGAATTCAACATTTTTTCAAATAAAGAAAAAAATACAGTTTATCTTGAGAATCGACTGTATTTAGATTAGTTTATATTTAAACTTATTTTATCTTTAAACGATTTGTTCCCATTTCTTTTCTCTTTATTTTTTTGTTATTATAACGAATTTTTAAACTTTGTGGAATTATTTATTTCTTAAAGAATAATTTTTTTCTTTATAGAATTGTCGACAAGACACGGACGAAACGGCAATGCAACAACAAACGCAAAATTCAACGCTAACACCACCTCCATTAATACCAATTAGTATGATAGGTACATCAAATATAAAAGCAAAACATTCAGGTAATATTGCACCCCCAAAATTACAACGTATACCAAAGTCCGATGGTACGGATGCACATTTACGAATTATTTCGAAACATTTAAAATCAGGTCCATGTCAAACGGCAGTAGCACTACCACCACCGCCTACTCCCACTCCTCCCCCTGCGTCTCATTCAATTGCACAATCCACGGAGAAAAAAGAAGCAGCGTGGTTCAATAAAAATGACAATGATTTTCGTCTCAACAGTTATGATGGATCGGTACCAAAACCTGCACAAAATATTGCGACAATGGCCGGCAAACGATATATAATAATACCAAAAAATAATTCCATGGCAGTGCAACCGGCAATCACTGTGAAACAGGATAAACTCACCGATAAAACACCAGCATTGCCAATTAATTCATCAACCGACAATACCGTTTCAAAGGAGGAAACTACACAAATAAAGGAATTGACGCCGATCGTTGAACAAAAGGAAAAAACAATAATTGATAATGAAGGTCCGAGTGAGACGTCAATGGAAATTTTTAGTGATAATCAAAAGGAGAATGTTAACGAAGATCTTGTAGAAGATTTGAAAAATATTTCGCACGAGATTTCTAAAGATGTTCAGGAAACTGGTGAGGCGGGAAAAGAATTTTCCACTCCAATGGAAATTGAATCGAATGAAATGAATTTCCCGGTGGAGGCAAGTGATAATGGTAAATTGTCTGAAATTGTGAATTTGGGGAGGAAGAAATTGAAAAAAGCGGTTGGAAAAAATCGAAGAGGAGTGCGAAGTAAATATTTATCGAATGGTACAACGCAGAAATTGGTGGATGAACGTGCATCGTCGGGAATTCTTAATATCGCGAGAGCTGGATTAAAGTGAGTAGTTGTTATTTTATTTTTTTAGTTTCCCCTTTTTCCTAGTGATTTTTTTTTAAAATCGATTTTAAATTAACTCTTTTTTGAGGTTTTGGCAGTTGCTTTGTACATATTGTGTTTTATCAGTTGTTTCTTGTGAGACTGTAAAAACGCAGAATTCTTACTTCAATAGAGCACTTATTTTCTAGTTTATGATTTTTTATCCGCACTCATTATTACGAGTTGGTTTTGTTTTGTTTTTTTATTGATTCATCGCTTGTTTTATTTATTTTTAATATTTGAAAAAAGAAAGCATTTTTTGAAAATGGTTCAAGATCTGCGGAGAATTTTCCATTAAATCAATTTTTAATTTTTTTTGACTTAAATTTCAAAAGAATTTTTTAATTAAAATTTTTAATACATTTTAGTAATTTATTAACTATTGCTTTCTCATAGGAAGCTTTGTTTTTTGAATACGTAACTATAACTGAGTGAAATAGTTAAAATAAATAAACATTTTGAAATTCTATAACTATGTTAAGAACGACTTTCGTCACTCATTGCATTTCTTTTAAACAAACAAATATTTATCATTTCTCAATACTTGACGTAATATTATTATGACAAATTTTCAATTAGAAAAAAAATTCTTTCATTTAAAAGTTCATAACTTCAGGAACATAAGTAAATTAAAACAAAGTTTTTAAATAAAAATTATGTAATTCTTGTAAAATAAAATACGTAATGCTCGCTTATACTGAAATTTTTGAAAATTTAATTCTTAAATTAGTTTTTAAATCGAAAATAAGTTTTCACTTGTTTCAAATATATTTTTAATAATCTAGAAATCTTTGTTACATTTAATTAAAATTGTTATGCAAATTTTAATTAACTAAATGCTCTTAGCAGTGAAAACTGTTTCACAAATTTCAGTTTATAACTGGAATTTTCGAATATTTTTTTGCACTATTTTTTTTTTTTTTTAATTTAACAAGTAAAAATTCTTCTGTTGATGACTTTTATAATTTATTTTTCCAATTATTTTAATAAATTTGTAATTTTGAATTTAATAAGTGAAACTCTTCGGTTGACGAATTTCAAAAATTTAATTTTTCTCTATTAAACAGATTTGTAATTTTCAATTTAACGAGTAAAAAAATCTTCTGTTGACGAATTTCAAAATTTAATTTTTCTCTATTATTTAAACAGATTTGTAATTTTCAATTTAACATGTAATTTTTCTATTGTTTAAATAGATTTATAAATCTTATTTTCCAGAACAAATTTTTTTTTACTTATTCAGTTCAGTATTATTAAAATTCTACATTACAAATTTTATTAATTACATTATTTATTTGTAATCGCCATAATTAGATAATTATTTAATTAAATAATAAAAAAATTAGTTAATCCCTGTTAAAAATTTTGCAATGAATGGAAGAAATTCAAAAATTCTCCGCAGAATCGATGCCTCGATTTTTTTCAATAGAATAGATTAAAATTAGTCGGGTAAAATTTATAAAAATTTGTTTATATGTGCAAATATAAAAATCTCCTTTAAAAAAATGAATTTGATTTAAAAATCGAAGCACACTGCCTCAGCTTCGAAATATTTTGCCAAAATTTCTAAATCCTAATGAAAATAAATTAATTTTAATGAAAAAAAATTTTTGTAGTGTCAATGTAAAGTTTTTTAATTTCAGTTATTTGAATAATGTACACAAGTTATAATTTATTTATTAAAGTCATTGATTTTTGAATGTAGAAACTATTTATTGAAAATGTATATAAAAATATTGCATTAATACTACAATTATAAGGAGTGAATGATAAGTGCTTCACTGAAAAAATCTAATTCATTTTTACTTTTTATATTTACAGATATAAAGACAATGTGCGAGCTGAAAAAAAAACAAAACATTTAGTGCGTTTTCCTATCAATTTTCCACGATTCCCTCTATCCTTAATTTCTCATTAACACGCTTTTTTTGTTTATTCTTTAATATTCAACGCTTCTTGTTGATTTTTATAAAATATTTAAAATTAATCTAATGGAATTGACAATATTTTTTAAAATACTTTTTTTTAAATTTAAAAATTTTTTTTGTAGAGAAAACAATTTTAATATTAACAATTCCTTTTTTTCTTCTATTTACAGAAGGAAGCAAGTACAAGCGGAAACGGAACAACGGCAAAATTTTATGGTATCAGTTTGCGCTGGTTATCATGCATTATCAAAAGTCTTTCAATATTTAAAAGTACAAGAATTATTGAGAGTTGGTCGTGTTTGTAAAATGTGGCGTGATCTCGCTGCACATCCGTCATTGTGGAAAACAGTGAGAATGAAAAATAGTCAAGTAACCGATTGGAATGGTTTCGCTGAAACTCTAAAGAAAAGTGGAACACAATATTTAGATTTAAGAAAAATGATTGCTTCCGGTGAATCTGAAGCGATGTGGAGAAATTTTGCCGCTGTTATACCACGTGTCAATAGTCTCGTTAAATTGGAATTTTGTCGTTGCACGGAAATTGGAGTTGAGGAAGTCATTAAAAATTGTTCACAATTGGAAGTTTTAATAGCCCTTATGATCAAATGTGAGACATTGAATTTAGAATCATTGGGAAATCTCAAACGATGTCGTGAATTAAGACTGAAATCCTTGGGAGGAATGTATTTGCAGGATGATCTCTCGTCTATAAAGGAATGCACTCATTTGACCTATTTGGTGAGTATACAAGAGAAATTTTATTTTTCCTTTCTTGTAATGTATTTCTCTTTTTTTCACAAAATTTATTTTTCTTCAAATTAATATTTTTATTTGAGTATTTTTATATTGATTATTTAGGGTTGTCACAGGTCAGGGAAATCAGAGAAAGTAAAATTGATCAGGGAAAAGTCAGGGAATATTATCCAAAGTACTGGAAAAATATCCAATTCAGCAGCCTTTGAAAATATTGGAAAGATTTAATTTAATTTCAAATTCTTTCTATTTCTAACAATAATAATTAAACTTTACAGTTGTGAAATTGAATTTATTTTAAATAATAAAATAAAAAAAGTATTATTTACAAATTATTTAATTTTTGAAGAATTTCAAATTCAAAATTTAAAAAATCCAACTTTGATAAAATTCTTCGAAACAATTCAATTATTTTCAATAAATTTAAAAAAAAAATTTTTTAAAAGAATTCAATATTTTAAATAAATTTTAATAAAATTCTGTACCTATATAAGAATTGGATTATTTTCAATAAAATTTTAATTAAATTAGTAGAAAAAATATATTTTCATTTTTCAATTATTTTCATGCACATAATAAAATTCTTCACAGAAATTCAATTATTTTTAATATAATTTGCAATTTCTCGAAAGAATTCAATTATTTTTAAACATTTTTATAAAATTCTTTATCAGAATTCAATTTATTCTCAATGCAATTTCAATTAAATTTCTAAAGAAAATTGAATTATTTTCAAAAAATGTCCATAAAATTCTTCAAAATAATTAAATTACTATACCTATTCAAAATTTTAATAAAATTGTATGCAAAAATTAAATTATTTAAGATTCGAAATTATAAAAAGTTATTAAAATTACAAAAAGAATTATACAAAATGGTATTGAAATTTATAAAAAAAATTTATCTTTTAAAATAGAAAAAATTTCAAATATTAACGCAAAATTGTGGAAATTAATTAATTTCTAAATTTCTTTTGCAATCATATTATCACAAAATATATTCTCTAAATTTGAATTAGTAAAAATTGAAACAAAGTAGAAGAAAAGTGATATGAATTTTCTAAAAATTAATTTTACGTAGAACAAGACATTAAAATAAATAAAATTCTGTTTTTCCTAGAAAATAAAATTTAAAAAACCGTACTTTACATTAATATTAATTTGTTTTTCTACAATAATTTATGAGTAACTTTAAATATTTATATTATTAATATAGATTGAATTTCAAAAACTTTCTAACTAAAGTTTTAGAAAAGTTGAATATTTAATTTTTAATTTTAAAATTCTAAAGAATTTAGTTTTTTGAAACATTTTGTTTCAAATTTTGTTGAACTAAGTATTTTTGAGTATAAATTTAATTGAAAAATTTTCAAATTATTGAAATTTCATGAAATTGAATTGTAAATAAGTGGATTTAAAAAATATGTTTGGTTAACTTTTTGTTTCTTTAAATAAATAATTGAATGCTAAAGTAACTTTCTCAAAAATTATTAAAAATATTTGAATTTTAGATTATAATTGAATTGATGTCTTGAAAATGATTTTGAAAAAGTTACAATATCAATTTTTATAAATTATTGAATTTCAAAGGATTTACAATTTTTTAGTCCTAATTTATGTGGAAAAATAATAATAATTATTATATATCTATTTAAAAAAAAACTGTTGATGTTCCGAATAATTTTACAATTAGAGATATATACAAAAATAAATGTATTTCAAACATTTTTTTATGTATCTGATTATTTTTAGAATTAAAATATTCTTTAGGGTCAGGGAAAAATAAAATGAAATTTTTGTGGTAACCCTGATTATTTTAATATTGAATAAAATTTAATTAAAAATTATAATATTTTTTCTCCACAGAGTCTCACGACAATTAAAGATCTCGGTCAAAAGAAACTCGATGCGTTACAATTTCTAGTTAATTTAGAAACACTTGAACTAGGCGATTGTACTGATTTTCCAGAAACTTTTGGAAAAGAAGCCCTAGTGAAATTAAATAAATTAGAGCGATTAAGACTGGAAAAGGGACAAGGTTCATGTTCAACATTCGACATATTGGATGGCGCTTCAAAAATAGAGAGTTTAAGTCAATTGGAACTTGTTAATTTCGATGTGAAGAATGGTTTTGACAAATTTTTGGCAAAATGTACAAATATCAAAAGATTATTAATAATACCGACGTATATATCACAATCGGCAACAACAAATAATATGGTACTTGCCGGTGTCATTGAATTATCGCAAAATTTAACGCATTTTGTTTGGGGTGTCACCTTAGAATTATTACGAGTCACTGAATTGTTTGTCGATCAATGCAATCAAATGAATAAAACTGTTAGCGGTGACTCGATACCAGTACTGAAACCAGTACCGTGCTTGAAATTAATTCAAGATAATGTCGATGATGCGGACAGCAAAAAAGGTAAAAAGAAATTAAAATACTTTTCTTTTATTTGGAAAAATCATTTTTTTTCTAATTTGTAAAAATTTTCTTTTATTTTAAGAAGACGATAACAAACAAGCGAGTGGATCGAATCCCCAGGTGGACATTTTGCCCATGTCGCAATTACAAAAACTCTTGCTCACCGCATTACCGAAGACAAGAGTGAAGATATTGAAAATTCCTTTTAATGCAACGTGGAGGCAGAATATTTCCGACACAATTTCTCAATAAGGATTTTTCTTTTTAAAATAAAGAAAGAAAAAAATCTAATAATTGTTGTGAACATTTTTAACAACAACTATTAACTGTGCAACTTTTATCTGATACTTTGTCCCAATCATTTTATTTGAAAGTGAATGTGTGTGAAAATTATCGACAAAGACGGATCAAATAAAAGCTTCATCAGATGCAGAGGTACTGCTTAGTTTCAGGTAAATTTTAACATTTCAAAAAAAGAAAGAAAATCTGTCATTTAAAGAACGTCCAATTGCATCGACAGTGAAATTTATTACTTTTGTTTAAAATCGAACAATACGATAAATATTTATCAGAAATTTTGCAGTAAGATTATATTTAGACGTTAGATTGTATAATATTATGAAATATTATATATATTATAATAGTTCTAATTATTGTTTGGGTTTTAACGCTGCAAAGAAGTTACGGGAGAAATTATATTTGGTAACTTGATAAATTTTGTAAAAAAAATACATAATTGAAATGAGGGATATCTAAGAAACCCAGCGATGTACTAGGACACTTTGAAGAAAGAAAAAGAAAATTATATTTATATATATATATATATATATATATATATATATATATATACAATCAAATATATATATAAAAATCTCATTGTTATCCTAGAATGACTGAGAGGCTTTGTAGAATATTAGATGCATTTCTTAATAATTAGATTTAGATTTTTCTGTAATTTTCAAAATATCTATACTCTTTTTTTTAAAAAGAAACATTAAATTCTGTGAAGAAAGAAAATATATATAAAAAAGTAAAATATATATTTCTTTACTGAGATTCCTTTGCAGCGCGGAAATTCTTAGATTCCCCCTATTTTTTTTTTTGTTTTGTTTAAACGAGTTTTTATTTATAAAAAACATTCAGGAAATTCTAGGGAACATGAATTTTGGCATTAATAGAATAATTTATTAATACTTTTTATTAGATTAGCTTGAAAACTAAATTATTACCGTTTTATTTATATAAAAATTCTTAACACTTCTTGTCTCATTGAGCATTCTCTTCAACGAGATGTTTTAAACAATCAAAAAAAAACTAAATTATAATAATGAGCATGTTTTTTTTAAAGTAATTTAGATAATTATTTTTTTATAATCGTTAATTTAATTTCTTAATAAACATTTTGTTCACAAATTTGAAATTTATAAAATGAAATTATTTTAATTACAAAATTATTTTAGTGTGTTTAGCATAATTTTTATTTTTAAACATTTCTAAAATAGATGCGTAAACATTTGAAATGTAAAAAAAAAAGAAAATACAGTTACAATATTTTATAATTTAAAGATAATAAACAGTTATAAACTGTTTCTAGTGTTGTTTATTGAAAAAAAATGGAAACTAAAATATTTATTGTAATATTTTTTAAATAATCTATTTTTGTAGACACAAAATATAATGCGTCTTTAAAAGATTGGATTTTACGAAGATAATAAATTTTCATTTACTAGAATGAATATTAAATATTGTTATTTTTTCGTTTTTTGTTAATTATAATGAATTGACATTCTCTAGAATTTCTTAAATGCTCCCTTACTCGGTGAAGGGCAAGAATTTTCTCCTTGTAATTTGAATTTTTTCAAAAAAAAAAAAAAAGAAAGAAAATTAATGTCAAGAGAACAGAGAACTGTGAAAAGTAAAAAGATGAAAAAACGAAAATTATTTTTGTAAAGTAGAATTTAATTTAAAAAAATAATTTTTATTTTTTTATCTTTTTACCAAATTGGAAAAATGAAATTTTTTCGAAAAACAACTGGAATTTTTTCTTTTTGACATTATTTTATTTTTTTTTTTTTGAAAAATTTAAATTATCTTGATAATATTAACATTATGTATAATATTTATGCACATTTATTAATGATGTACAATGTTTCAATAATTTGTTTATAATAAATGATGCAGATGTTTCCAAAAGGTACTAAAATCGTATTAAGTCTTTTTTTCACTAATTGTGTAAAATTTTAAACGCATAGTTTAAATTATAAACTGTGACAAGAATTTATAAAATAAATATTATTTAAGAAAATTTAAGATTAAATTAAATTAAAATTTTAACTTAGTTTTTTAATTTAATTTAAATTAATCTTTAACCTGGAAATTATTTATGAAATTAAATTGATGGTTATTTGAATTAAATTTAAAAATTAGTTAAGTTAAAATTTTAATTTCAATTGCTTTACTTTGAATTTTTATAAATACTTTTAAAAAATAAATAAATAAAATTAAAAAAAAAGAATATAAAATTAGAAATTCAGTTTTTTAATTTGACAATAATATATAAGAGGAATTATAAAGTAGAATTAAAAATAAAATAACAAAGTAAAAATATTAAAGATTTCATCCGTTTTAACTTGCGATAGTAGAAAGTATTTATTTACTTAAAAAGTAATTATTATAAATAAAAATCCCCATTACTTATTGATTAGATGTCATATTTATTAAATTCAAAAAAGAAATAATTGGGAATTATTTCTAAAATTTGTAAATTAAGTAAATAAAATTATTCTCCATAATTCCGTTGTAAATAATTGTTATTATCAGAGATTTTTATATTTAATTTTTTTTAAATTTCTCGTTCTTTGTCACAATGAATTTTCTTATTGGCTATTTCAAAATTTGCGCGCGAATAAACAGTCAATGAGCGTGCGACTACTGTGGAAATGCACCTTAATTCTATTCCCGCGCAAACTTGAAGTAGCCAATGGGATGGACTCTTTAGAGATGTGCGCCATCTACTTTAAAATGGCGGACAGTTCTTGGAACTAACGCTCAAAATGAAAGTTGCATTGTTTGTTCTTGTTCATCAGTTCATTTAATTTCTTTAATTAATAGAAGTACAGCATTAAGTTAATGATATTCCATAAATAGAATAAAAAGTGAATGAAATAATTAACATTAAGCGATTTTTTTGCTATCGAACATGTATTATTGTTCTGGAAAGTGTTGGAAGAAGTATGCAAATTAAAAACTCGTGTTTCTAACCTTCAAAAGTACAATAAATAAATTCGTAAGTATTCGCAATTTTAAGAATAAAGAAAATTAAGAGAATGAATTATAAGTAGAAAATTTGTACATTAGATTACTTTTATTAATAATAGAGATAAATATTAGACAGGGACATTCTGTTGTTGCAAAATGAAAATTATTACAGTTAACAAGGTTAACTTTGCCTTTAAAGTTAGAAATTTTTTTTTAGATAAAATTAAAATGCTTCAAATTACTATTTTCAAAATAACTTTTTTTGCACAAAATTTCTAAAAACTGTGAAACTTTTTTTCTCTATAGGAAATGGATTGTCAAATACGATTAATTATTTATAATAAGAATTCCGTTTATGACGATCTTATTGTAATGACACACTGTGTAATTTCAAACAAGAAGATTGATGAAATTACCAAAAGCGAAAGCTACTTCTGTGATGATAGTTTAACGAAACAAAAAAAAGTATTTTCAATTCCTATGAATCAAAAGGGTCTTAGTTCATATTTAGTGTCCGCTTATGTTTCAAATTTGCGGAGGTCCGATATTTTTAGAAAATCTGCGCTTAAAATCTTACAATTATTCCTTATGAGAAATACATTCTCGCAAGAAAATGGGATTGTCTTAATGAAATTGAGAAATCCAAAGAAACATTTTATAGATTATGCTTGGTGAGTATGATTTTAGTATTTAATTTTCTAAAATATTTTTTATATTTATTCGAAATTTATTTTCTAATTTATTGAAATTTAATTATTTAACTTATTTTTAATTTCTTAATTTGTAGGAATGAAAGAATAACTCAAATGGCGGCAGAAAAATGCGAAATTGAACACGCAATGTCTTGGTTATCGACTTTAGGAGGAGCTTTTTCTGCCTTAGGAGAGGAAATTCCTCATTGCGTAAGATATAATTTTTTCTAAAATAATTTATTTCGTTTTTTGCGAAGCGTACCTCGACTTTGATCTTAAAGTCAATATTTACGCTTATGGCTCGAACTAGTAAAAGTATTTAAAAATAAGGACTTTACGGACTAATTACTGACAAAAATAAAACCAGTCCGAGTCAAATAAGAGAACATTTTACTTAGAACTATAAATTAAATTTTCTCATAACTATAAAACATGAAGATATAGATCACTCCGAGTCTTCGACTCGGAGTAATCGATTTCAGAGAAGAATTTAATGATTTTTAAAGATAATTGAAATTTCGACGAAAATTTAAAAAAAAATTTGAACATAATTGAATTTTTGCGAAGAAATTTATAAAAAATTTGTAAATAATTGTGAAATATTCCTGTGAAATTTTTATTATTTAAGAAAATCAAATATTTGCGAAGAATTTTATTAAATTTTTTTTAAATAATTGAATTTCTGCGAAGAATTTTATTTTTTTGAAAATAATTGAATTTCTGCAATCATTTGTAATGTTTCTAAAATTCTCCATATTATATTGTACAATTTACGAACTTTTCATCCTTTTTCAATCAAATTACGGACTTTTCGGACCTTTTTTTTTTTAAAAAAAAACTGTCTTTTACGGACTTGAAGCAAATTTACGGACCTAGTTCGAGCCCTACGTCTATTATTTCTATCTTGATAAGAAATTCCGATACGAAATAAAGAAAAATTAAGATTTCTATCGATTTTCTTCTTCATACAGGCGGAAGTAGCTGGAAAAATATCATTAAAACAATTTAAGTTGGCTTATCGTTTAGGCGATCCAATTTTGGTTGCTCGATGCAAATTATACGCAGCTTTGAGTTTAATTCAAAGAGGAAATCTTAAGCTACCAAAACAAATGTTAAGAGACATCTTTCGATTTGCCGTCAATGAAAAAGATGTTCGTCTGCAAAATATGTGTAAAGGAGTGTGGGCAAAATTAAAATACTACCACGACAGGAGGAAACAATTAAAATCTTATTAACTATAAAAACTTTCTAGGTAGCCAATTAAAAAAAAAACATTTGAACATATTTCTCTATTTGTATACATTTATAAACCAAAAAATAAGTTTTTTTTCCTTATAATTCGATTATTGAAAACTTGAAAAATAAAATTTCTTTTTGGTTCTAAAAAAATAAAACATCAAGTTTAAAGAAAATTCTTTTATTATAATCAAAGATTTTTCATAAAAGTACACTATTCATGGCAATGGATTTTCCTTTACTTGGTTATCGTCTATAGTCATCCAAATAAATGCAATTATCATTAATGATTAATAATGAGTGATTTAATTGACAATCAATCTTTAATGTTAATTAATTTTAATTAACACTATGAAGTTAATTACGATAATTATTAATTAACATTAATGAATGAATCGCGATTATTGTGTCACGACCATTAAAATAATGATCATTTAATGATAAAATTAATCAAGTTTCATGCATTATGATGGCACGATTTTTTTTTTTTTGTAATTGATATCTCTTTGAGTTTATGTTTATTTGCTTACAAGTATTTAATAAAAAATTTCTTGTATATAATATTCTTAATGGTAAAAATTGTTCGAGTCGATATGAACGGAATATTGGAATTAATAATTAAAGGATTATGATTAATTGATTTTTTTTGCAAGCTATATAAATGTTTATATAGAAAAGAATTAATATCAAAATTGATTTTTATATTTTTGTTTCAGAATTATATAAAAAACAGTGAGCGTGTGTTTGTGGGGTCAAATTACGAAAAATGTAATTTGTTCGTTTTGTTTTGAATAGACGGATGATAGCTTGATATTTTTTTCTAAAAAAATGTGTCTGTCTTATTTAAATCAACATGGCGTTCGAAATACTTGTTACATTCTTTTACTGAGCGAGAGTTCCCATTGGATCCCATGCTGGCAATACAATGGGTTCCTGTTTGAAAACTTCGAGAACATTTTCAGGTACGAATTTTTTATCTACAACAACTTCAAAAACAAATTCTTTAAACCAGTCAATTGTACAAAGTTGATAGCCCTTTTCGCCGTAATCTTTACCCCAGGAATTTTCAATGCGGAATTTCGTTGGTTTTTCTTCCTTCTGAAAAAGAGAAATTCATTTTTCCATTAATACTCTCTTCATAAATTTATAAAGAGAAGAAAAAAAACAAATTCTAATTTAAGAATTAAATAAATAAATAAATTTATGAGAATATTTGTAAACAAAATTTTACTGTTTCTATAATTTTCTTTTACCGATTCTACAAATAGTTTCAAAAAAATGCCACAACTTCAAAAATAAATTTTAATGAAATTACAAATTCGTGGTTTTCACTTTCTTGGTGAAAAATAAGAATCATTCATAATATTATTAACCTCCTGCTCAACACTTTGATGATAATATTGCCATGTGGTTTGTGGTTTTTGGAATTTATTCTGTCTTTATCTCTACTGACGTTTCAAGTTTTTTTCAGTAAACAATAAATCATTAAAGTAAACTATTATTTGGATTAAAATTCTTTGAAGATAATTGATTTTTTTAAAGAAATTAATTTAAAAATTGTAAAGCAATGCTAAATATCGTCAAATTTTATTCAAAAAAATTTTATATTTTGGAGAATTTTATTACAATTATTTAAAAATAATCATGTTTTTGAAGAAAAATGTGAGAAACTTTTAAGAATGTTTTGAAGATTTCATTTGATTTTGAATTTTGGACGATTTTTTGTACTTTTAATCGGCTAAAAAACAAATTTTTTACGTCTTAAAGACGATCCGAGGCCTGTTATTATATTAACTATATTATAACAATTAATAATAATAATAATAAATATATTTATTTCAATAGAAAATTGTGCCATTTCAGAAATTTTCATAAGAAGAATCATTAAAAGAAATAGAGAATCATTAGAAAATGTATATTGAAATTATTTAATGAATAATTTTATAAAAATATTTTTCAAAATGAATTGAATTTTAAAAGAGTTGCTTTTACAATTTTCAGAAATAGATGAAACTTAAAAAGAATTTTTATTAAAAACACAGAAAAATTGAATTTTTGAGAAGTTACAAATAGTTGCAGAAATTCAATTATGTTCACAAATTTTTTTTTAAATTTTCGTAAAAATTTCAATTATCTTCAAAAGTAATCAAATTCTTCTCCAAAATTCAATTATTTTCAAAAATTTTAATAAAATTCTACGCAAACATTTAATTATTTTCATTATTAATAAAAATTTCGCAGGAATTCAATTATTTACAAATTTTTTATAAATTTATTCACAATAATTCAATTATTTTCATAAATAATAAAACTCTTTTAAGGAAATCTGAATTGAATTTCTAAAAATAAATAAATTTTATTTTTCATAAATAATAAAACTCAACGCAGAATTTCAATCATTTTTAATACAATTTTAATCAAGTTCCTCGAAAAATGTAATTTTTTTTAAAATGGTATTTAAATTTCTCAAAAGAATTTAATTATTCAAAAATTTGTTCATAAAATTCTTTAAGAGAATTTAATTTTAAGAAACATTTATTTATTCAATAAATTATTTTTTTTTTTGTTTTTAACTAATTGAATTCTCGGAGAATTTTTTTAATAAAAATTGATTTAAAAATTAATTTGTTAAAATTTCAGATAATTGAATATTCAATTATGTTCAAATTTTTTTTTTATAAATTCTCGTCGATTTCTTCATGTTTTATAATAATATTTTTATAAATTGTTGAATTTCATAAAGGCTTAAATTTGAAATTTCTGAAAATCTTAATTCAGAATTTTAGGATCAGGGAAAAAGTCAAAATTTTTCCTGGAAATCAGGGAAAAACAAAATTAAATTCTTGTGGCAACTCTGGATTTTGATTTTTCGTTATTTAAATTATTAACTAAATAAATCTGTTGATAATATTAAATTTGTAGAAATTAAAAATAAACGAATTAAAAAGAAAGTGAAAAAAGTGCAAAAAATAAAAAAAAAGTACGAAAAGTAAAAGAAAGTAAAAAAGTAAAAAGAAAATATTCAACGAAGAGTAACCAAATACAACCGACCTACCTGAAAATAAATTCTATAATCGATTTTTTACAAAGAGGGTGGAGAAAGAGAGAAAAGGAGAAATAACAATAAAAACATTTAGAAACTTACGTCTACGCTTGCTCCGGTAAAGACCATGGCATGAGTCATCATCGAATCCCCATAAAGCAGTCTATCAGCTTTCGAAAGTGTTATTTGCAAATCGGTTCCAAGAAGTGCCTCGTAATTATGAGCCTTTAAATCGTTGAGTCCCTGTTTTGAGGCATAACGCTTGGAAACTTCACATCCAAACCAAACGGGCTCATTGTTCTTTATACTATCAACACATAATTTAATAAGCAATTCGGGAGTTTGATTATTATATAAAACGCGACCGCCTCCCCAAACATTACCCAAACAATCCAATGTATAAAGTTTTTCAAATGGATTTGATGGTCTTGGGTCAGTAACAAGGCAAACCTTCTCGTCAACATCAAAACATGGTTTCACATATTTCTCATAAAATTCAAGTGGCGTTATTGGTCCAGTACTATTGAACACCTTTGAGGTTGTATAATAGTCCCATGTTATTGTTTCCGATGGAATTCCAAGGCAAATGCCAACTAATTTATAAATAATTGCCATTTGCTCGCGAATTTTTTCTTGCACCTCCTTGTCTGATGCCTTATTTTCCATTAATGTTCGCAATACTTTTGCAAATTCACGAAGTTTTGTCTTTAACATTCCATTGAGACGTGCACTCGCTTCACTTGTTGTCGATTCTGGGAAACATGACTTTGGTACGACACCGTACTTTTTGACTATGTTCACTATCATGTGCCATTGACCGCCATCGATCAATAAATCGTTGTTCAATAAAAATGACACTAATCTTCCGCCAACTTCCTCGCCACGTTTTGCAGTTTCGACAACGTTTTGCAGAAAATAGTTGCAACGCTCGATCTGCGAAAATTCATTCAAAGCAAAAAAAAATTAGTTACTATAGTCATTTTAGAAAATTATTAATTATTAACTATATTAATTATTTTATTTTTAGAAAATAAAGCAAAATATTATTCTGAAAAAATGTTCTGTTACATTTATTTACGAATTTTTTTAATTGCAAAATTATTCAAAAACATTAATAACTTCTATTTTAAATAAATATTTAATTATTATTATTTTTCCATTGGAATTAAGATTTTCAAAAATTTCAAATTCAAACCTTTTTGAGATTAACTTAAAAAATATTTGTTGTAAAACATAAAGATATCTCCGATAGATTACTCCGAGTCTTCGACTTGGAGTGATCAATTTCTTCATTTTTTATAATACTTATTAAAGATGATCGAGAGATAAAATAATTATTTCATATTATAAGAATATTGTTACTGTAACTTCTTCAAAATTATTTTCATATTCAATTATTATCTAAAATTTTAACTAAAATTCGTTTTTAAATAAATTCTTATTAGAAAATTCTACAATAATTCAATTATTTAAATACAAAAGTAAATAATTTATTGAATAATTCAATGCTTCTTAAAATTCAATTCTTATCAAGAATGTTATCAATAAATTTTTTAATAATTGAATTCTTTAGACGATTTTTAATAAAATTTTTAAAAATAATTATATTTTTGAGAAATTTGATTGAAATTGTATTAAAGATAATTGAAATTCTAATTATAATTTTTTAATGATTTTTATTATTTATGAAAATAATTGAATCCCTGTAAACATTTGATTATTTATGAAAATATTTGAATTAAATTGCGAAGAAAATAATAAATTTGTAAATAATTGAATTCTTGTAAAATTTTTATTATTTATGAAAATTATTAAATGTTTGCATAAAATTTTTTTAATTAATTGAATTCTTTTGGAAAATTTCAGTAAAATGGTAGATATTGAAAATCATTGAATTAAAGTAAAATTTTTGAAAATAATTGAAATTTTGAAAGGAATTTTATTAAAATTTTTGAAAATAATTGAATTTTAGAGAAGAATTTAATTATTTATAAAGATAATTGAAATTTCGACGAGAATTTTTAAAAAATCTTGAACATAATTAAATTTTTGCGAAGAATTTTATTACTTTTGAAAATAATTGAATATTCAATTATCTAAAATTTTAACAAATTAATTTTTAAATAAATTTTTATTACAAAATTCTACGAGAATTCAATTATTTAAAAACAAAAATAAATAGTTTATCGAATAATTGAATGTTTCCCAAATTTAAATTCTCTGATGAGTTTTATTATATTTATGAAAATAATTGAATTTTGAAGAAGAATTTGATTATTTATAAAGATAATTAGAGATTTTAATGAGATTTTTTTTTAATTTTGAACATAATAATAATAATTTTTCTAACAATTTACGTTTGACTGATCTAAATTATGCAAATTTTTGTCCTTGTTATTTTTAAAAAAAATTAGAAAAATTGTTAAAAAATTATGATTAAGAAATAGAAAATATTGTCAGTTAAAAGTATTCAAATTCAATTATTTCCAAAAATTTACACTATAATGCTTTTAATATTAAATTATAATCTAAAATGTTAACTAAAATTATATAATATTCCATTATAAATGAATCCCTTTGAAATTTTTATTATTTATGAAAATAATTAAATATTTGAGTAGAATTTTTTTAACTTTTTTTTTAAATAACTGATTTTTTTTGGAAAATATTATTGAAATAGTAGATATTGAAAATAATTTAATTGACGAAAAATTTTGAAAAACTTTTTTTAAAAATGATTGAATTGTTACGAAGAATTTCATTAAAACTTTTGTTAAGAATTAAAATCTTTTAAGAAATTTAATTAAAAATGTATTGAATATAATTATTAACTTCTAATAAATAAATTATTTCAGAGTTTTTTAAATTAATTGAAATCTTTCGTCAAATTTTAATAGCATTTTTAAGAATAATTACATTTTTCGAGAAATTCGATTAAAACTGTATTAAAAATGTCAAATTTTTAGATGAGTTTTATTATTTATGAATAATTGTAAAATTTTTTATTATTTTTTAAAATAGTTAAATTATTGCGAAAAAATTTATAAAAAAATTCGTAAATAATTCTGGGAAATTTTTATTATTTATGAAAATAATTAAATATTTACAAATAATTTTATTATTTATAAAATTAGTCCATTTATTTACGAATATTGTAAATGCAACTCTTTTAAAATTCAATTAATTTTGAAATATTTAAGTAAAATTATTCATTAAATAATTTATTTAAGTAATAATTTTATGATATTAAGTTCTTCAAGAATTAAGTTATTTAAAAAGAAACTATTGTCAGGCATAGAAAAATTTGAAGGTTTTATATTAGAATTCGTAGTAATTTCATTGTTTATGAATCAAACAAAAAAGACATCAAAATTGAGAATTTTCTTATGAATTCGGAAAATTCAATTTTTTCCAGTATTTTTAATAAAAATGAAAAGAATTAGAATTAAATATTTTTAAATTCTATTATTTTTAAAATTGCTTATTTTATTTAAAAAAATAAAGTAAGAAGTTAGCCGCGTGCGAATTGTTGCAAGTTTAAATTCTAAATTGTTAAAATTTTCATTGTATTGTATTAGAACTAAAAAAGAGAAATAATATTCAAACCTTATCCCAGAAGAAAAGATAGGATTGGCTGAATTCAAATTCCTCCAAACTGTATTTCTTCATAAACGGCGATCTCACAACATTTAAAAATGCAAATAGCCAACAACGTCCAGAACTTTTTTGCTCAGTAATTGGCTTCCCTTCGGGATCAATTTTATAGGTGAACACATGATTACTATTTTGAACGACTTGCCTCGATATGCAAGCCTCAGATGGATTTACTTTTGTGCAGACATTCTGCGCGGCAATATTTCTTGGATCATTGTAAAACTCTTTATAAAGTTTCTGCAAATAGTCTTCCGATAGAGCGCCGCCTAAAAAAAAAGAAAAAACATTAAAATTCATTTACAAAACAAAAAAAAAAATGATAAATGGAAATTTGTTTTTTTTTCAGAAAAAATGGACTTTTATTTTTTAGATTAGATTAGATTTGTTGAAAATATTTTTCTCCTCCAATCTTTTTTCACTGTGGAGTTTTCAGTTCAAATTCTAAATTCCAAAAGGTCTTGAATTACATGAGACCTTTGGATACCTGAATCTTTTCACAAACATCCATCGGACTCCTTTAGGGATAATCCGGTTACTGTGACAAGTCAATAAGCGAAAAACGAATATTTTTCGGTTAGATTATTTCTTCTTTTGTAAAATACTTTTTTCCCAAAAAAAAAAGAATTCAAAATTCTCAAAATACAAAATTTTTAAATATCCCTTTCTTCGTTTTCCTTTTTGGAAATGTAGAAAATTATCAGAGTCGACCGAAAATTTTGTGACTATTGATTTAAAGTTAAAATATATTTTTTACAATGGTGTTTTTAACTTTAAAAAAAGCAAAATAGTAACGAAATAAAAATTGCAATTATTAAAATAATTAACACATTATTATTGAAGTACATTAATAATACTGTGAAAACTCCAAATATTTAAAAAAAAATTCCTTTGAAATAGAAAATATTTCAATATTTTCGAAAATAAGTCATAAACATTAAATTTTATGAAAATAATAAAAATTTTAAGTGAAATATTAACATAAATACATTTTAATATTGAAGTAAATTAATTAAAAATTGTTAAGTAATATAATATAATATTAAAATATAAATATTATTAATTCTATTGAAATACAAAAATTAAGTAATATAAAAAGAATAAAAATTTAAAGTTAAATATTAAAATGTATTTATTTAATTTTAATATTGACAATAGAAGAAATTTGATTCTTTTGTTTTGAAAATAAAATATGAGTGATATTTGAACACCAGAGAAGTTTTTTTTAAAGAATGCAATCACAAATGAAATCTTGGGTATAAATGTAGTTATTTATAGAAGTATTAACACTACATGCCTTATCAATTTACTGGATTTAAATTATGTTTGAAAAAAGACAAGTAATAGATTTATACACTTCAGGAGAAAAAATAAAAAAAAATGCATTTTTTTAAATCCCACGGAAGAATTCCACAATAACACTTCAGTTGTACAATTTCTTTTTTTTAACCAAATACAAATAATATTTTTGAATCAATTTTCAACTTTTATCAGTTTTACAATAAAAAAAAACAAAGCACTGAATCTTTTAAGAAAATATTTTTTTCAAATGTCAAAATTTAACAATTTTAATCCTATTTTTTTTATAACAAAATTATTCAATTAAATAAATTATTATTCAGACACAAAAAGAGTGAAGATTTGAGTAAAACTGTCTTATTTTTCTCAGTAAATAATTATGGGCGTTATGTCAAAAACTGATAAAACAAAGAAAAAAATACTATTGACTTGATAATATTATTGGCGAAAGATGAAAAAAAAATTCCAATTATTATTTTTTCTATGTTTTGTGACAAAAAAAGAAATAAGAATGATGAATGCAAGTGAAAGAAAATAAATAATGCTTTTTTTGTACTCACTGCAACTCATTTTGTTAAATCGAGGAAAATGGTGGTGAAGTGAGCGTATGTGAACGACTCCAAAACCCAAGTGAAAGCCGTGCTCCAGATGACTGAGATGACTCCAACGAATGACCTGAACACAACTGCGCATGTGTTGCATTAACATCAGGAGAATAATATAATGCTCTGAAAATTTTATGACTGCAGAAATACACCGTGAAAAAAAATTTTTAGTTTAAATATTTTTTTTAACGTTCTTTTATTTTTTTTCGTTTAATTTCGCTCTTTTTTTAAGTACCTCCCAGGGATTTCTTTTTCTTCTAATTTTGAATAGCTCATTTACATTTACCGAAAAAAATGTGAAAAAAAAGAAGAAAAAAACAAGCAATCTAAAATCTACTTTAAAACCGACCCAAACCGACAATGCTTCAAATCGACACTGACTTCATGTGTGAGATTCACGCTATTATTTTCTAATACCTACGTTATATAATTTTTCAAATTAAAATTATTTATTTCTAATTTTGTAAACAAAGAATAATTTTGGGTAAAAAGAAATCTTTTCAATTTCAAAGATTAGTGCACGAGACAATATTTAAAAAACAATTTTACCATGATGGAAATTTTTCTTATGTTACAAAATTCATTTTGCCTTTGGATATGAAAGAAAATATACAACAATTTTTTTGTATAGAATGAATATTACAGAATATTTTATTTTTTTTCTATTCACAATGGTACATGACCGAGTTTACTTAAAATCTAAAAAATAAATTATGTACAAAGTAAATTACGAAAGCTTGTAATTATATTTATTTCTGGGAGAAGTTCAAATATCACTTTTTTGAAAATCTGTTTTTCAGGTTTTTTTTTCTTTTTTGTAAAAACAGATATTGAAAATATTTTCACGTATTTGTATTTGCATTGGATGTTTCATCCATTTTCGATTCTAATGAAAAAGGTGGAATTCTACAGTCGAATGCATATCCATCTTCTCGTTCCATTCTGAAAGTTCCCCTGAAACAAAATTTATATTAACTTATCAATCTCTTTTTTTTACATTTGAGAAATACTTTTCTTCTAGTAAATTTATTTTACAAGATTTCTATTTTAAGGTGATTTATTTTTATTGTTTTTAGTAATAGAAATTTCTGTCTTTTTCTTAGATACTTTTTTACTGCATTTATTGTTTTTTTTATTCTCTAATTTATAAAGTTGAATTTATTTCTGAATTTTAACGGGTGTCACAGTTTTATTTACCTATCTATTTATCTGATCTCGCTTCTTTCCTTTTTTCCCCCTTTTTAACCCTATGAATTAGTAAAATCCCCCGAAACACCTAAAATAATAATAATAGCCTTATCCCCCTTTTTTAAAAGAAAAACTTACAAAAATTGTCAATTTATTTTTAAGTTAGAAAAGTTTTAGATGGATAAAAATTTCTACTTTTTGTAAACTTTAGAAAGAGTTTCAGTTTTCTGTAACTTGAAAATCTTTTTATATTATTTTCTCAGAGATTTTAAACTTAAAATTTTTTTGGTTCAAAGAAACAAAAATAAAATAACTTATATTATTTACAAAGTAAAACCTCAAATGTTTAGAATTTCTGTCAATTTGTATTATTTCTAGAAATAAATTTTACTAAATTGAAAGTATATTTTATTAACTTAATGTACTTCCGATATAATAAAATTTATTCTGGAAATAACGATTTTTAATAGCAAATTTTACTTTCTCCATAGTTAATTTATGTATAAAATTAAAAAAAATTTTTTTCCAACGTAATAGAATTTGTTATTAAAAATTATTATTTACAGAGTAAATTTTACTACTTGAAAGGAAAATTTTTTGACTTTTATAAAGATATTTTCTTCGGAAATAGTAGAAGTTACAGTACCGTCCGAAATTGTCAGTCCACCCATTTTTAAAGGAATGAAAAAAATTTGTTAACATAAAATTCATGAAAACTAAATTTTTTTTTGGTTTATATTTTAAAAGACGATCAAATTTTGAAGAGAATAAGACCTTACAGAAGTCATTTGGCCAAAATTTGTAGAAGATATTCTTAAAAATCGTCATTTTCAATGTTTCACAAAAATTTGAATAACTTCTAAAATAATGAACGCTTTTTAATAATCTTAGGCTTATTTTAAAGGTCATTTTCTACGGAATAAGAATTACTTATAGGCATTTACCTGTAATTTTTTACTTGGAATAAGCATGCCGTCAAAGTTGGACAAAAAAATTCAAAAAATTTGAAACAATATTATTAAAAGAAAAATAATTTTTGAAATTCAAACATATTTTTTTATTAAATTTTCTTGAAGAATCTACACCATATCATGTTTTATATATGTTCTAGAATAGTTTTTAGTACAAAAAATTTATTTCAAATTTTTCTAATTTTTTTGTCCAACTTTGACGTCATGCTTATTCCAAGAAAAAAATTACAGGTTAATGCCTATAAGTAATTCTTATTCTGTAGAAAATGACCTTTAAAATAAGCCTAAGATTATTAAAAAGCGTTCATTATTTTAGAAGTTATTTAAATTTTTGTAAAACATTGAAAATGACGATTTTTTAAGAATATCTTGAAAAAATATTTGCCAAATGACTTCTGTGAGGTCTTATTCTTTTCAAAATTTTATCGTCTTTCAAAATATAAACCAAAAAAATTTGAGTTTTTATACATTTTATGTTAAAAAATTTTTTTCATTCCTTCAAAAATGTGTGGACTGACAATTTTGGCCGGTACTGTATTCAGGAAATAACAACTTTTAATAATAAATTTTATTATTTTTAACGAAAATTTTATCAATTCCGAAGTAAATTTTAATAATTTTAACTGAAATTTGCTTCGGACGTAAGTAATAAAATTTATAGAATTTCAAAACAAAAGTGGCATTTTAAAAAAGTAATGATTTAAATTTTAGAGAAATTGCAGATTATCGAAAAAGATCAAACAAATATCAATAATTAACAGAAAAAATATAAAATAACAAAATTTACAAAAAAAAAACCAATTTGAAGTTCTTAAGTATTAAACACTGAGTTCTATCTGCAGTGGTGAAAAAATAGAAGGGATATTTTGTTAAAAAAATGTTCATACCACATGTGACCACTAGGTGCTTGCAAACTAACGTGACTACTGTATTGAAAAGCAGGTAGAGTTTTAGAGAGTACAGGTTCCTGACCCACTACGCCTCGTCCTCGAACTGTTTCCAATGTTCCCGATAAACTGAATATCCTCCAGTGTCTTTCTCTCAGTTGAACACTCAAATCTCCAAGATTTTCAAGCCGAATACAGTAACGCCACTGTGGAATTAGAATTTTTTTTAGTTAATAAATACTGAATAATTACAAATAATAGTAAAATAATTGTTAATTACAAAAAACGTGAAAATAAGTAAAGTATATTATAGAATATATGTGGACGTCCGCATGAAAAGGGACCACTTTATCGGTTCTAGATTCCGAAATATTCGCAATTTACTAATTTTGAAGAAAAATATCGAAATTTTTTTTATCCTTTTTTCTTAATCTACAGGGTCTAACACGTCGATTCATGCAGTTTTCATCAATTTATTGACACTCTAAGTATTTTATTTCGTTGTTAGCAAAGAAAATGAAAAGGGACCACTTTGTCGGAAATCCGTTATTTTTTCATTGTTTCAAAACGAAGGGGGAAAAAAATTCGAAACCTATTGATTTTCAATCTTAAGGGTGTATTAAACTTAAAACAACTCTTATCTGAATAACTTCCCAGAAGAACTAAAGATATTCATATTACAATCTTTGATTTCGTTTTTCCCGAAATTACGTATTTGATACTCCAAACTTTCAAATTCTGTAACTCATCGAATTTTTCACCAAAAAGGTTGTAAGACCACTCAAAATTTTCCAAATTTTGTCAGGAATTCGCCCATATAGATAAGTCCAATAGTGACAAAGTGGTCCCTTTTCATTCGGACGTCCACATATATATTTAATATTATTTATAATATATTCAATACTATTATTAAAAGTTAAGATAAAAATAAACTGATGGCTAAATAAATTAAATGTTATAAATTAGTTTGAATTAACATTTAATTTACTCAATCAGCAATTTATTTTTATCTTAACTTTAAAGTAACTAAATTTAAACTAATTTATAGCATCAATTTTTTAGGAATAGTTAATTAAAAATTAATAATTCTGATTTATAATATTAAAATTGAGAATTAAAGTCAAGGGATGTAAAATTCTACTAGCCCAATAAACGGAGGTGGTTTGACTCTCTCTGCAGCCCATATAAAAAGGAATTACAGTAACACGAATATTTTCCGTTGTCTCTTTGTGTACGTCTGATAATTCGAGCCAGGGATGATTTTTCTTCTGCCAAGCTCTCAATGTGTCTTGAGCAAGAAATGGCGGATCCTTATTGGGATCGTAAACCAAAAATTTGTCTATTAATTCGTGTTGAAGTGCTGGTTTTTCATTTGTTGTGTAAGGCAAGATATCTTCATGGGCAACGTAATCTAAACCTGGTATTGCATATAAACTACGACTACCTTCTTGATTACCCAAAAATGTCACCGCTTCCGTCTGTGCCCGCTATTGAGACAAAAATAAAGAAAAATATCTCAGATGAATGCAAATTTACAAAAAATATTTTAATAAATGTAAAAAATTTCCCTATGGACAAAATTAAATTTCAATTAGTAAAAAGTCGTTCAGTAATTCAAATTAGTAGAAAACTAATTCTTACAATTAAAAAATCTATTCGAATTGTACTTAATTCTTATTTTATTTAGTAGTTCTAAATTATTTATTTAAATTTTTAGTGCAAAATTACTAAGAATTTGTAGAAACTAGCATAATTTTAAAGACCATTGTTAATTACAAAAGCTTTCTTTTTGAAATTTAAAGAAAATCTACTATTTTGTAAAAAATATAGTTTTTCGAACTATAATCTTCAAAAATACGATTATATTACAAAGCAATTTTTAAAAGAAATTAAATTAAATTTTTTCAAATATAAAATTTATTTCAATGAAATTTAACAAAACTTTTAATAGTTTCAATTTTTAAAATTATTTGCGGGAATTCAATTATCTTTAAAATTTAATTATTTCTACAAACATTACAACGGCAATTTTTTCAAAAGTCCACCAGGAATAAAAAATTTCAAAACACTTTCAATGTAAAACCTTTTGAAAGTTAATTATTTTTAAAAAAATGAATTACTTATTGTTATTCTTTGAGTAATCTTTAAAAAATTAAAGTAGAATTTAATTAATTTCAAAATTCAAAACATTGCAAGAAATATTTAAAAACTATTTTATAGTTTTAAAAATAATTGAATTATTGCATCAAGAATTTTTAAATATAATTAAATTCTTGCGAAGAATTTTATTAAAATTTTTAAAAACAATTGAAATCCTGCGAAGAATTTTATTATTTATGAAAATAATTGAATTCTTGTCAAAAATGTTTTTATAATTTTTGAAAATAATTAAATTGATTGGAAGAATTTTATTAAAATTTTTAAAAATAATTGAAATCTGCGAAGAAATTGATTATTTATAGAAATAATTAAATTCTTGTGTAGAATTTTATTTAAATTATTCAAAATAATTTAAATTTTCTCAATTATTCAAACACAAAAATACTTTACCGTCCTGTGAAAATCATATTATTGTCAAAATTCCAAGGAAATTAATTAAACACTAATCACTCTATTTACAAATTAATTGTCAAACTTTTGAGCTGTAAAACAGTTTGTAATGAAAAAGTAGACGCCTTTTTACTAATTTAGATTTAAAGACAGAGTAAAGAAATTCTAATATATTTATCTATCTTGAAAGAGTAAAAAGATAACGCGATTCTACTTACAATGTGTGGACAATCACGTTGATCTATCAAAACTTGATAAAACGTGTGTGTTCTCCCTTTCACTTCTTTGCCAACACTGTTGAAATTTCCTCCCTCGTTTCTAAACAAATTTGATCAGTTAGCCAAGGAGACTAGAAATTTATTACAGTACATGTGAATTTTGTTAATTCTACTTCATTAAGATTTTATTCATTTCATTAATTATTAAAAGAGAGTCGTTATAAATACCCTTCTTTTCTGCTTGGTATATCTCTGTCATAAACTCTCGCCAACCATGGAAAAAGAATAACACCTCGATATCCAAAAACTCTGTGTAAAATCAGCTGCCCTGTTTCATATTTTCCTTGTAGTTTTGGTGTCTCCAATTTACCAACTTCTGTCAGTCTGAATTTAAAAAAGAAAAATCAGTCTCTCTCTTCTCTCTCTCTTTGTTCTCGAACACGCGTCAAGGAATGCAAACTACGCATTTTTTGTCACCCATAGAGTAAACAATTGATTGAAACTCAGAAGCAAGGAAATAATTTTGATAAATAAAATTATTTCGAACGTGTATTGATTGAATGAAGTGATTTTAAGGTGAAAATACATTTTTTGGATTTAGTTGTCAAACCGCAAGGGTGTGTGATTAAGGTTATATTTTCGGCATTTATGTAATACGTATTATTTACCTGACATAAGTTGCATTTTGTGCATAGAAAATTTGCTTTGACACTTCGAGAAGAGAACTGCGAATTTTTCTACCAAGAAACCCACGTACAAGTTGCATATTTTTGTTCCAAAATAGTAACGTTTTTTTTTAGAGTAAAAAAGCCTAATGTTTATTACGAGCTACATCACATGGTACAGTATTTTTTTGCTACAGTGCGAACGTAGTTATCACACTACGTCACTCTCGAAATGTAAATATCGAAGTATCGAATTCATTTTTATGTTGGTAATTCAGTTGGAGCGCGAAAAATTTAAATTTAAAAGTGCTATTCTCGTAAAATTAATACACAACCTTTAAAATTTTTAATTAAAAATATTAATTTTGTTTTTCAAGGGGAATCCCGGTATTATTAACGATGTGAAATATAAGTCGACTAATTTTGATTTATTAAAGAATGATAATATTAATAATAGTAACAATATTATTAATCATAATAATAATTAATAAATAATGAAAATTAACGATAAATAAATACGACTGAGTGATAGAATCATCTCTACTCTTCATAATAATAATTGTTAAATTAATTATTATTATTAATTATTAATAATAGATACCAATTAATAAATCTTAATCAATCAATCAAAAAAACTACAAGAATTGAATTGCTTAGAAGAATTTTGTTCAAATATTTTGAAAATATTTAAACTCTCTCAAAGAATTTAATTAAAATTGTACTGAAATTAATTAAATTCTTCTAAACAATTTTGTCAAAATTTTTGAAAATAAGTAAATTCTTTAAAAAAATTGTATTCAAATTTTTAAAAATAATTAAATTTCTTCGAAGAATATTATTATTTAAGAAACTAATTTAATTCTTGCGAAGTACAATTTATAAAAATAATTTGATATAAATTGGATATAAAATAATTAAATTTATTCAAGAAATATCTTTAAAATATTAAAACTAATGTAGTTTTTGAATTAATTTTAATTGAAAATTTTTAAAATAATTGAATTTTACGAAGAATTTCTTTCCTTTTTTTTTAATTATAAAGTTCGTTAATAGTTGTGTAATTAAGAATTTGATTGTTGAATTTTATTTAAAATTTTTGGAAATAATTGAATTCTTGGCAAAATTTTATTGAAACTTGAAAATAATTAAATTCTTTCGAAAACTTTAATAAAAATTGTTCTGAAATTAATTTAATTCAAGCGAAGAAATTTATTATATTTATGAAAATATTTGAATTCTCATAAAACATTTTGTCAAAACTTTTGAAAATAATTTAATTCTTTAGAAAAATTGTATTACAATTTTTAAAAATAATGAAATTCTGTCGAGAAATTTTATTCAAATTGTATTGAAAATAATTGAATTACCGCATAAAATTTTATAATTTATGAAAAAAATGAATTCTTGAGGAAAATTTTATTTCTTATGATTTTTAGTTAAGGGCATTTGAACCTTGATGACGTTACAGATTGTGCAAAGCATGTGTGACGTCATCAAGGTTCAAATGCCCTTAAAAATACTTAAAAAATTGAATTTTAGAGAAGTTACAATTGATTTCAGAAATTCAATTATTTTCAAAAGTAATAAAATTCTTCGCAAAAAATCTATTATTTTCAAAAATATATTAATATCATTCTTGACAAAATTTCAATGATTTTTAATACCTAGGCATTATAATAAAATTTTCCAAAAGAATTCAATTATTTAAAAAAAAAATTTTTTTTAGATTTTAATAAAATACTACGCAGAGATTTAGTTATTTTCATTAATAATAAAATTTTTACAGGAATTCAATTAATAATTATTTAAAAAATGTTTATAAATTTCTTCTAAAAAATTTAATTATTTTCAAAAATAATTAAATTCTTATCAGAAATTCAATTATTAAAAAAAATTTAATAAAGTTTTTTTTAATAATTCAATTATTTTCATAATTAATAAAACTCATCGCAGAATTTTAATTATTTTAATACAGTTTTAATCAAATTGCTTCGAAAACTAATTATTTTAAAAAAATTTATTAAAATTCGTTCAAAGAATTTAATTATTTAAAAATTTGTTGTTCAAATCAAAAAATTATTTATTTTTGTATTTAAATAATTGAATTCTCGTATAGAATGTTCTGATAAAAATTGATTTAAAAATGAATTTCAGTTAAAATTTTAAATAACAATGGAATAAAGAAAGCATTATAGCGTGAATTTTTTAGAGGTAGGTACATAATTAAATTTTGAAAAGGTTTTAATTTAGAATCTTTGAAAGTCTGAATTTTTCATACTTTTAACTAACAATTCTAAAGAATTAATTTGTTTAAAAAAATTTAATTGAAATTTTTTTAAAATTATTTGAAGTTTTTATTTTCTAATATTATTAATTGTTTCCGAATAATCGAAATTTTGTAAAATTGAATTGTAAACAAATAGATTTGAAAATTTTCAAAGTACTTTTTCAAAAATTATTAAAAATAATTGATTTAAAGAAGAAATTTAGTTAAAAATTCTAGAAAATAATAATTAAAGGTTTGAATTTGAATGTTTTGAAGAATTTTAGTTCCTATGGAACAATAATAATAATTAAATATTTATTTAAAAGAGAAGTTATTGATGTTTTGGAATAATTTTACAATTAAAGAAATTCGTAAATGAATGTAGTGGAACATTTTTTTGAGTATTTAATAATTTTTAAAGTGAATCAGAATATTCTCTATAGGGTCAGGAAAAAAATCAAAATTTTGTCTGAAAATCTAGGATAAACAAAATTTAATTTTTCTGTCAGGGAATTTTATAAAATATTTTTTTCAAAAATTAATTTGACGTATCTGAATCGCGAAAATTTCAATTTTTAATTTTTATTCTCACTTCTAATTTAAAAAAATTCCATTAACTAATTTTTCAAGTTAGATTTAAATTGGTTCAAAAATTCAGTTATTTTCAATACAATTGTAATAAAATTTCACGAGAGAATTAATTGTTTTTAATTTTTAAGAATATTTTTCGAAATAATTCAATTATTTTCTGAAATTTCAATAAATCCTTGGAAACAACACAATTTTTTTCTTAATTAGTTATAAAATTTTTCAAAAAAATTCAATTATTCTCTAATATTTTAATAAATTCTTCGAAACATTTCAATTATTTTTATAAGTATATAGGGTCATTTGGGGTAAATGTAAACAAGGGGTAAATGTAAACAGTAGATGTTTCAGCTAAATTTACAAATTTAAAAATAAGTACGAAGTCAATATTTTTACCTCAGCTCACCTACAAGATGTTCTAAGTATTGCCAATATTTTATTTTGACAATTGGCAATGCCATAGTGTAAGTTATTTTTTAATGCAAAAAAGATTGAAAATCAAAATTTTAGTGTTTCAGTATTTTGTCTCGCATTTGCATAAAAATAAATTAAAAAATCAAACAAAAATATGTAATTCTTCCTTATTAATGCCCTAACAAAAATTGACTTTGATATTTGATTTTCGTCAATTTAGTTAATAAATAATTAAGTGTTTACATTTACCCCGAGAATTCGAAAACTCGGGGTAAATGTAAACAGAACTTGAACTACATTTTAAAAGAAAATAATTGAATAAATTTGCTTCTATTTCACAATTTAATTAATTTGGCAATGTAAAATTACATAGGAAAGGAAATTAGGTCCTCTTTGAAAAAAAAAATTTGATAAAAAAAATTTTTTTTTGAAAATTTGAGAAAGTATCAAAAAGACACAAAAAAAAAAAATAAAAAAAAAATAAATAATTTTTTTTTCTTAACATGAAACTCAACATGGAATTATTTTTTTTTTTATAATTTTTTTTTTTTTTTTTTGTTTTGAAATTTTTTTTTTTTTCATTTTCATAACACATTGATCAATTTTTAAAAATATTTTTAGGTTCATCCGACATTTTGAAAATTTAAAATTTGACTTGAAATTCGTATTCAGCGACCTCAAAAACCCCCTAGTTGCCAGATTCAAGCAAATTTGATCAATTTTTAAAAACATTATTTTTAGGTTCATCCGCCATATTGGATCCACCATTTTGAAATTTAAAAATTCGATTTCAGATTCTTATTGAGCAACCTTAAAAACTTCTTTTTACCAAGTTGAATGAAAATCTATTAAAATTTATTCGAGTTATTCAAGTTTTTACATTACTAATTTTGTAATGGTTAATTGTTTATTTTATATGATAAATTATCAGTCAACTGGTTGATTTACTACACATCTACGAAGAATTTTTTTTCAGTTTTTTCATCCCTTAAAACAGTAGTATACTTGAAATAACTTGTTTCTTAAACCTCGCTTAACTACAGTGGTGTTTACATTTACCCCGAATTTTAGGAAAATTTCAAAATCTCGGGGTAAATGTAAACAGTCAGTTTTAGGCGATTCAGGTGCATCAATAATTTTTTGTACCACATAAAATTTTTCTAGGGAACACTAGCAAAAAAAACAAAACAAACAAAAAAAACTAATGTTTTTGGTGAAAGATACATATTCCGTTTACATTTACCCCAACCCAGTAAACGAAAACTAATTGAAATGAATTAAAAAGAATTCACAAAGAGATTTCGTGAATCCCGCTTTGTGACAAATACGAATTGGAGCCATGATGCAATTTTCCTGAATTCGTGAAACTGTATTGAACTTCCGAACCTTCTATCCGTACCAATTCACTGGACAAGTTTTGAGCCTTTAATTTTTTTCAATTCGTTAGCACGAATTCAATGCATTCCTTGGCCATTTCTTTCGAATGCGAATTCGTTTGGACAAATTGGTACATATTGAATTAAATTCAATTGAATATACAAAGAGCTTGAGTGAATCCCGCTTTGTGACAAATACGAATTGGAGCCTACCAAAAATGTTAATTCGTTTCAATTCATTTGAATTAGTTTTTTTTTACTGGGAATTGACCCTAGTAAAATTCATCGCAAGAATTAAATTATTTTTTATGAATAGTAACGATTATTTTAAAAAATTGAAAAAAATTCTTTGTTTAAATGAATTATTTTAAAAATTTTTACTTAAAAATTAATTCAAAAAACTACATTTTCAAAAACATAGTTAAAGAAATACTTCAAAAGAATTTAATACTTTACAAAAACTCAAATAAAATTGTTTAAAAGAGTTTAATTTTCCAGCAAAAATTTTAATAAATGTTTACAGTATGATTATTAATTATAATTATTAAAAAAATTGACATAACCAATAATTTTCTAGAAATTTTAATAAAATTCAATTATTAAATGTTTAATTTCAATTATTACGAAACACGATTATTTTAGAAATTTAAAATAAATTGTTGATGAAATTCAATTATTTTGAAAATTATCAATTAAAATTATTAAAGAAATTTCATTTTTAAAAAAAAATTAAAACAAATTCTTCAAAGAATTTAATTAGAATTATTAAAATTTTAATAAAATTCTTCGCAAGAATTAAATTATTTTTATAAATAATAAAATTCTTCGAAGGAATTGAATGATTCTCAAATTTTTTGATAAAATTCTTTGCAAGAATTCAATGATGTTCAATACATTAATTTTAAAATTGAAAATATTTAAAAAGAAAAAATATTAAAAATGTTAGGAAACAAAAAAAGCAAACAACAACTAACTAATTTGGTTAGGGAATTTAAAAAAAAATTGTCTGGAAAACCTGGAAAAGTCAGGGAATTTTGAAATGCTGAATTCTCGTAGCAACCCTGAATAAAATCCGAAAATATAGATTGAACTAAAAAATTTTAATCCATACAGGTAAATTGATAAAAAAAAAAAAATAATGAATTTCTTTGATTGAAAAAAGTAAGATGTAATGATCGCCAAATTTTATCAGCGATGGTGGTCGATTGCGTTAAGAATAAGAGAGACCGGAAAGCGGGCGTCGGTTTGACGTATCATCCGGTTGTGGCGGCTCGCCTTAGATGGGGTGGGGTGGTGGTCGTGGGGGCCTTATGTGTGTGTGGGGGGGGGATGAGGAGGACAGCAAAGAGTGACTTTCTTACTCGTTATACGCGACGATACCTGCTCCAAGTTTGCAAGTGGGCGTACAGGCCGCAGAGAGAACGTCGTGTGTTCCCTACATGGCTATGCTATGTGGAAACTGAAAGACAGAGAGACAGTCCCCACCGTGGACTTGGCGGAGGCGAGTCCCCCCATTCGACGACTTTACCCATGCACAACGGATCAGCAACCGGCCCATTCTCAGTTTTCCTCATCTCTCGCGATCATCTCTATCCTTATCTAATCTAAAACAACAAAAATTAATTATACAGTTAAATAAAAATTTTTTTTCCCCCAAAAGAAATAAAAAGTACAAAAAGAAACATTTTCTAATTATCACTTCATAATTAAGTACCTAAACTTGTAGAGTAAATGGAGAGTAAATGGAAAGTAATTGTGAAGTAAATGCAAAGTAATTGTAAAGTAAATGAAAAGTAATTGTAAAGTAAATGCAAAATTATTGTAAAGTAAATGTAAAGTTGCAAAGTAATTTACAAGTGTTGAAAAAAGAAGAAAAGAAGAGGAAAAAAAATTGTAGTGCAAAAAGAAAGTAAGCGCAATGTTACGACGAAATGTGAAGAGTTGGGAATTTTGTATGTGAAAAATCAAATTGAAAAAGAATTAAGGGTGCCGCGCTGATTGATGCGTCTGCGTGCAGGCGAATTCAAATTGACACGTGTTGGTGCGCGTGCGCGTACGCGAGTGGGCGCGCAGAATATTTATTCAAAGTGAAGTGTGTGATCCACGTGCGCGAGTGTTGTGAATGTGTGAGTGGAGAAAACCCGCGAATCTCACGAGGAAAGAAGAACAAGAAGAAGAATAATAGAAGAAAACATCACCGAGTATATATCATTGTGAAGAGAAGGAGAATTCGCGACAAGGGTGTAGGTAGGTATTAACCGGCTATGGGAACATTTTACACGTACGTGTGTGGGTTTCATTCTTGTATATTTGTGCGAGTTGAATAAATTAAGGAACAACCCACCCGCCTCACGTTTATCGCTTGTGCTTTTAACTAACTCGATATTGAGTGAGAGAGAAAATTTAATTCATTATTCTGCGGTATTTGTCCAATTTATCTCATTTATATTTGTTTTGTAATCTCTTCATTATTATTATAATTTTTGCACTTTTCTTTCTTTTTTGCGAAAATTTTAATATCGAATTTAATTGCTTTTAAATTTCTAATTATCTTTCTAATCCATGTCTTGATTCTTATATATATTAATTGGATTGAAAATTAATTTAGTTTGCAATTTTTTTCAGTCAAAATTTAAAAAATTTGCACTTCTTTTTACCTTCGGAATTGTGGATCCGTTTTGAGGAATTATATTATCCACTTTCTCAATCTCGAGAATAATTGATAATTTTTATTATTATTTCTCATTCTCCTTTCTTTACGGCTTTAAAATTTATTAAGTTCGAGTCACATCTGCTCCTCAATGATTTCTCGTATTTCCAGTTATAATTTATAGCAGAATTCTTCATTTATCATTATCGAGATGTAAAATTCCGGGATTATTTCCGGTTTTGTCGCGAAGACTCCAATTTTTATTGATAAGTCATCATCGTTCGTATATAAATGGTAGAAATTTTTATTTTGGCTTTCGCGAATCCTTCTCTTTTCCATTATTTACTTTCCATATTTTCCAAAACTGAAAATTAGAAAGAAAGACAGATTAAAAAATTTCAAATTAAAATTATTTAAATTTAAAATGAAAAAATGTAAGATTGTAATAAAATAAAATATTAATTTTCTTTGTTTTTTCAATTAATTGTGAAAAATTAATTTCCAATTTTTACTCAAGGTTGCCATCAAAAATTAAAATTCTTTTTTCCCAACTTTTCCTTATTAATTTCAAGACAGAATTTTGACTTTTTTCCTATGATGCTTATAAAAAAATCCAAAGCAGTTCAATTATCAAGAAGATAATTTTTAAAAGCAAAAAATTTATTTAAAACTTGAAGAGTGTCTATCTATATTTTAAAAATAAAATGAATTACTATGGCAAACTTTTATTCGATTATTCTAAACAATGCCAATAAAATTATTCAAACATTCATTTTAAATAAAATTTTAGAAAATTTCAATTAATTGTAATAGAATTTTATAAAATTTAAAGAATTTACTCAAAAATTTTCAATTGTATTTACAAAAATTGTTTATTTATTTACCTTGTTGTAAAAATTCACAAAATTTTCAATAAAAAAATATTTTTAATAGAATTTTAAGAAATTTTAATTATTTAAAAAATATTCAATTATTTTTTTTTTAAATTCAATTACTTTTAATAGAGAGTTTTAGAAAGTTTCTATTGTTTTTCAAAAATTTCAATTATTTAAAAAATTTGCAGAATTTAAAATTTCAAATCTATTGAATTTCTTTTATAAGAATTTGATACTGTTCTTTCTCCAAATTTAATTTCATGATTTATCATTAAATTATTTTCTAAGATTTTTAACTAAAATTATTCTCTAAATCAATCATCAATTATTTTTAATAATTTTTGAAAAAGTTCTTTTAGAATTCAATTGTTCAGAGCAAAAAAAAGGCGTTCAATTAAAGTAATTCTGAAATTAATTACAATTTAATTTTCTGAAATTACGATTATTTGAAAATTTTTCAAGTAAATATATACATAATATTTAAAAAGAATGAAGAAATATAAATTTTTGCAGAATTTTAAATAAAATTATTCAATACTCTAAATAATTTTAAATAAATAATTAATTATCATAAATTTCTTCAAAACAAAATTAGAATTAAATTCTTTAAAAAAATTTAATTATTTTAAATATTTAAATAAAATTTTTCAAAGCAATTCAATTATTTTCAACAATTTTTGATAAAATTCTCTGATGATTCAATTATTATAAAAAATAATGAATGAAATTCTTCGATAATTCAATTATTTTCAACAATTTTGATAAAATTATTTGACAATTAAATTATTTTCAAAAATAATGAAATTAATTTATCATAAATTTCTTCAAAACAAAATTGGAATTTACAAAAAATATAGTTCAAAACCTTTTGAAATCTAATTTTTGCTGAAAAATTGCAATTATTTTTTTTACTAAAATCTTTTTGAAATTAATTATAATTAATAACTTTAAGATAGTTATTATAGAATCTATAATTATTTAAAATAAATGTAATTATTTGTGGAAATAAGGAAAAATTAAAATATTGTTTCAAAATTCATTGCGATTACGAAAAGTTTTTAAAGTGAAAAAAATTCAAGGAGAATTCAGAGTTTCTAAATTTATCCCTACTTTTGATTCACAATAAATTTTAAAATAATACCTTAATTTTTTCTTACTTTTGTATATAATTAGATTGATTTTAAATACATAAATTCTAGAATAACTATTTTAATGTTATTAATTATAATTAACTTAATGACCATTTTAGTTAAAAACAGTTGCAATTTTCAGAAATAATTTAATTTTTAAAAGGTTTTAAACTAAAATTTTTGAAATTTTCAATTGTCGTGAAGAAATTATAATAAATTGAATTTTTTATTTATGGAAAAAGGTAATCAAATTTTTGTGGCACCTTGAATTTGCAATTTTTGGTCCAAAGTTTGAAAAATTTAAATTTCATTAAAATGTGCATTTTTCTCTACCTTCGGAATTATGGACCCGATTTTAGAAAAAATTCTTTTTACTTTGGGGGAAAAAGCCTTTTCTTCACTTTTTCCCTTCGTTGACGTTCCTTCTTTCTCTCAAGGAACATTGCCATTCTCTTCATCCCAAGCGGTGTTTTATTCTCAAATTGCCTAAATTTTTCCACAATCTTCTCACCAGGTCCGTTGTACTTGAAAAGTTCTTCCATAATTTCCATTTGATTCAAAGGCTTAAATAAAAGTTGACTGCGTCTCCTCACATTGAGTACATTTTCCACCGTTTGTCGAATAAATTCAAATGGCAATCCAATTGATAATTTTGCCAAACACGAGAGATCAATATTTCTGTCGATTCCATGATATTTCATTAGGAGATTTTGATAAAATAGAAATAAACTATTGTAATCGGTCACTGGAATTATGATAAATTTATCGTGAATTTTGATAAAAGGTTTTCCTCCATTGTACGGCTGTGATGTGAGCGTGAGGAAGAGTATCTGTGAAGAAGCAGAAGAAGAAAAATATTATAAATTTTTTTTTTTAGTTAATGATATACACGTGTATAAGTGTGGAGCGGTAACAAGGACAGACTCGTGGGCGTTAAGAATCTGGGGACGGCACATTCGTTTATATGTATATATACATAGTGAAAATATCGTTTCTTGTATGTATAATACACAAGAATAATGAACATCGAGTTTCTTTCTTGCTTAATTTCTCTCTTAATCGTTTAGAAACATCAAAAAATACTTTTACGGGCAGAAGAAACTAATCATATTCATGTTTAAACATTGAATTCAAGTAGAAAAAAATATATTTATATATTTAATGAATCGTTTGTCTCAACTGTAATAAATTTTCAAAATTTTATTTCGAAATTCATTGATTTCTCTTCTTTTAATTTTGTAATTATTAAAATTATATATTTACAAATTATTTCTTTTGAACATCAATGAAAATCATATTTTATTTGCGCCCAAAACGTGATATTTAAGTTATTATCGTTATTATTAAGGCAAATTAGAAAATTTTTTATGTTCAAATGTCAACTTCTATTTTTGAATAATTTTAGAATCAAAATTTTAAAAAATTCACTTTTATTAAACTAATTATTATTTTCGGAAATATTAATGACATTTTTGGAAACAATTGAATTATTTTCAAAAATTGTAGTAAAAGTGTTCACAATAATTCAATTATTTTCATAGATAATAAAATACTTTGCAAGAATTTAATTCTTCATTAATAATTCACTTATTTTCAATAACATTTCAATTAAATTCCTCGTAAGAATTTGAATATTTTGAAAAATTTTAATAAAATTCTTCGCAACAATGTAATTTATTTCATAAATAATAGAATTCTGCAAGAGAATTAAATTATTTTTTAAAAAACGTTTAATAAAATTCTTCGAAAGAATGAAATTGTTTTCAAAAATCTTGAAAAAATTCCTAATATTACATAATATTATTTTGAATTCAATTTGAATTATATATCTCAAAAGAATTTAATTATTCTAAATATTTAAATAAATTTTTTAACACAATTCAATTATTTTCAAAAATTTGAATGAAATTCTTTGATAATTCAATAATTATTTTCATCGATTTTGATAAATTCCTTGATAATTAAATTATTTTCGAAAATAATGAAATTCTTCACAGGGAATTAAATTATTTTTAATAATTTTGATAAAATTCTTTGATAATTCAATTATTTTTGAAAAATAATAAAATTCTTCATAGGAATTCAATTATTTTCAAAAATTTTAGTACAAATTATTACAATAATTCAATTACTTTCAATGCAATTTCAATTAAAATTCTGAAAAACATTTACATAAAATTCTTCACAAGAATTTAATTATTTTAAATATTTAAATAAAATTTTTCAAAACAATTCAATTATTTTCAAAATTTTGAATGAAATTCTTCGATCATTCAATTATTTTCAACAATTTTGATAAAATTCCTTGATAATTGAATTATTTTCGAAAATAATGAAATTCTTCACAGGAATTCAATTATTTTTAAAAATTTTGATAAAAGTCTTCATAGGAATTCAATTATTTTTAAAAAATTTAGTACAAATTATTACAATAATTCAATTACTTTCAATACAATTTCAATTAAAATTCTGAAAAACATTTACATAAAATTCTTCACAAGAATTTAATTATTTTTAATATTTAAATAAAACTTTTTAACACAATTCAATTACTTTAAAAAATTTGAATGAAATTCTTCGATAATTCAATTATTTTCAACAACTTTTAAAAAATTTCTTGATAATTCAATTATTTTCAAAAATAATGAAATTTTTCACAGGAATTCATTTATTTTTAATAATTTTATTAAAATTTTTCAAAGCAATTCAATTGTTTACAAAAATTTTAGTACAAATTATTAGGTACAATAAAAAATTCTGAGAAAATTTCATTTTTAAAAAAATTGAAATAAAATTCTTTACAAGAATTTAATTACTTTTCTAAATAATAAAATTCTTTGCAGAATTTCAATTAGGTATTTTTAAAAATTTTAATAAAATTCTTCAAAGCAATTCAATTATTTTCGAAAATTTTAATACAATTTATTACAATAATTCAAACACAATTTCAATTAATATTCTCAAAAAAATTTCATTTTGTTTAAATTTAAATAAAATTTTTCGTAATTTTGCAATATTTTCTATAATTAGTGAATATAATTCACAGGAATTAAATTATGAATATTAATATTCAAAGAAATAATTTTTTAAAACATTTAATAACATTTTTCGAAAGAATGTACTTATTTTCAAAAATCTTGAAAAAGTTTCTTATAATACGATTGGCACTAAAAGCCTGTTTAAAATAAACAAATAATAATTTAATTATTTTCAATTCAATTTGAATTAAATTCCTCTGAAGAATTTAATTATTTTCAAAAATAATTAAAATAAATAATTCTTCAAAAGTATTTATTTATTTTCAAACATTTTAATATATCTCCACGCAGAAATTAAATTATTTTTAAATTTCATATGATAAAAGTTATCAAAATTATATCTTTTTTTTAAACAAAAGTGTTATTTTTTCAATTTTTTAAAATTTATGGTGAATTATGAAAAATAAGATAATTTCTAAATTTTTTTTTAGCAATGTTTTGAAGTTTAAAATTAATGAAATGTTAACTTTAATGTTTTGAAGATTACTCAAAGTATAAAAATAATTAATTAAACAAAATTTTTCTGAATTAAAAATAAAGTAATTATTTTTAAATTTATATAATTTAATTTAAATTTAATAAATACAGTAAATATTTAAAGCAAAACATTTCAAAAAAAGAAAAATATTATACAAAATAATTAGGTAAGAAAAAAGCAAAGGAAAACCTCAAATTTCAATTTGCGAACAGACGGAATACATCAATTAATGGTATAGAAAAATAAGTAACTTATTGTTAATTTAATATTTTTTTAATAATACTTGTTTCTTGTATAAAAGATAGAAAACTTAATTTCGCAAAAATTATTTTCTGTTTCAGTTTTTATTCTATTTTTCTATCGTTTCAATTATATATTTTTATTTTATTGTTTTAATTTTACTTTTAATTCTCTATTGTTTTAATTTTATATTACTTTATTTTTCTCAAACAATTCCAGATGCGTTTTAAAGATATCAAGAGAAGGAAAATAATAAGAATAATGAGAAGAAGGAAAAAAAGCAAGGTGGGGATTAGATATACATATGTAGTTGAGATCTTGTTGCAAATGTGCATTAAAGGTACACAGCACGTCTAAATGAAACACAAAACCTAAGGGAAACGGTAGATGAAAAGTGAAACATGGCATCCGGGATGAACTTAAGCTTTTCTCTCTCTCTCTCTCTCTCTTTTATATAATTACGTATATACTGGAACTTCTGGTTTTATGACATTGTAAAGAAACTTTAATTTCCTACTTTAATTCAAAATCAAATAAAAAAAATACAGATCTCACTTTAATCATGATATGAATTACACGTCCGTCCGCAGATTCTTCCGCCTCGAGTCCATTTCAAGCAGATCGAAAATAAAATTTATATGCAAAATTAACTGCCGAATATTAAATTAAATCTCTAAATTATGTATCAACTTTTATTTTTTTCCCTTAGATCACTAATTTTACGATTTTGCACAAGAAATTAATTTTTCAAATGTATTCGATAATTTTTATCAATTAATTAAAATAAATAAAAGTAGATTAATCGAGTCATTATATTAAATATATCAATAATTATAGAAATTATATTTAATCGAATAATAATAATATGAATTGAATAATAATAACACGAATTGAATAATGATAATAATAATTATACGAATTGATAAAAGTGATTAAATGATTTAATTCATTTAAATTACTTAGTTAAATGAATTATTTAATTCGCTTTATGTTATTTTTAAATTTGTTGTCGTTTTTATTTTCCATTTTAGTTACTTTTTTATTACTTGGAAATATTTACGAAAGGAACTAAAAATCACAGACTAAATCTAAAATTAGTAATAAATAAAGACTAAATACTAATTAAAAAAACGAACCTGATCACCGGGTTTTATTCCTTTGACGAATTTTGTCAAAAGTTTTGCGAATCTCTTGGGTTTCGTGTGCTTTTCCTCGGGGGGGATTTTTTTCCACCACGGTTTCTCGCCACCATCGATGAAAATTATCGAAGGTGCATGAAAACGTGAGACTTTTCCAATTTTACTCATGAGACGCTTTTGTTCCTTTTTACTCGTGTATTTGTCAATTAAAATACTTGGCGTCAAATCGAATACAAGTGCACCGACTTCAGTTGAAATGATATTTGCCAAAAATGATTTTCCATAACCCGGCAAACCGCAAATGCACACTGACTTCACTTGGGGTGACAATAGATTTACTTGCTTTGAGCCCAATGGTAGAATACAATATTCCATGATTAATTGTTTAATTTCGCCGAGTCGATGACTGTGGTCGCGAAATTCTTTCTGCGCTTCATAATTTTGATACGATAAATCACCAATCCAGTCTTGTAATTTTGCCTCAGGATTGTATCTTAATATATTCGCCAATGCAAGTTCTTTGAAAAGTTCTTCGACTGATACATTTGATAGGGGTTCTTTTTTCTTCTTCTTCTTATTCTTCTTTCCTTTTTTTCCTGGTTGAAAGAATGGTTAAAAGAAATTTTAATTATAAAGATATTAAAATCAATGACAATTTTTTTTAAGTATAAAAATTAAAGTTTTCAATTCTAGATTTAAGTTTAAATTTTGCTATCATGCGAGAAGAGCAAAAGATATTTTACTTTTTAATAAATCAATTGAGAAGTAATTTTTCAAAAGTTGATAAATGTCCCTAAAGTTCTGATATTAACTTTCAAAAATGAACGAGATTAATTTATTTCTTTTTCAAATTCAAAATTTATTTTTTTTAATTCAGCGTTAGTATAAAAGAATAAATTATGAAATCTCCAAGTGTTTAATTTACGTTTATCTTTTTTATTATAATCAAAAATAATTTTCGAAATTTAAAAAATATTTCGCTAATTTGAGCGTTAAGGACATTTGAAACATTTAAATAAAATTTCACGAAAGGATTCAATTATTTTAAAGAATTTTTAATTTAATTTTTCGAAAGAATTTAGTTATTTCCTAAAATTTTGATAAAATTCTTCGGAATATTTCAATTATTTTTATAAATTCCAAAATTCTTCTCAGAATTTTTAATAAAATTTTTCGAAAGAATTCAATTATTTCCTAAAATTTTAATAAAATTCTCCGGAACAATTCAATTATTTTTATAAATTCTGCTCAGAAATTCAATTATTTTCAAAAAAAATTTTAACAAAATTTCTCGAACGTGTTCCATTATTTTTAAAAATTGTAATACAATTTTTCTAAAATATTCAATTATTCTCAAAAGTTTTTATAAAATTCTTTCTAAATTTCTATTATTTTCAAAATTTTTTTAATTATTAAAATAACTTCATTATTTTCCAAAGATTCAAAGAAAATCTTCTAAACAATTCAATTATTTTGTAAAATTTAAATAAAATTCTAGCCAAGAATTAAATTATTTTCAAAAATTTTAATAATATTATATTGTGATGAAGAATTCGATTATTTTCATAAATATAATAAAATTCTTTACAAAAATTAAATTATTTTCAATAGAATTTTAATAAAATTTCTTGAAAGAACTGAAATCTTATCTTTGAAAATATTTTCAAATAATTTGATAAAATTTTTAAGGGAATTTAATTATTTCCAAAGTTCTTAATAAAACTCTTCCCCAAGAATTCAGTGATTTTCAATTTAGTATTAATTTTAAAATTCAAAACCTCTAAAAAGGAAATTTATTAAAAAAGTTAAAAAAGAAAGAAAGAAACAAAATGAATTGATTGAATAAATAATTTAATTGTTTTGAAGAATTTCTTTGAATTGTTTTAAAATAATAGAGATTTTTTTAATAATTTTAATTGGAAATTTTGAAAGTAATTAAATTTTATAAAAAATTTTCTTTCAAGTTTTTATAATAATCCTGTTTGTTAATAATTTTAATTAAACATTTAATTATTGAATTTTATTAAAATTTTTAGAAAATAATTAAATTTTTCTCAGAATTTTATTACAATTTTTTTAAATAATCAAATTCATTCAAGGCATTTTATTAAAATATTGAAAATAATTTAATTCTTTCGAAGAGTAGATACTTTTAAAGGTTTTGACAATAATTGGATTTTTTAAAAATTTCTTTCAATTACTGAATATAATTGAATTTTTAAATAATTTTACTATTAAATTTAATTAAAATTATTAATAAAAAAATTGAATTCTTTTAAACAATTTTATTAGAATCTTTCTAAATAATTAAATTCTTTTGAAGAATTTCTTTAAGTTTTTTTGAAAATAATGTAGCTTTTTTAATAATTTTAATTGAGAATTTAGAGAATTGTATAAGATGAAGGATTTTTTTCAACTTTTTGAAATATAATCATATCTGTTAATAATTATAATCAAAAACTTGATGATTGAATTTTTTCAAAATTGTATTGAAAATAATTGAATTCCTGAGAAGAATTTTATTAATCATGAAAATAATTGAATTCTTTTGACAAATTGTATTACAAATTTAAAAAAATAATTGAATACTTTCGAGAAATTTTAAAACATTGTATTGAAAGTAATTGAATTCCTGCAAAAAATTTTACTATTTATATAAGTAATTGAAGTCTTCCGAAAAAAGTTATTTATATGAAAATAATTGGATTCTTGCGACGAATTTTAATATAAGTTTTGGAAATATAACAAACAATAATAATTAATTGTGTACTTAATAAGTGAATTTTTTAAATTTTGAATCTGAAATTATTCAAAAATATTGGATTTGAAAATGTAAAATTTTTTAATTTGCAAAATAATAATAAATGAAATATCGCGTTTCGAACGCAACATTTGCTAGAAATAATAATAATAATTTGTAGAAAATATTGCTTCAATTACTTAATTATTATTATTAGAAATAATATAACCGATAATAAATAATTAAATTATTAAAAGTTAAAAAAAAGAGTAACGAAACGGACCTTTTTTAATCTCAGGCATAACTGATAATTTCGCCTTATTCCCAGCGTTATCCTTTTTTACGGCCTGTACAAATTTATTTAATTCGAGTCGCATCAGTTCATCAACGATTTCTCGCATTTCCAGTTGTAATTTATAGCATAATTCTTCATTTATCATATCGAGATGTATAGTTTCGGGATTATTACCCTTCTCATCGCGATGAGTCCAATTTTTATTGAAGTTATCAATTACGGCTCGCATAAGTGGTAGAATTTGTGATTTCGGCATTCGTGAATCTTTCTCTGCTTTATTTCCATTTGCCTCCCTTTTATCGACAACTTCTTCTCTCATTTTTCCCTTTTCACCTTGAGCTGCTTTCTTCTTGTCCATTATTTCCTTTGCATATTCCCCAGGTGTTCGTACTTGGCCAGTTGCTATTAAAACCGAACCACCGTCTTTCGTCGCTGGATAAACGTCAAAAAATCCCAATTCCTCGTACCACAGAAGAAACCACTCTCGAATTTCATCTATTATATCCTCTATTAATTCTGGGCCACGAGTTTTCCAAAGCTGAAAATTAACAGGAATTAGAATTAGATAAACTAGAATTTCAAATTCAAAATTTTGAATTTTTTATTTAAAAATGTTTAATTTTGATAAAAATAAATTAAGCTTTCGAATAAATTTGAATTTTTAATTAAACATTAATTTTTAATCAGAGTTGCCACAAACATTTAATTTTGGTTTTCCTTGACTTTTCCTTGATTTAAAGACAAAATTATGACTTTTTCCCTAAACCCTAAAGAATATTCTGATTCAATATAAAAATTATTGGATACTCAAAAAAATGTTCTGTAATATTTATTTACGAATTTCTTTAATTGGAAAATTATTCGAAAACATCAATAACTTCACTTTTTAATAAAAATTTAATCATTATTATTTTTCCATAGGAATTAAGATTTTCCAAAAATTTCAAAATTAAACCTTTTGAAATTTAATACCTAACTGATAAGAATATTATTACGAAACATGAAGATATCGATCACTTCGAGTCTTCGACTCGGAGTAATCGACTTCTTCATGTTTTATAATAAATTAAAGATGACAAAGTGATAAAATCATTATTATATATATTATAAGAATTGTTATTATATTATAATTAAAATATTATATTGTAATTATAAAATTATAATATTATATATTATTACTGCGACTTCTTCAAAATTATTTTCATCATTTCAATTCAATTATGATTTTCTAGAATTTTTTAACTAAAATTCTTCTTTAAATCAAACTTTTAAACTTCAAATAATTACAAAAAAAATTCCGATTAAGGTTTTGGAAAAAAATTAATTGTCAGTTAAAAGTAAGGAAAATTCAGATTTTGAAAAGATTTTAATTTGAAACCTTTTCAAAATTCAATTATTTATAAAAATTGCAATTATTAGTAACTTCTCCAAAATTTAATTATTTTCTAAAACTTTAACTGAAATTAATTTTTAATTCAATTTTTATTAGAAAATTCTACGAGAATTCAATTATTTAAATACAACCATAGATAATTTATTGAATAATTGAATGTTTCTTAAAATTTAATTCTTATACATACATGATATTATCAAAATTTTTTTTTAAATAATTGAATTCTTTTGACGAATTTTAATAAAATTTTTAAGAATAATTACTTTTTTGGAGGAATTTGAATTAAATTGTATTAAAAATAATTGAAATTCTGCAATGAGTTTTATTATTTGTGAAAATAATTGAATTAATTACGAAGAGTTTTATAAAAAAGTTTCAATCAATTGATTTTTTACGAAAAAATTTATGTAAATTTTATTTTTAATAATTGAATTCCTGAGAAATTTTCATTATTGTAGAAAATAATTGAATTAATACGAAGAATTAATGCTAAATTTTTAAATATTTGATTTTTTCGAAAAAATTTTTGCAAATTCTCTTTTAAATAATTGAATTCATGTGAAATTTTTATTTTTTTCGAAAATAATTTAATGTTTGTGTAGAATCTTATCAAAATTTTTGTTTAAAAATTAAATTCTTTTAGGAAATTTTATTAAAATAGTAGAATATTGAAAATCATTGAGTTAAGAAAAATTTTTAAAAATAATTAAAAGTTTGCAATGATTTTATTAAAATTTTTGGAAGGAATTGAATTTTATTACTTTTAAAAATAATTGAATTCTTGTGATGAATACTATTATTTATGAAAATAATTGAATTTTGTCGAAGAATTTTGCTATTCATTGAAATATTGACGACAATTTTTTTTTAGATTTTTTGAAAATAATTGAATTCTTGTGATGAATATTGTTATTTATGAAAATAATTGAATTTTGCAATGAATTATATTAAAATTTATGAAAATAATTGAATAAAGATAATTGAAATGTTGACAAGAATTTTTCTTAAAAGTTTTGAAAATAATTGAATTTCTGAAAAGAATTTTGATATTTACTAAGAAAGTTGAATTCTTTCAAAAAATTGAGTTAAAATTTTCAAAATTGAAACTAGTTTTAACAGAATTAAAATTAAAATTTTACAAAAAAATACTTCATTAAATGTTATAAGCAATAATTTTGTGATAGTTCTTCAAGAATTAAGTTATTTAAAAAGAAATTATTGTCAGAAATAGAAAAAATTGAAGGTTTTGTATTAGAATTCGTGGTAATTCCATATTTTATGAGGCAAACAAAAAGACAAAAAAATTCAGAATTTTCTTATAAATTCTAAACATTAAATTTTTTCTCGTACTTTTTATAAAAATCCCTGACTTTTTCATGAATTCCCTGATTTCCCTGACCTGTGGCAACCCTGTTAATTAAAAATTAAATTTTCGAATAAAATTAAATTTTTAATAAAATAAAAATTAATTCCAGTTTTTGAATTAATTTGGAAAAATTAATTTCCATTTTTTATTACTATGTCCTTTATGTTGGCTACGGTATTTTCAATTTTTTCAATAGCCAAGGGTTGTAAAGCGAGTCGTCGTTGAAAGTTTTTTTCGTCTTGATTGAAGACGTCTTGAGATTTCCAACTCAGTATTGTCATTCCCAGCAGTGTCTCAAGTCGATTCATCTTTTTCTTAAGAGACTTACGGACAAGGTAACTTCTCCATGCCTTCTGAATGGTTATCGTTGCACTCATTTTTCTGCTTTCGTTATCCATTTTAGGTTCTATCTCTCCCTTTCTTAGCTTATTCTCGTAATTGAACTGCCGCTCAGCTTGAAAAGAAATTTATCATGTTTTCATACCATAAATAGAAAGTTGAATCTTCCTCATCCCTTTTTTTGCTATACAAATTTTTATACATTTTTTTCCTTCTCATTTTTTCTTAAGGGAAGGCAAAAAGAGCTATAATTTTCCACTATTACAATTAAATAATATTAATTAAAATCGATATACAGGGGAAAATTATCATATTTACATTATGCATCATAAAAATTTGAATCAAGAATTTTAAACAATATTGTAGATTTTTCCCATTCAGAATTGATTTTAATTTACATATCAGTTTTGAATTACAAACCGCCTTCGGTTTCATTTATAAATAGTATATTTAATTACCACCTTCGTAGACTTTCTAAAATTGAGGTTTCAATATTTTGCGTATTCTCTTTAAATTACAAAAATACAATTTTTTTCTTTTTTGAACAGAAAAGAAGTTTCGATTTGCATTTGAAGTGAATTTGAATATAAAATCTCTTTTTGCCTGCTACGTCCCAATTAAATGTCCTCTCACTTGTTAAATTTTAGCACTATCCTTTTTTTCTCTCTCTTCTAAAAAAAAGTAATCAGCGAAAAGGTGAGAAGGAAAGGAAATGTTTCTTTTTTTTTTATTGGATCGAAATGCAAACTTCATTCATTGAATGATAGAGAGGAGGGGGAGAGAAAAAAGTAAGAAAAAAAGGAAAGCCAAAAACAGGAATGTAAAATCCGGTTTAAGACTTGGAGTCTGATTCTTGATGTGATATCGGTTCCAGATTCGATTTTGCGCCTACGCAGATAACGGTGACGAAAGGGGACAAGGGGACATGACTTTTTTCCTCTCTTTCTCTTTTCTCTCATCTCTTATATAGTTACAACAGTATCATACACAGTGAATGTAAGATAAGATGTGGTGAGAGTGAGAGAGACTACAATAAAATGTTCATGCCCCCACAAACTCTTCCTTATATTATACACAATTACGTCACTGTGTTTCGCACTCTTAAAAGTTAAATATTTAGCTAAATATTTGCCAACAGTTGATTATTCTCACAAAAAAGATTTCAATTTCATTTTCAATATTTCAATATTACATCGTGACAAGATATATGTCATTTTCTTCAAGTTTTGCATATAAGACAAGAAATATATGTATATATATTTTATATCGTCAGAGAAAAAGAGATTTCAATTCATTTTCTGCTTTTTTAAAACACAACAAGAGACAAGAAAATATATTTTATATTCAGACTTCATTCAAACGAATGATTTAATTCTTCCGTCTATCTAATGGATTGTTCATTGTGAAAGTTCGTTCAAGTTCAATAAAGATGCAAATTTAAATTCTAATTTTGAAACAAGAGAAACTTTATTTTAGATAAGAGAACAAAATTTGTAAAAATTAGAATAAATTTTTGTTCTTTTAGAAAGAGGAGAAAAAAAATCTTTTTCAGTGACGATATTTAAATATATTTTGAGAGGAATTTTCTCACTGTTAATTAAAGAGGAAAATTTTTTTTTAATTCTTTCTTCTCACCTCGCTTTGCAAGGCAGCGTGCAACTCTTGCTCGTTCATGTTTCTGTATCAAGAGAATTGCATCGGAGAATTCTTTTTGTTGCTCCTTTAAACGCAATCGCGTAGCTTTTTCCTCCAATAATTCTGCTTCTAATGCCAATTGCGCTTTTGAGGGTTGAACAATAATTTTTTCCGTTCTCCTACGTAATCTCGGTCGTCGCAAATCCAATGCACTAGTTTTTGTCGATCCTGGTTCACTCAACTCCTCAATTTCTTCCTTATACGTGACTTCTCCTGTTATACAACAAAAATTAATCATTAGCAGTTTCCCGTAAGGATTTAAAAAAAAAATAATTAAATTATCAACTTTCTCTGCTTTATATTTAATAGTAATTAATTTATGTACTTTATATTAATTTAATTAATTGAAGAAAGAGTAAATAAAGTATACAATTTAATTACTATTGCAATTATTAAAATTAACTATTGAACTAGTATGACTACACACGCGCGTGTAACTTTAACGCCCATTGTTAGTTGCAAAAACTTTCTTTTTGAAAATTAATGAACTTATTGTTATTTATTTTAACTGGAAATTAAAATAATTTCAATTTAGAAATTTAACTAGTTCTAATAACAAAAACTAAAATTTTTTCAAAAATCAATTATTTTTAGAATTTTTAAATAAAATTATTCAAAAAATTAAGAATTTTCAAAGGAAAATAATAAATAAATAATTTTTTTAAATATTATTTTACTTTTACGGCGATTAAAATGTTAAAAAGATTCCAATTCAAAAAACTTTTAAAATTTAATTATTTCTTAAAATTTCTATTCTAACTCTTCAAATATTAAATTATTTTTCAAAACTTTAACTGAAATTTCCTTTTAAATCAATTCTTATTAGAATTCATTGATAATTGAATTATTTAAAATTTTTGTAAAATTTAATTATTTTTCAAATTTGTAGATACAATTCTTCAAAAAATTTACAATAATTTTTAAAAATAATTTGTTAAAGTGAGAAAATAAAAATCTTTGAAATATAAATTCTTTTTTAAAGAGATTTGAGAAAATTTCTTATATTTTCAATTTTTTAAAATTATTTTCGGGAATTTAATTATTTTCAAGAAAAATTTTAATTACAATTTTTGAAAACCTCATTTGTTCAGAATTTCTAAGTAAAATTTTTCAAATTTTATTAATTTTTGTTTAATAAGTATTTGAATACTTATTGTTATTAATTTGTCCACCAGGAATAAAAATTTCAAAATACTTGCAATGTAAAACCATTTGAAAATTAAATATTTCTAAAAATTAAAACTGTAATTCTTCCAATTCTTAAAATATTTTCTAAAAGTTTAACTGAAATTCTTTTTCAAACCAATTCTTATCAAAAAGTTGTACGATAATTCAATTATTTAAATACAAAAATAAATGATAAAATTATTGCGATTATTTTTCAAAATTGTAACTACTTATGGATTTTTTTTTAATTTGAGAATGAAAATTCATAGACTATTTAAGATTTTTAATAAATTTGATATTATTTGAATACTTTGGATAAAATTTTTTTGAGAATGAAAATTCATAGACTATTTAAGATTTTCAATAAATTTGAAATTTTTTTAATACTTTGGATAAAATTTTCTTAATTTACTGTCTTGTGAAAATCCTGTTATTGTCAAAATTCAAGGGGAATTAATTTCACTAAAACACTAATCACTCTATTTACAAATTAATTCTTAAACTTTTGACATGACAATTTGAACTTTAAAACAATTTGTAATCAAAAAGTCCTAACTTCACATGAGGACAGAATATCTCGATTATTATTATAGAGCAATAACATAATATAATAATAATTGAAAATTGAAAGAAAAAAAATTAAAAATAAAACAGAAATAAAAAATTGAATAAATTGAAGGTTTTTTATTTCTATTGTAAAATAAATTTATTTTAAGTGATTCTGCAGAATTAAAAATTATTTATTTAATATTAGTTGTTAATTTTTAATTTAATAGTTAATTATAATAATTAATAATAAAATTTAATAATTTTTTGAAATTATTTGTTTAATATCAATTGAATCATTTTTGCAATAATTAGATTAACCGTTAGTGAAATAAAAAAGAAGTAAAAAATTAAAACAAATTGATTTTCTTTTTACTTCTATTGGAGAATAAAATTTCAAAGTGATTTTTCAGAATTGAAAAAATCAGATTAAAATAAAAAATTGTCCAGTGAGGAAAATAAAGATCAGAAAAAAAATCCAATAATGAGAAATTAGAGTTAACTTGTCTATAAAGAAGTTTTTTTCCTCCTTTTTTTTATCTCTCGATACGTAATAGAAATAAAGTATATCCAATCAATTTATTGAATTTTTTAATTCATTGTATGTATGAAATTTAATCGAAGGTATGAACAAATCGAATCAGATCTCTCAACCGCAGTGGTGAGTGCGATTGCATTAGATTCTCGATCACGAGCGATATAATTAAAGGGGGATATCAAAATCATCGTCCCACGATGTTATCAACTAACGTGCATTCGCGTTGGCGATCAAGTCCTCAATGTATTTTTTGCGCTGTTCCAGCAGAGCCTTTCTATCCGACGTAAAACACGCGGGAGTCGTTAGCGCTACATCGTCGGGCGTGAGCTTCATTTGAATCATGAAATTGTCCGGCCACCTAGGAATCGCAAACAATGAGGATTAATAATTACATCAAACGACCTCCCGATTTTGGCAATTTGAGGGAAATTTGAGGAGAAAGATCAGACGCCCATTAAGAAGTTCACGAATTATTCAGGTAATTATTTTATCCATTTGGAGATATAGAAAATTTTTAATTTCAATTTTTATGTACATTTCTAAAATATCTTCTTTAGTGTTTCTTTTTTTAATTTTTTAATTTTACTCATTTCTTTCTTAATTTTATTTATTTAGTTTCTATATTTTTATTAAGCTATAGAAATTAGTGGCATTTTTCGATTTTTTTTTCTAGAACTCTACATTTTTGAACCAAAATTGTCGAAAAATGAGTTAATATTAAAAAATACTTTTATAAATAAAACAAATTATTAATACTTACTGAAATTCTGAACAGTCAAGATTGACGATGTCTCGTTTATATTCAAGCATTCTGATGATTGCACAATCCAATATTTGTTTAATTAGGTTTCGCTTTTGGACTTGTATTATTTGATCGTGACACATAGTAAGTCGCTTGACAATATTTCGATATCTGAAAATAAAATTAATAAATTTAAATAAATTTAGAAATTAAATTAAATAAATGAAAAGAGAAAAGTACAATTCAATAAAAATAAGAAAAAGTTAAATAAATATATAAAAGTTAAAATTAATAAATAAAAGGAGAAGCCTAATAAAAATAGAAATTTTTTAAAAAATTTCAAAGCTATAATCAATAAATAAAGAGAAAAATTTAATAACGATAAAAATAATAAATTTTTTTAATAAAATTAAATTAATTTCAATACGCAGAAAAAGTGGGGAAATTAAATTAGTCAAAATTGTAATAAATAAAATAATTTGAAGGCAAACTTTTGAAAAAATTTTAAATGGTTTAAAGTTATGAAATTGAATTTTAAACCTATAATTATTTTCTAGTAATTCTCTCAATAAATTATTTCGATAAAAGTAACTTACTTGAGGTAAATAGGCAAAATACGATTTAAAGTTTCTGATTTTTTGTCTCTGTTTTCGTTTGCTTGCACGTTTTGGTCCAATCCTAATAATTGCTCTACATCTTTTTCCGTAGTTAGCCATAGTTGGGAATAATACGACTCAGACATGAAAATTGAAAATTAAAAATTACTGATTAATTTTGAAATTAATTTTTTTGTTAAAATTAAAAAATTTTTTCTATCAATTTAAAAAAAAAATTTTTTTTTGCCAATTATTTATTTTGTTGAGGTTATTTTTGTAATAAAAAAACTCGAACTGAAGTTGTCTTTTATAAAGTCGCAAATTAAAAAAAAATACATATTTAGATACCTATTAAGTAAAAAATATTTAAAAAATAATTAGAAGAACCAAAAAAACATTTTTTAAATTACTTTAAAAAAAGGTCATTTTTGCTTTGAAAAAATTCAATTTTTCAGTAATTTTCTGTTTTTTTTTCTTGTTACTATTTATGACTTTATATACTGAATTCTAATTTATTAAATTTTATTTACAATTTATAATTTATTAGGTATTTTATTTATTACTTAAAATTTATTATTCTATTTATTATTATTATTATTCTATTTATTATTATTCTATTATTTAAAATTTATTATTTCATTTAAGGAAAAGGGCCCTATTATGAAACACATTGTTCCCTTTATTACTTAAAATTTATTCCTATTTAAAATTGAAATTTATTTAATACTCTAATATTTAAATGATCTCGTATTCTAATCTACTGATTCACTTTGTTCAAAGAATGCCGAGATTAAGACAAATTCTGTTAGTTATGACGACGTTGATTTTGATGGCCCACTCTTTTCGAGCGGATGATGAAAATTCTACGATACAAAGGCCAGCAATGACTACAGAAGAAAATGAAAATTCAGTAAATATAACAACAACAGAAAATGGAAATTCAGTAAATATAACAACGACAGAAAGTGGAAATTCGATAAATACAACAACAGAATTAGTGAAAAATACAACTACAACAGAATCAATAAAAAATCTAACAACAAATACTACTACTACTACTGAATCAATATTAGTGATAAATACAACATCATCGAGAACAATTGACGCAGATGAATTTACGGAAATGCCGGAAATTTTAACAACAGAAATATCGACGAGCACAATTTCAATACCTACGAGTACAATGTTAAATACTCAAAATTCAACGACTACAGTTGAACCTCAACAATCTTGGAAAGCAAAAAATGATTCCTTGAATGTAGCGTGGGAATGTCCTAATATAACGGGAGTCGGAATCGAGTGTTCTTGCGATTTTCCACATACGCTGAGATGCACTGGGGACACAACTGGTCTGAAGGTATTGACCATTTTTTCCATAAGTAGCAAAAAATAAATAAATAAAAGATGATAATAGAAAAATAATTATTTTTCTCTTTCTCCTGCTTTGATTTCTAAATCATATTTTTTTTTTAAATAAATGTTTCACTAAACAGATGATGGAATTTTTTTTTCTTATTCTCTTATTTTGATTTTTAAATAATAAAAGAAAACAGTGTCAAAATAATAAAATAAATAAAATAATAAATTATTTAATAATGAAAACAAGAGAATGATAAAAGTCTCTCTCATTCTCTTGTTTTCATTATTAAATTTTTTATTGAGCAACATAATTTTCATGCAATTTGACAAGCAATATTGTAATATTTTTTTTTGAAAATGGTAAATTTGTTTGTAGAATAAAAAATAATGATTAAAATTTCTCTCTTACAGACAATCAATAGTCACTTGACACACAATAATTTGGGTATTTCTCTATTGGACTTAACAGTCTCTGGACTATCAATATTGCCGGCAAATTTTCTCGAGGACATTTCACTTCACGGTCTCGTTGTTTCCACCGGTGAATTGCGAAAGGTTCACGAAAATGCCTTCACATCGTTGAAGCGACCCCTTCAAGCACTGGGATTGCCTAATAATCTTTTGGAATCAGTCCCGACTGCTGCATTGTCACGTCTAATTGGCTTGGACAGGCTGGATCTGTCTCGAAATAAACTCAAAACACTGGAGTCTGATGCATTTCTCGTAAGGAATTTTACATATTTTCTTTATTCACAGCCATTGAAATTTCTTTGACTCTGAAATTTAATTATTATTTTATCCAATATTTAATACAAGATTTTATTAATTAATTTACATAATAACAGGCTTTGCACTCAATAATTAATTTTAAAAAAAGTAGCTTTAAGACTGAGAAAAGTAGTTATCGAAAAATTAAATTTTACGATTAAAAACCTATCGCTTTAGTCGATTCACAAAAATCACAAAAATTTGATTCTGTATTTTCCTAATTTCCACAAAAAATATTTACTTTTTTTCTTATTCTGTTAATAACTTCAATTCTAAATTTTTATTAAATTCAATTATTTTCCAAACTTTTAGTTAGAATTTTATTCTTTAAAAATTCAATTATATATGAAAATAATTTATAATAGAGGAAAAAATATTTTTTTTTAAAATATAAAATTTATTTTAATTAAATTTGACGAAATTTCGAATTAAATTAAAAATTGAAATAAATATTTCTAATTTTTACGAGAATTTAACTATATTGAAAAAATTTTAATTACAATTTTTCAAAAGACTATTTTTCATAATTTCTAAATAATGTTTGATCAATAATTAAATATTTATTTATTTTTACACAGGAATTAAAATTTCAAATAATTTTAATTTAAAAGTTTCTTGAAATTGAACTATTTTTAAAAATTCACACAATAACGCATTTAATATTCAATTATAATCTAAAATTTTAACTGAAATTCATTTTTAAATCAATTTTTATTAGAAAATTCTACGAGAATTCAATGGAAGAATAAATAATTTATTGAATAATTGAATGTTTTTTTAAAATTGAATACTTATAAAGAATTTTATGAAAAGTTTTGAAAATAATTTATTTCTTTCGAAGAATTTTAATAAAACTTTTTAAATTAATGACATTTTTCGAGGAATTCTTTAAAATTCTATTAAAAATAGTTGAAATCCTTAGAAGAATTTTATTACATATTTGTGAAATTAATTGAATTTTTGCGACGAATTTTATTAAATTTTTTAAATTGTTTTATGAAAGTTTAAAAGAATAATTCAATTATTTCGAAATATTTAATTAAAATTGTATTGAAAATACAATTGAATTCTTGCAATGAATTTTACTATTTATGAAAATTAGTTAATTCTTATAAACAAATGTTATCAAAGTTTTAGAAAATAATTAATTTCTTTCAAAGAATTTCCTCAAAATATTTTTAATAGTTGATTTCTTTTGAAAAATTTTCTGGAAAATTGTATTTTAAATATTTGAGTTCTTGTGAAAATTTTATTATTCATGAGATATTAATTGAATTTTTGCGTTAGAATTTATTAATTTTTTTTTAAATACCTAGGATTTGAATTCTTTCGAAAAATTTCATGAAAATAGTAGATACTAAAAATATTTTAATTTCAGCGATCATTATTTTTGAAAATAATTGAATTGTTTCAAAGAAAAAATTTATTAAAATTTTTGAGAATAATTTTGTTATTTCAAATATTAGCGGATTTAAAGTAGTGTAAATTTTCATAAAATTAAAGAAAAAAGTAGTTTTCAGTGTCACAAATTTTAAAAAAAGTATACAAATAGTAGCTAATCGTAAAAAGTAGTAAATAGTAGGTTTTAGTAGATGAGTGCAAAACCTGCTGTAAATTTAAATAGTAATTTACAAATTAATTTTAGAATTTCAAGTTCAATAATTTTTTTAGGAAAAGAATTAAATATTAGATACAAACTTTAATTATTTAATACAATATTTTATAAAATAAATTTAAACGATAAATTTACAAATTAATTTAATAATTAACAGTTTCATTATTATTTAGAAAAATAATTGAATTGTTATTTAGAGAAAGAATTTAAATACTCTTGAGTGACTAAAAATAAAAATTACAAAAATTTAACTATCTTTTTATAAAAGGAATTTAGTATTAAAAAATTTAATTTAAATAATAATGATCTTAGACTAAATTAATTATTTCTTAACAAAAATAATTATTGAATTGTTTGTTAATATTTCGGTGATTTCAGGGTTTAACGAACTTGACGTACCTGGATCTTTGTGATAATATTTTGTCACAACTGTCACCAGGAGCGTTTTTAAAATTACCGTCTCTTCGAAATTTAAAAATGCGGAGCAATCATCTCAGCGTATCAGCACTATCGGCTCTCAGAGGACTCAAGAAACTCGAAGAACTCGATCTTTCGCGAAATATTCTCGTCGGAAATGTCAGTGGGAATCTTCTTCCCCTGATGCCACGACTCAAAAATCTCATGCTCTCGGAAAATGAATTAACCAAAGTTCAACTAGGCACACTTTCCGGTTTACGAAATTTAATGTATTTGAGCCTCAGTCACAATCAGGTAAAATCGAAATTTTCTACGAAAACAAAGAATTACATACATTACAATTCATAAATTCATTTAATCATTTAAGGTATTTCTCCGGCTGCTACTCTTGTAAAAATTGATTTACGATAAATTTTCTTCAAATTTTGAGAAAATGATTCTTCGGGTGACTTTTAAATGTGGTAAAAATTTCAAACCCCTTTGCTATGCTAAATTTTGAGTTATTCAAGTTCAAACTTTCACTTTTACATGCGATTATGTTAAAAATAAAAAATGTCAATCACAATATCTCGTTCTTTGACATGGCAAAGGGTTTTTAAATTTTTACCACATTCAAAGGGCACCCAAAGAAACATTTTCTCAAAATTTGAAGAAATTCTATCGAAAGTCAATTCTTACAAGAGTAGCAGCCGGAGAACTACCTTAATTGAAGAATTAGAAATTTAAAAATGATAATTTCTATTTTTAATTATAAATAAAATAAAATTATTCATATTATATTAATATATATAATAAATAATTAATAATAATAAATAATAGTAAGAAATTTATATTATTAATTATTTATTATTAGCATAATTATTATACTTAAATAATAAGTTTCTATATAATATTTATTTAATATTTCTATACTCAATATAATTTTTCATTTATTTTTATATCCAGTAACATTATTTACCTTTAATTTTAGAATTATTGAAAAAAAAATCTGAAGATCCAATTCTTTTCCAGATCGACGTCCTGGAAGATCATGCGTTCATGTATCTGTCATCATTGACGAGACTGGATTTATCAAATAATTTAATAATTGCCGTGTCAAATTTGTCTTTGGCTCATTTGGAAAATTTAACAATGCTGGATTTGACGCACAATTTTCTACGATCATTAACGTCAGATTTGATTTTGCCGTTGAAAAATTTACAGGATCTTCGCCTCGATGACAATGATATTACTCTAGTGGCGAGCGATGTACCAACTTATAAATTAAAATTAAAACGACTCTCACTCTCCGACAATCCCTTGAATTGTGATTGCACACTTTTGGATTTTGCCAATTGGCTCACGAATTCCAGTTTAGAGGAGGAGGACAAATTCTCGGCGGTGTGCGCGACTCCACCGGCTTTGGAGAATGGCATTCTTGTCCAGGTGTGTTTCCTGAAAATTAGAAATTAATTCATTAAAGTAATTAATAATTAATTAAAATATAAAGAAATCAAAATTAATAAAATAAAAAAATTATCCTTATTTTTCAAACGTTCAGAGGAACGAAAATTTTTTCCATTTTATTCAAATGAAAAATAAAATATTTAATTAGTTATAATTATAAAAAATTGTTCTGCAATAAAATTTTAATCAAACGAAATAAGGAAATTCTCCGATTTTTTAAAACTGAATTTCGAATTTAAATTTTCAACAATTTTTTAAATAAACTAACATATATTTTTTTCAGGTGTCACCTGGAAGTCTTCTCTGCGGTGATCCAACGCCAGCGACGAGACTTCCCATTTCAAATGTTCAAATAATCCTGAAAGAATTTCATTACGACGAATTGAATGGAATAAATCTTTTGTGGAATATTGATCTTGGTACAAGTTACTACACGTGCGATACGCTGATGATTTACGAGACAATTGGCGTTAAGGAAGAGCGCATTGAATCGAGTCCTCTTCATTGTGACTCGCGTTTAATGCGAGACCGATTTACACTTCCTGTTGCCATTCCAACGTCAATTCATTTACAATTGAAACACAAGTATCGCTATTGTGTGGCAATTTTAATTCCCTCCGGCTATGATGATATTTCCCTTGGTCTTGGCTGCAGCGATGTTATTGTTCTCGAGGAAACCAGAAGTCGACGAAAGGATCAACATCAATTGAACCTAAACGAAGTTTCCCTGGCTACTACCTCGTCACTCTCTAAAGCCGCCATCACCGCTGTTCATGTTAACGTTTCCAAAGAGGGCTTTCTTCAGGTAAATTTATCACGCGGACGAAAATTGTTCCACTGTATAACTAAAAAAAGAAGACAAAAGCAAACATTTTTAGTTTGTTTTTATATTCCTTTTCTTGGCCGTTTTAGATTATAATCTTTTATTTCTATTTATTTGAAAATATTTTTCTATTTATTTAGAAATTAACTTCTATATTCATTTCTGTTTTCTAATATTTTTGTAGAAAATTTTCAATTTTCGTAAGTAAATAATTTGCATCATTTCTATTTCTTCATTACAATTATTGTTTTAATAAAATTCAAAGTTTTTTTTTCAAAATAAAGGGAAATAATGTTTATATATTTTATTTGTCAATTAAAAATTTTTGAACTTTTAGAAAAGAAAGGAAAAAATTTTACTTAAACAAATGTTCTGTTACATTTATTTACGAATTTCTTGAATTGTAAAATTATTCGAAAACATCAATAACTTCTTTTTTTAATAAATATTTAATTACTATTATTTTTCCATAAGAATTAAGATTTTCATAAATTTCAAATTCGAACCGTTTTGAAATTCAACAAATTATAAGAGTGCTCGATTTCTTCATGTTTTAGAATAATTAAAGATAACCGAGTAATAAAATCTTTATTTTATAATAATATATTGTTACCGTAATTTCTTCAAAATTATTTATTTTAATTCAATTTGAATTATTTTCTAGAATTTTTAACTAAAATTCTTTTCTATGTCAATTATTTTTAATAATTTTTGAAAAAGTTCTTTGAGAATTTTCAAATCCATTTGTTTACAATTCAATTTTATGAAATTTCGATTATTCGGAAATTCTTCAATTAAAAATATGTTTAAAAATAAGAATTTCGAAATAATTTCAATTATTTAGAAGAAAAAAAATTGTAAAAAGATATAAATAATTAATAAAATGTATGAAAATATGCAAAAAAAAAAAAAAAAAAATTAGTAAAATCTCGTACTAATTTTAATCAGGAACTTTTCATAAATTCATATATTTAAAAAATATAGAAATAAGAATTTTCTTTATTCTCTAAATTTGAATTATAGTAAAAATGTTTACAAATTTGAATTAGTGTCTGACTTTTTTCGTTTGAATTAGTAAATTTTTTACAAATAAATAGTAATTTCTACTAACTTGTTAGTAAAATTCACTAAAATTGAATAGTAAAATTTACTAATATCTAGTAATTTCTACTAATTTATTAGTAAAATTTACTAAAATTGAATAGTAAAATTTATTAAAATTAGAAAAATTAAATAATTGAATGGTTCTTAAAATTGAATTCTCATTATGAATTTTATCAACAAATTTTTAAATAATTGAATTCTTTTGACGAATTTAAAAAAAATTTTTAAGAATAATTACATTTTTCGAGGAATTCGATAAAAATTGTATTAGAAATAATTGTAATTGTGAGATGAGTTTTAATATTTATAAAAATAATTGAATTCCTGTAAAAAAATTTTATTATTTACTTATGAAATAATTGAATGTTTGCATAGAATTTTATCAGAATTTTAAAAAAAAATTTTATTAAAATAGTAGATATTGAAAATCATTAAATTGAGGAAAATTTTTGGAAATAATTGAAATTTTGCCAAGAATTTTATTTAAATTTTTGAAAATAAGTCAATTTAAGAGAAGAATTTTATTATTTATAAAGATAATTGGAATTTTGACGAGAATTTTAAAAAAAATGTTGAACATATTTGAATTTCTGCAATCATTTGTATTTAACTTCTAAAAAATTGAATTTTTAAAGAGTTTTTAACTAAAATTCTTCTTTAAATCCATTACTTTTAATAATTAATTTAATATGTATTAAAAAATTTAACTAATTTCAGAAGAATTTGAATTATTCAAATTTTTCAAAAATCTAAGTTCTTTAAAAATTATAATGAAATTCAATCAAAATTTATAAAATTTGTATTATGAATATTGTAAACGAAACTCTTTTAAAATTTAATTAATTTTGAAATATTTAGGTAAAATTATTCATTAAATAATTTTTAAGTAATAATTTTATGGTAGTTCTTCAAGAATTAAGTTATTTGAAAAGAAATTATATTTTGAAGATAATTGAATTCCCGAAAATAATTAAAAAAATTTAAACAATTAAAAGTTTTGTCAAATTTCATTGAAATAAATTTTATATTTGAAAGAAATTAATTACTTTTAAAATGGTTATTTATATTTCGAAAGACAATATTTCTTAAAAATAATACATTTTCATTAAATTTCAAAAAAGAAAGTTTTTATAAGCAACGATAATTTATTTTTAAATCAATGAAATTAAATTTATAAATATGTAAATGAATTAAATTTTCTTAATTTAAAGAATTGAGAATTTCAGAATAAAATATTCTTAAAAAAAGAATTTTACAACTTTTGATTAAAATGAAAATTTAATTTTCAGGTGGACGTCAGTCTGTCGCTTCCGGCGGAATTTCAAACTGGCACCAAGTGTGAATTGTCGGTTGTTGTCTTCGCCACGGAAAGTGCGACGGTTCATCGGAAAAAAATGAATTGTTCATTAACTTTTATAACACTCTCGGGATTATTGCCAGGACACTATAAAGTATGCGCGAGTCTCGATGAAATTGCCGGCGATACATTGGCAATTTCCAATCACGATCGATATCGTTGCGTACAAGTTCAAACGTTTAAGCAAAATTCAGAAATTTGGTTTCTCATTATCGTCATTGTTGTCAGTATTCTTCTATTGATTATCATTCTTGTGAGTCGAAGTTTCATGAAAAAACTACGAAATCCAAAGATACAAACACAATGTTTTATGCCAACGCAAGAATTTGAAATCACACAAAAGGCTCACTATATTAAACTTTTGGCCACCACAAAAGTCTAGTCTTCCATTTTTCAATGAAATATTATCTTCAGATATAATTTAAATTACAAAAAAAGTAATTTATATATAAAAAAATTTTTACTTTAAAAAGTAAATTTATTACTTAAAATTTCACAAAGAATTCACGCCAATTTTATAAAAAAAATTCGTTGTGAATTCTATCGGTCCACAATTAATAATCTGAAACAAAAATTATTTTCCTTTTTGCATGTATAAAAATTAAGAAGATAAAAATGTGCCATAAGTATTTTAACTTTTCGTAAATCATTAAAATTAAAAATATTAATAAACTTTGTCATCGAAAATTTGAAAAAAAGGGAAAATGTCGTAATGGGAAAAATAACGAAATAAAAAAGACGTCTCAGACTGTCTTAATTATAATAAAAAAAACGTTTTCAACGTCTTAACGTTAATAAAGACGGAAAAAGAAGAGATAAATTATATATATATTTTTTTATAGACAGCTACTTACGAGTAAAGATTTATATTTTATAATATAGTTGCAGTGCAATATTATTCAAATCATAAACGTCGAATTTATGTACATAAAAGCAGAAAATTTTATAAATTAAATTCTATATTATTTTTATTATATTATATAGGTAATAAAAACAAATTATAATTTCTTGTAGATAGAGTATCATTAAGAGTTAAATTATATAACAAATTATTACCTTGATTTTGTATAAACGTTGAAATAAAACATAGAATCGCGACGATGATTTCATTAAATTATCTCCATAGCTGTGAAATAATGTTAGTTTAAAAACTTTTCACCTTTTAAAAGTGATAAGTTTTCTTCCTTAAGTTTTTTAATAGGAAATTTAATTTCAATTTCAATTTGCTATTGAAAAACTGTTTCATCGATCGTGTTTGAAAATACTTTTTCTATTTTATGAAAATATGCCTTTGTAAAATAATGAAGAAATTTTCGTTTACAACTATTTAAAATATCTGTAAACCAACTGACTTATTAATATAGATTTTAACTGTTATTAACTATACGTCATTTTTATGCGTGAGTTATTTTGTACATATTATATATATTTTTTTTATTCTCACATTATTCTAATGTCATTGTTGTTCACAATTGAAAATTTTATACTGATTCGTTTTTCTTTAAATAAAAAACTACTTTCCTTCATTTCTCGTCTGCGACCCAAAACTTTGAAACAAAATTTAATAAATAATCAAAATATAAAAATAAGTTAATAACTTATTATTATTAATTAATATTAATAGTAGCCAACTTATTAATAATAATAAAAATAGTAATAAAATTAGGAAATTTAACTAGTAGAAAAAATGGACCATTAAATGAATACTAGGATTTTAACATTAATATTCTTTTTTTATTGATCTTAAACATATCACTATAATACACAAGCTGTAAAGTACAGCATATTTTTTTTAATATACTCACAATTTTTTTTTCTATGTGAGTTTCTTGAATACTTTTCTTCCTTTTCACTGAAAACAATTCTAGATAAGAACACTTTGTCCAATGTTTTTTCTTTGTACGAAATTAATCGAATACGAAGTAATAAGTTTGATATTTCAAAACAAAAAAACATTGGTTGAAGATTATCGTTGAAATTAATTTACAATTCTATAGACGAGAGAGAAGAGAGAAAAGAGAGAGAGAGAGAGAGAGAGAGAGAGAGAGAGAGAGAGAAAATATTGGATCTATTAATAAATTCAATTGTTTTTAAGCAGTTCTCTACTGACTCGTAACAAATATTTCCTTAATAATTGAATATTGTCCACGAACCAAATCGTGAAAGTACGATTTAAATATTTCTTTTTTTAAAATTATTTATTACGAAAGGTGCGATACTTGTTAACTTTTTGTTTCGTACGTTTCGTAAAATTTCATTTCTGATTTTTTGTCGATCATGCCAAAAAATATATTATATATATATAATTATTTAAATATTTACGGCGCTTAAAAGAGAATGTCTTCATCACCCTCTTCTAACATATTAGCTGCTTCTTCGTGATTTCCTGCGGCAATCATCTCTTTTCTCAGAGCTTCGGTCTAAAATTTAGGAATTATTTAAATATATTAATTTATTTACTTGTAAACGGATTCACAAAAAGAAAATTTAATTTAAATTTTAGTAATTACAAGAATCAGAGTATTTTTTAAGTGTCATATTAGGTGAAAAGGGGGGATTTAATTATTATAAAGGGATTTTTCAAAAAAGTAAAAAAATTATTGTACCATAGCGTATACAGATTGTTTTAAAATTTTTTTCAGAGTTGCTGCAAAAATTGGATTTTTTTCCCTGATTCTCAAACAGAATTTTGCATTTTTCCTTGAACCTAAAGAATATTATCATTCATTCTAAGAATGATTATAACAAAAAATATTTCTAATACATTTTTTGTGTGAATATTTTTAAAATTGTATAATTATTCAAAGCATCAGTAGTATTTTTTATAGATAAATATTTCATCATTATTGTTATTTTTACATAGGAATTATAATTTGCAAAAATTTCAAATTTAACTTTATAAAATTCAATAATTTATCATAATTTGTTATTATAACTTCTTCAAAATTATTTTCAAAATTTCAATTCAATTATTATATTCTAGAATTTTTAACTTAAATTCTTTTCTAACTCAATTTATTTTTAATAATTTTTGAGAAAGTTTATTGAGAATTTCATTATTCAAATAAAAAATATTCAAAAATTCAACTAAATTGAAAAGAATTTGGTATAAAATTTTTGAAAAAAATGAAATCTTCTGACTTTTTTATTAAAACTAAAAAAAATTCATATGTTTGAAAATTTTAATGTGAAAGAAAAAATAAATTATAGAAAAAGATCAAGAAAATATGGAATTTCCGAAAAAGATTACAGAAATTATATAAAAAAGAAGAGAAAATGACGAATTTCTGAACAAAAATTACAAAAAATTATAATGAAAAGAACAAAAAAAAAAGAAGAGGAAAATGACAAATTTGAGAAAAAAAAACAGAGATTTGATAAGAAAAAAGGAAAAAAATTTTAATTTAAAACCTTGTTCTACAAATTTCTACTATAACTCTTTTAACATTTAATATATTTCATATATTTAAAAATCCAACTAATAAAAAAAATTTTATTTAAAATTCATTAAAAAACTAACTTTATCATAATTTTTATTAGAATTATTTAGAATTCAAGTTCTCTAAAATTTCTAAAATTGTAATTCAATTAAAATTTTAATTCGAAACCTTTTAAAATTAAATTATTTATGAAACTTGTAAATGTAACTCTCCTAAAATTCAATTACTTTTGGATTTTTTAAGGAAAATTATTTGCCAAATAATTTTTAAGTAATAATTTAATGATTTAAATAAGATTTTTTTTGTTTAATTCTATCTGTTAGTTATTAATATTTTTTTTTTTTATCTTTTTCCGTAGTCTGCAATTTTTCTACATTTAGAATCAAAATTTTTGTTAAAATTCAACTTTTGTTTTCAAAATTCCATTAATTTTACTATATCAGAATTTCAGTAAAAATGAGCAAAATTTACTTTGGAATTACAAGTAAAATTACCTTATTTGCAAAAAGTAGAATTTTTTTTCTTCAGAATAACTAAAAAAAACTAAAGAACTTTATAAACAAAGGGGAAAAAAGGAGAAAATGCATGAATTCTGTTGCTCTAGGGGACAAAGAAAGGGAATTAGGCAAAGAAGGAGAATAATAATTGTGATCCCTGTAAATAAAATTCAATAATGAAAAGAGAATTTGACTATAAATAATAATACCTTTGCTTTAGCTATTTTCTTCTTATCCTGAATTTTCTTTAATCGATAGAATTCCTCTCTCTCGAGTTCATCAAGCTCGGAAATAATGTAGGCAAGTGTTCGCTCGATTCTTGGAATGATAACGTGTTCAATTGCATTGACACGACGATTTGTAATTTTAATTACTTCATCGAGAGTGACGAAACTGGTTTGTAGTGAAGCCAATTCAACTAATAGCTTCACTGCACGTTGATAATTTTTCTTCAATTTCGCTAGTTGCTGTCCACCACGTGCCAAACCGGCCAATTCGTACGTGTCAGTTCCATCCTGATATGATTCAAATACAGGCAAATTCACCCCAGCGACGTTATCCTTTTTCGAACGAATTTTAATTTGTGCTTTCGTCACATTTTGTAAAACAACTTGATTAAAATCGCCCGTCGCAAATTTCGCCTCGGCCAATGAAAATGCTGCTTCCTTCATTACTTCACCCATCAGTGTTTTTGTCTGGAAAATAAGTTTTTCGAAAATGTATTTAAAATACTAAAACACTAAAAAAATACTGAGAAATACTAATTATAATTCATAAATGTCACATAAAGGAATAACTCTAAATTAAGTGATTAACTAATTGCTTCTTCTACTCACTTCGATGATTTTTCCCAAAATCATCCTAAATCGCATTTGCAGTGCATCTGCTTTCTTTTTAAGTAAACCATGACCTTTTTGCGCCCCTTGTAAACGTGACTTCATTAACATTTGAGCCCTAAAAATGAAAAATTAAATATAACGAATACTTCTCCTAATGCTTAACTAATTATAACTTATGAATATACAAAATATAAATTACAATAGAAATTTATATCAAATTAATGTAGAAATCTAGGGGAAACATAAATTATCGTTTGTAAAATTGAAAATATTATATAAAAACAACAATTATTGACATTTTCAATTAAGGTTACACCCATTTTTTATGTGAAATTATTTTTTGGAGAAAATTTCAAACATAGAGAAAAAATAGTTGAATTAGAAGTTAGACAAGACTTGAATTATTGGTATTTTAAATTATTTTCAAGAAAACTTACCCCCGAGAAGGGAAAATAGGAAGTCTATCTTTTCCTGACATATTTTCTTCTTTTTTTTATGACTGTTTTGTGACAAACGCAGACAGAAAATGTGATTGATCAGCTGACTTTGAACACTGGAAAATGAAATGGAACAGATGGAAGAGTGGAACTCGGCACGGAATTGAACCGCTTTAGGCGCGTAATTCAAAAAAGTAAACAATTTACATCATTTATTAACAATCATATAATTTTCATTTTTCAATAAACAAAAAAAAATAAAATATTAAATTTCTTTAAATTTTATTACAAGATTTTCGAATCTGTTTAAATTAAAACCAAATTGAAAATTTATATTTTTTTCTAAATTAAAAAAAATTTCTTCTTTAAATGTGAAATAATTTTTATTTGAAATAATTTTTTAATAATTAGAGAAAAATGTTAATTTTAGAAAAAAGGACAATCGTTTTTTTCCGAAACAAAATTCGGTATGGCGTTTAATTTCTCTCCTGTCACTTAAATTTTTAAGTCTTCAAAACTTCTAAATGTTTTTAAATTTTTAGTGAAAAAAATTTGTTTATTTAAAAATTCACAAAAAAAGCAGTCTTCATGTCATTTTACGATTTATATAAACAACAATTCAATTCCAATGATACGATTCAAGAAGTTTTTAAAAAATTCCTAAAAGCTGCATTAACAAAGGAAGATCAAGAAAAGGAGAAAAACAAGATAGAAATCGAAAAAATATTTATAAAATCGTGTAAAAATAATGAACTGCAGTCAGGAATAATTAAACAAGCTTGTAATGATGTTTTGAGAAGAATGAATATTATTAATTCAAATTAAGTGGAGAATAAATAAAGGTTTTCATTTCCTCTATTATTTGGAAAAAGTTGTTTAGAAAAAATTTAATTTTAACTTAATTTCATTTTTAAATTATTTTTTCAATCTAAAAATTTCAATTTCTAAACTATTTTTTCGAATTAAAATTATTATTTGAATATAATAATTTTTTAAATTAATAATTATTATTTGAAATTGACAATTTCAATTTGTTAATTATTTTTCTATTTCAAAATTTTAATTTTAAAATTATTTTTCGAAACTGAAAATTTTAATTTTGAAATTACTCTTTCAAATTATAAATTTTAATTTTTTAATAACTTTTTCAATTTTAAATTATTTGAATATAATAATTACTTTAGAAAACTGAAAATTTCAATTTCTAAATTATTTTTTCAAGTTGAAAATTTCAATTTCTAAATTATTTTTTTAAATTGAAAATCTTAATTTTTAATCTACTTTTTGAAATTGAAAATTTTAATTTGTAATCTACTTTTTCAAATTAAAAATTTTAATTTCTAAATCATTTTTCAAATTAAATATTTTAACTCTTAATCTATATTTTTTAACTGAAAATTTCATTTTCTCAATTATATTTCAATTCGAAAATTTAATTTCTAAATTAATTTTTCAAGTTGAAAGTTTCAATTCCTAAATTATTTTTTTGAGTTGAAAATATTAATTTTTTATCTATTTTTTGAAATTGAAAGTTTGAATTTCTAAATTGTATTTCAATTAAAAGAATTTAATTTTTAATCTATTCTTTGAAATTGAAAAACTCAAATTCAAAATTATTTTTTCAAATTGAAAGTTCTAATTTTTGATATCCATTTTTAAATAATTAAAAACTTTAATTTCTAAATAATCTTTCAAATTAAATATTTTAACTTCTAACATATTTTTTGAAAATAAAAATTTCGATTTCAGAATTATATTTCAATTCGAAAAATTAAATTTTTAAACTATTCTTTGAAATTAAAATACTCAATTTCTAAATTATTTTTTGAAATTGAAAATTAAAATTTTTAATTTATTTTTTGAAATTGAAAATTTTAATTTCTGAATTACATTTTATAGTCAAAAATTGTATTTTTAATCGATTTCTTGAAATTGAAAATTTTATTTTCCAAATTAATTTTTCAAATAGAAAATTTGAATATTTAATTTACTTTTTTATATTAAAAATTATTATTAAATTAAATTATTATTATTATCAAAAATTATTATTAGAATATGATAATTACTTTTCATAATTGAAAATTTCAATTTCTAAATTATTTTTTGTAGTTGAAAATTTTAACTTTTAACCTATTTTTGTAATTAAAAATTTTAATTTCTAAATTATTTTTTAAATTTGAAAATTAAAAATTCCAATCTATTTTTTGAAATTGAGATTTTCAATTTCTAAATTATTTCTTCAAATTAAAAATTCTAATTCTCAATTTAATTTGATTTAATTTCAGTTATCTATCGACAGTTGAAAGAAAAAACTCAAAAATGATAAGCGACACGGAAGTCTTTAAGAATTTTCTCCTCGACACAGGAGTTGAAGATGCCCTCGAAATTTTACTCGGACCGAATTCTAAAAAGTACGATAAAGAAAATTGTAATATTCCAATTCGATATTGGAAATACAATGGTCAGTGGACGAACGAAGATGGATATTTAGAAACTTCCGGAAAGTATTTTTTCATGAAAATGGCAACGACAGCTTGGGAATTTCTTAATGTATCCAACGTTTTTCGAAAATCGTGAAAACCGAAAGGAGAACATCAACTGTATGTATAGATAAACTTTCACAAAATACTGTCAATCTTCATCAAGTCAGAAAAAAACATCATTCCAAGAGAATAATTACTTTTAAAACTACCCCTAATTTTTTTCTACTCACAAACTTATACTTTTATATAATTTTTTATCATAAATCGACAATATTTCCTTTTGTATAAAATATTCACTTTTTACTATTGCGAAAAGTCTACAGTAGGAAAAGTTTGAACAAATCAGTTCAAGACTTTGTTTCTCTCCAATAAAAATATATTTAATATCTTTTAGAATGTAAAATATTAATAAAAAAATATTTTTTATAACAATCTCGACTGACCTTTTTTCAAAACTTGTCTAACGTTTAAATTAATTCGAGCTTCTTGAATGTACGAATTTGCCTTTCGCCAGTCTTCGTGATTTATCCGAAAATTGTCATCATCGAATTCATTGTCACTTTTCCAGGGTTGAATGTCAGTTGATAAAATTTTCGGAACACCGTGATAAGATAATCGTGATTGTTTTGACATTATGACAATGTCACCACTATGCAAAAACATTGCTTGCGTTTTATCGTCCAAAGAGAGGCCGCCAATTAAAAATATCGCCGTTTGTCCAAAACTGATGGAAAATAGAGGAGCTTCGGTATTAAATTCCGAATGATCGGTGTGACCAGCTAGAGTTGAATTCATTCTGTAGTAATTTATAATAGCCGCTTCCGCTTGAAAATCATTGAAATTTAAGACAATCGCTAGAAATTCCGTTAAGTGGCAAAGATCCTGGGACATTTCTGTCTTTGAATCTTCTGAATAATGTTTTGTATCCCAATTGTGATGATAGCCTTGCGTTGACCAACGTAATTTTGTCAGAAGATCGTTATTCTTCTCTGATTCATTTCTAAACAAAGGAGGAGAAAATTATTTTTATTTTAGAATTTTTTTATATAATATAATAATGAAATTTTAATACCAAAAAATTTAGTTCTTATTATTACCTACCATTATTTTTAATTCATTTTGAAAGAAAAACTTTTAACATAGTAAATCTGTGCGTGGAAAAAATATTTTTAATTTTACGTTCAAATGATGGGAGAATAATTTTATTTTCTCTATAAATATTTTCAAAAATTACTGAATGCCTTTAAAATGGAAAACAATTTCAGATTCAAAATTTAAAAAATCCACTTAATAGGTACACAATTAATTATTATTGTTTATTATTTTCAATACTTGTAATAAAATTCGTCGCAAGAGTTCAATTATTTTCATAAATAATAATAACAAAATTTACAAGTTTAGTAAAATTATACAAAAGAATTCAATTATTTTCTAAAATTGTCAATAAGTTCTTCGTAAAAATTCAATTATTTTTATGAATAATAAAATTCTTCTCAGGAATCCAATTATTTTTAATAGAATTTTAATAAAATTCAATAAATAAATTCTTTAATTATAATTATTAACAAACACGATTTATTTTAAAAAGTTGAAAAAAATTCTTTGTTTAATTCATTTATCATAAAAATTTTCAATTAAAATTATCGAAAAACTATGCATTATTTTCAAAAAACTTTAAAGAAATTCTTCAAAAGAATTTTATTAATTTCAATATTTTAATAAAATTTCTTGAAAGAACGAATTTATTTAAATAAATTGTAATAAAATTCTTAGAAGAACTATTTTCTAAATATTTTAATAAAAGTCAATAATCAAAATATGTTTAATTCAATTATTAACAAAGACGATTATTTTAAAAACTCGAAAGAAATTCTTCATAAAATTCAATTATTTTCAAAATTTTCAATTAAAATTATTGAAGAAACTTCATTTATTTTAAAAAAATTCAATGAAATTCTTAAAAGAATTTAATTAGGATTTTCAAAAATTTTAATAAAATTCTTGGCAAAAATCCAATTATTTTCAAAAAAAATAAATAATAAAATTCTTCTGAGGAATCAATTTAGATCATTTGAACATTCACATCTTTAACGACTAGAAATCATGTTTTTCGTTTTCGTATTTATTCGATCTTAAAGAAAAATTTAGAAACTTTATTTACTATTTTACATCCCAATAGTGTTATGAATGTTCAAATTAACAAAATTGAATTATTTCTTCATAAATTTTATTGTAAAACCTTACGTTACGTATTAAAAAGATAATAAATAAAGTTTCTAAATATTTTTCAAAAAGTTTCTACTTCTTTATTAAAGAAAGCAATTTTTTGAGTAAATTTATATCGACATTTTATTCATTTGAACGTTTTGAACATAGATCAGTCTATTTACTATTTTCTAATAATTATTACTATTTTTATAGTTAAAAAATTAAATTTCCTACCCGAAACACCTTTCCCACCAAGAATCGTTATCGCCGAGTAAAGAGTGAGCATCTAAATTTAATTTATTCGGTTTTTTGGAGAAATCCCTAAGGCACTTGATAATCCAATAACGTTGTCCCAAAGCAGTAAAAGGATTTTCGATACAAATTAATCCTGAAAATGATTTAAAATAATTATTTCGTTCTCAGAGAAATTGAATTCAAAAATAAAAAGCCTAATTTAAAGTAAATGTAGTAAAAAAGATAGTAAAAAAATCAAAATATTATGAGATTATTAAAAAGTTTAGTATAAATAAATTCATTTAATTATTATGGACGATCTATTAACATTTTTTATTAATAATAAATTAGATATTATATATTATTTTATTGTTTATTAATATTTTTTAATAATTAACATATTTGTATTAATAACTATAATTTAATTTTTTTAATGTTTATTAAAACGTTTTATTTAAAATGTCTTCCAAATCAACAAATCAATTAATTAAATAATTCCACATAAGTCAAAATGAAAAACGACATCATTTTCCCTTTAAAAATACTAATGATAATTAAGTATAAGATTTTAAATATTCATAATAATGTGAATTCATATACAGAATAGAGCAAGAATTTGCGAACATTTACATTTTTAATAACAATAATTTCTAATAAAGAAAAAACAAATCAGCAATTACTAAACATACCTGGTACATTTATTAATTCGTAAATATTCCATTCGCTAAGTGGTTTTAATCCTAATTTATTTACATCATTTACATTTGGAATTCTATTTACATCCAAGAAGATTTTTCTAACCTAAAAATAAACATGCGCAAGTGTTTTTTTGAAGAAAACAGTTAAATAGAAAAATAGAAATGAATAGATTTTTTTACTGCTTACCTCAGAAAAATACGGATTTCTAAAATCAATCACATTTTTTAAATTAGGAGGTGGATTTCTTGATTTATAATATTTAAAAGATTCTTTAAACATTTTTCACTTGGCAGTTGCCATTTTTAATGTTACGAGCGACTACCATCTCGCTCGTTAACTTTCGATATATCGATTTACGAGTTATCGAAGCGCGAATTATAACATTTCGTTAATAAACTTAATTATTTTTAGTATTTTCTCACGACTTTAGACAATTATTGACGAGACTAAACAAGAAAGTTTGACTATTGTAAAATATAATACTTCACGGTTTAATAGTTTCCAAATTCTGAATATGTATTTGAAAATCAACATTTCTTAGAATTGTCATAAATCAAGTAGAATAGCGAAAGAAAATGTAATCTCTAGTTTCTTTAGAGTCATAAAACCGAGAAACCCTCGAAAGAATATAAAAAATATCTCAAGTGTCCTTTTCCATAGGACAATGCAACATGTGTTTACCATACTTGTGACCACAGAAATGGCTTCGAAAAGTCACGTACACATAGACTTTCATTATGCGACGAACTTTAATTATCAATTGTATAATATGAACATTATGAACAATTGACAATAATATTATATTGTTGCTAATTATGCAATATGAATGTATTATTTGAAAATGATATTATTAGTAAACTTCATCTAATTGAGTGTTGTAATATTATGGTATTGAATATAAATATATATTTGTAACGTATTAATATAATAATAATATTATATTATGATATATTATCAAATTGGTTATCGTTGTAATTGTTATTTATATTTAAATATGATGAGTGCAGTATAAGAGATTTATTGTTACTAGATATGATGTAAATAATTAATAATTGTGTAATTAGTGTGAATGAAAAAGGGTTATGTTCACTTGTTGTGATACATGTTTTCAATACGTAGAGTATGTTTATACGTGTATTAGTGCAGTGCAGTGTTGGTGTTGTGATTCTGAACACTCCATAGACTTTACAAACTCTATAACAGGGCATGCGCAAAGATTTTGCCATGGACCAAGGGCTAAATCATGATCCAAGTAACAAGGTCTCGCCAAAGTCGGGCTCAATTTTAACTCGGTTCGCGCACCATAAAAAAGCCGACCAATCATAGCGATTACCTGAAGCGACGACCATATTGAAGCGCTAAATTTTGAATCAAATACAGAAACAAATTTAAAGAACATAAAGAATAATAAATTAAAAGTAAAATAATTCTTTATTAAATATTAATATTTTTTATTAAATACTTATTATTAACTTGATACATAACATTCACATATATTGGTTGCTTGGAATCTTGAAAATCAAATTACTATTTATTGCAATATTTATTATTATTATTAATAACTTTATATTTATTAATATTAACAATAATTAAAAATAATAATTATTATTAAAAATAAAATAACATTCATAATAATTTATTAATATTAATTACTATTTATTGTAATATTTATTATTATTATTATCAATAATTTTATACGTATTAATATTAATAATAACAATTAATAATATTTATTATTAAAAATAAAAATATATTAATAACAATAACAATCTTATTTTCTGGATTTGAAACACATTTAAAAATACGCGGCTAGACTTTCAATATGGTCGTCACTTCGTCCGCATTCTGATTGGTGCTTGGTTCCACGTTTTTTTTGCCTGCGCGTGGCGAGACCTTGTTACTTGGATCATGGGCTAAATGCTCCCTCACGAATTCAGTTCTACTTTGGAGTTCTTTCGTAATGTACTTCAGAGTAGTCCCAAAAATAGTCATAAGAATAACTTCGACTTGTGTAATGTTTTTGACTTTAATAAATGTATTGGGTTTACTTGCGAATTTAGTTGGATTAATAATTAATTAATATTATTAATTATTAATTGATCCTTCTTATTCGTGAGGTTTTTCCCTCCGTTTTAACGGAAATTAACTTGTTTTATTTGAATATTTCCGCCTTCCTTTTCAAAGGATTAAACCAAGATTGAACATCAAATCAAATCGCGGATCTTACGCCTGCGCGTAAATAACGTAACTCCGCCAACTAACGAAAATGTGAATTAAAAAGCAAAATGTCGACCAATCAGATTCAAAATCTTGACGCGCCATTTTTTCCGATTCGGTTTCAGCGGGAAATTCGAATTTCAAATGTTAATAAGAAAAAAAAAGTTAAATTTCAATTAAACTTTACATTGTTCTTTGCAAAATAAATTGCAAGTAAACAAGTAATTAAAGAATTTATCAAGTCTGTAAAAATTTTTTTAAATATGTTTTCAAAAAATTAAATATAAAAATTATGTACCTATAATGATTAAATGAGTAATTTTTTATAGTTATAAAAATTACTCGGAATTTTTATCGTCTTTAATAATTAATTCTTTCTTCGAAAAGTTGTTAAAAATGTTTATCTAGTTATTGTATATCTTGTTGAAAATCTGTTCTTTTGAACAACTATTAAAAGTGCAAAATAAAAAAATGAATGAGTAAACAAATAGAAAAACATATAAACAAATAAGCAAATAAATATGTAAATAAATTAGAAAATAAATATATAAATAAATAAATTAATAAACAAAGTAATTTAAAAAACATTTCTCTTTCGATTTAAATTAATCGTTTTATAATCACTTCTTAAAAATGATTTTCAATAAAATAAAAAATTGATTTAAAGCCATAATTATATAAAAATAAATCACATACGAGCTTTACGCCGATTATTATTATAATAATACAATGTGTATATATTATAAAATCATTATCGTTTTTAGAAAATTATATTCTAACGATCGATAATCGAGCAATTTACATACGCATGCCAAGTGCATTTTTTAGGGCCCTTCCCTACTTATATGCAGCCAATCTTTTATGAGTAATAATTTTAAAAGTCTTATTGTCATATATAATGACGCTGCTATGAGAATTTGTATGATTTCATAGAAAAGAGAGGCACGTCACCGATCGCCTTCAAGGATTTTTGAAAGCTCAATAGGAAAATTAATAGCTCAATAGATCACTAATGTTCACTCACGATATGATAATAATAAAACAATACATTATTATCATTCACTTTTGTCATAATTCATTCTTCGAATTTTAGTCAAAAAAAAAAAAAAAAAAAAAAAATTGTAAATAAGTTTGGTCATTTTTTCCAATTTCTACGTGATATTCAGAACGTACACAAAATGAAAATATTGATAATAATACACTGAGAAAATTTCTTTTTAATTCAACAATAAGTATCCAACCAAAAAAATATGTTTGAATTAAAAATAAAAATAAAAAAATTAAATGTTTAATTGAATTAAACATATTTTATAATTGAATTAAGATTATTATGTTTAATTCAAGAAAGATTTTTGGTTGACTGTAGAAAAAAGATAATTATGTTTGATTCAAATATACTGTTTTCTCAGTGTAACTAGAATAATAATTATTATTACTATTAATATTTATTTTTTTACTTTTTATTAAAATTATTATTATTACACCGAAAAAAAATATTCATCTTGTTTTGAGAGGACAATTCCTCTTCTAAAATCTTCTTACATTTTTTTATTCTTGAATTAAGAATATTACTCTTCATTATGAGATTAAGCTTACAAACTAATTTCAATTAAACAAAATCACTTAACATTATTTTTCTATTTGAATTAAGTATAATGTTTTCTCAGTGTAGGTTTCAAGTAGGTAAACTTGTCATAGTAAGAGAGAATACTTCTCATCTAAGTAGAACTACTTATTTTTCATAAGATAAATTGTAATCAATACTAAATTTTTAGTTTTGGTAACACTTTTCAAGTAGAAAAAGTCGATTCTTTAGAGACAAGTATTAAGACATTAGTTATTAAGTGCGGTTAAAATTGTCTTGGCGAGACAATCCTGTTTCGCATAAGTAGATAAGGTTATTTTTAGTCAGACAACTAATTACCAAAAGACGAAAAGTCACTTATATAGTTCGTCGAGCAGATTTTAAGTAGATAAAGTAGTAGACTTTGCATGGCAGCTTTTTAGTTCCTGAGTAGAAACAATAGTTTCTGGTCAGACAATTAATTTCTAAGTAGATAAATTTGTCCTGTCAAGACAGTCCTTTCTCATATTAGACAGAAATGATTATTTTCGGTAAGACAATTATGTTTTTAAGTAGACAAAGTTGTCTTTGTAAGCTCACAGTAAGTTGTGAGGTATTAAAAATCGTTGCAGATGAAATTAACACCAAAAAAGATTAAAATAATCCATTTTGGTGTTATTTTTGACTATCAATGAAATTTTACTTTAAATCAAAACTAAGTCACGATTTGACAATATTCACTGATTTAAGCTTTACCAGGAACAATAGATTCTGATCTGAGTATAAGTAAGTAAGCAAGCAAGTAAGCAAGCTAGTAAGCCAGGAAGCAAAAAGGAAATAAGAAAGTAAGCTAGGAAGCAAAAACTAATGAAGAAAGTAAGCAAGGAAGCCAAAAGGAAATAAGAAAGTAAGCAAGGAAGCAAAAAATAAAATAAAAAAGTACAGTAAGTAAGCCATTAAGTAAGTAAGGAAGTAAGCAAGTAAGTAAGTAAGAAAGTTATTTCCTTTTTGCTTACTTGCTTAGTTACTTGCTTACATACTTGCTTACTCACTTATTTCCTTCTTGCTTACTTACTTATTACTTGCTTACTTGCTTATTTACTTACTTAGATCAGTATCTATTGTCCCTGGTAAAGCTAAATTCGGTGAATTTTGACAAATCATTGACTTGGTAATGATTTGCAGTAAAATTTCAATCGTATTAAAAAATAACACCAAAATGGATTATTTTAAATAAAAGGATTAAACTGTTGCAGATTATTTTAATCCATTTTGATGTTATTTTAACACCTAACAGTTTACTGTGAGACACAACAGTTTTGTGCGATTTGCTTGGGTCAGACAGTTTAGTTCCTAAGTAGAGAAACTAGTTTTTCTAAAGGAATATTGTTGTCTTGACATTAAATTTTTTTTTCATAGTAGAAAAGTTATTGACGGTCAGACAATTTAATTTTTAAAGAGATGAGGAAAGTCGTACGAAAAGGTTGTTTTTAAAATTGAGTTTTAAAATTTTTAAGTAGAAAAAGTAGATTTTTAAGACAAGTGACTGTTAAGTAGATTAAGTTGTTTTTAGTCAGACGTAACAGATTTCGTCATAATAGAACATGCAATTTTAAGTCAAACAATTTAATTTTAATGTAGAAAAATTATTCTTCATTGTGTAAAGTAGACTTTAAGTAAGTAAAGTACTCTCTAAATATGAATTAGTCGAATTCTACTCAGAAATAGTAAAATTTTACTAATTGTTAGTAATTATTATCATGGACGACTTTTCTACTTTTCAATTACTAGAATATCACTGATTGATAGTAAGATTTAACTAATTTTATATCGACTATTAACCTTCGCGCTACCAAAGATTTTTGTATACGCGGACTACTGGCTGGCCACACGGTGTGGCCAAACGCTATTTTACTTTTATGTTCCCAAAACGATTAAAATTCATCAAAGCTTTTGTATATTAGTTATGTGTTAATACAAATTAACTGAAAAATTTTGTCCAGTGAGTTAAAATGGCGATTCGATTGATTACAAAAGTCGAGCAGATATACAACATTATGTATACTTGGCCACACCGTGTGGCCAGCCGGTAGCGCGAAGGTTAATAAAACAATTCCTCTAATTTTTAGAAAAATTAGTAACTTGCTACTAATTCATATTAAGAGAGTAGTTTTTGCAAAGTAGTTCCTGACTTTCTAAGTAGAAATACTAAGTTTTGTTTAGACAAGTAATTTTTAAGTAGATAATTTTGTCCTCTCAAAGACAAACCCTTTTTCTCAGTAGAAATGATTCTGTTCGTTAAGAAAATTTAGTTTTTGTGTAGAAAAAGTTTTTTTTTTGTTAAAACAAGCGGTTTTTAAGTCATATATTGTAGAAAATGCTGTTTTATGTCAGACACCTAAATTCTAATATACAGAACACAATTTTATTTCAGAGTAGAAATGGTAATTTTCCATGATGTTTTGGATTTGAAAATTGTTGTTTTTTGTAAGACAATTTAAGTTTCAAGTATAGAAAAACTCTTTTCTATACTTCAAGTAAATTTTAAAAAGATAATGTAATTTTGAAAATTAGTTTCTACATTTTTAAGTAGAAATTATAATTTTTATCCAAACAATTATTTTTAAAATAGATAAATTAGTTCTGTAAAAACACTCCTTTTTTTCAATGTCTAAAAGTTTCTTTTTCACAAGGCAATTTAATTGCCAAGTAGAAAAAGTAGCTTATCGTAAGACAAGAGGTTCATAAGTAGATAAGGTTGTCTTATCAAGACCGCACAGTTTTCGTCTTACTAGAAAAGGTTGCTTTTTGTCACAGTTTAATTTTTAAGAACAAAAAGTGGCTTTTGTTGCGTCAATTAGATAATAGGTAAGTAGTAAAGGTTGTTTTTGGCGAGACAGTTTCGTTTCGATGTTGTTTTAGTCAGATTATAGTTTAGTATCTTTGTAGAAAAAGTATTTTTTCATCAGACAGTTGTCTCGACATTAGAGTTCTTTTTTTTGTATACTATAAAAGGTTGTTATCGGTCAGACAATTTAATTTTTAAAAAGGAAAATCCATTTTTTGTGTGTCTAGTAGATTTTAAGTAGAAAAGTTTCTTGTAGGTAAGTCACGATAGTTTATAAGTAGAAAAAATAGTTTTTGATAAGACAAGTATTTTTTAACTATAGATAATGTTGTCTTATTAAATTCGCAGTGTTCGTTTAAGTAGAAAAAATTGTTTTTGATTAGAAAATTTAATTATAAGTAGAAATAATGGTTGTTTTTGCAGAGACAATTTGGTTTTTTTTAAAGAAAAATAGTTTTTGATCAGAAAATTTAATTTTTAAGTAGAAAAAGTGTCTTTTAATGCGTCAAGTAAATTTTCAGATATAGGTAAAGTAATCTATAAATTTAAGTACCAAAATTTCTAAGCGCAGAAAGAGTTCTTGTTTTCTAATTTTCTTAGTAGAAACAGTAGTTGTTTTTGAGCAGATAATTTAGTTTTCAAGTTTTGGTCACACAGTTTAGTCTCTAAGCAGAAAAAGTAGTTTTTCAAAAGTTATTTGTCTTGACATTAATGTTCTTTTTTCTTAGTAGAAAAGGTTATTGTTGGTCAGACAATTTAATTTTTAAAGAGAGGAAAGTCGTATTTTGTGCATCAAGTAGATTTTAAGTATAAAAAGTTGTTTTTTGCAAGACAATTTCTTTTTTTTTTTATACAAAAGTAGTTTTTAGTCAAATAATTAAATTTTTAAGTAGAAAGAGTCGCTTTAAGTGCTCCAAAAAGATTTTAAGTAGTTAAAGCAGTTTTTAAAATTAAGTTTCAAAATTTTTAGTTGGAAATAATAATTTTTTTAAGACAAGTGACTTTTGAGTAGAGAAAGTTCTTACCATTGGTTTTTGTCCAGAAAAACTAATTTAGAAGTAGAGAAGGTGGTTTTTGATTGCTTGGAGTACATTAGAAGTTAGAGAAGGTTGTTTTTGACAAGACAATTTAGTTTTCAAGTATAGATGTTACAAGGGAAAAAGTTCTACTTGAAAAATTGTTTTTTTTTGTGCTTCAAGTAGATTCTGAGTAGAAAAGGTTGTTTTTTACAAGACAATTTAGTTTTTTTTATAGAAATGTAGTTTTTGGTCAAATATTATAATTTTTAAGTAGAAAAAGTCGCTTTAAGTGCACGTCAAGCAGATTTTAAGTAGGGAAAATAGTTTTTAAAATTGAGTTTCAAAATTTGTAAGTAGAAATAGTAATTTCTTAAGACAAAATAATGACTTTTAAGTAGATAAAGTTGTCTTGCAAAGACAGTCCGGTTTTTCTTAGTAGGAACGACTTTTTTTTTATCAGACAATTTAATTTTAAATTATACCTAGATAAATGCTTCATTTGTGCTTCAAGTAAATTCTAAGTAGAAAAATATTTTTTGCTAGTCAGTTTCTTAGTTTTTAAGTAGAAATAATAGTTTTTGTCCAGACAGTTACTTTTTAAGTATATAAAGTTGTTTTTGCAAGGCAGTTTATAAATTTCTAAGTAGAAAAAGTAGTTTTTCGTAAGACAAGTAGTTTCTAAGTAGATATAGTTATCTTAACAAGACTTTAGTTCTTGACTTAGTAAAGAAGGTTTTTTTGGCATAGAAGAGTAGATTTGAAGTAGAAAAGGTCATTTTTAGTAGGACAAGCATATTTTCAGTTAATAAACTTATTTTCACATGGCAAATAGATATTTAAGTAGAAAAAGTAATAATAATAATAAAAAAATATTAATATCAGTTATAAAGAATAATATAAATTGAAGAAGACATAAAAAGAGAAAAAGAAGAGATAAAAAATACCAAACCAGAAGAAACTGTTTCTTCGTTCGCAAATTTTGTGATTAATATCCGAATTGAATTCGACACGCTTGAAAAACTAACTCCCAAACGAGTACGCAGGCGCAAAAGATCATCCGCGCGAATCGCAGAGTAGATTCTGATCTCTCACTGCGCGCCGTCAGCTCTCAGTATTCATTCATTCAAAATGAGAAAAAAAACACTGTCAAAGATTACAATAAAATTCTCTCAAAACCGTCTCCGAAAAATATACATTAAAAAAAAGAAAAATAAATTAAACTCGTCAATTACAAATTCGTTTATCGAAATTATCGCCAGCAATATAGAGATTGGACGCGTAAATTTGAATGAGTTTTTTTTCTCTTGATATGCGCATATATACACACATTGAGAATAATGTCGCGTTTGTTAAGTCGCACCCAGGCAGCCAGCGAGAGAGAGAGAAAGAGAGACTCTCAACCATAACATATATTATAGGAGTCGGGGAACCAATAAGAATTTAATGTCACGTCATCAGCGACCAATCGAATTGCTTCTCAGTGACGACAGATTCTAAAAATAACACGTATATATCTAGGCCGGTTGTAGCCGCGAATTATGCACAGTCGTGCGCCGGCAGCCGACCACGAAGGATTTTTTTTCTCTTAAAAAAAAGTATTTAAATACTATTCTTTCAAATGTATTCGAGTGTTCAATTTTATTTATTTTCTTTACAATTAAAAGGTAGGCGCCAATAAATTACCTTTAAAATTGTCAGCATGTTTTTTGATCAAAATATTATCTATTTTTTCGATTCAAAATTCTTTTTTTCTGCATAAAAGAAAAAAGAATGGAAGACAAAATAAATTTGTGTGTTAAACCCACGGAATTTTATTATGGCAAAATTTTGAAAGTGAATTAGTTTTTTCATTTATTAAAATACTTTTTTTTGAATCGACGAAAGGTGAATTAAAAAAAAATTTGGTGTTACAAGTGCGCGTAATGTAAAGCCACCTGAGTACACACGTTTCAACTTAAAACATCACGTGGTAAAGCACATGGAGTCTTGTCTAAATATTATGTTTATTGACACTTAATATTTTTTTTTCTACTTTCTACTTTATTGTTTTATATGATTTCTTGAATCTGAATTCACTAATTTTAAATCTTTTTCACTAACTTTAATAATTAGCCAGATATATTTAGCCCGTTTTTCAAATTTCTTATGTGATTAACTTTTTTTATGTACAGAAATTAATATTTAAAGTAAATAATAATTTTTTTTTCTACTCACAGTAAATTTCCCACCTTGCTAGTTGCGATTGAGATTAGAAGTCTTCATCTGTTTCTGAAAACAAAAAAAATTGTAAATTAATATTTTAATTGAATAAAGAAACAAATAGTAGAAAACAGTAATCAAATGAAAAGAAGAAATATAATAAAAATGATAATAATGAAAAAAATGAAAATTATAAATTCTATTTTAATTCTATTTTAATAATGATAATAAAATACATTAATAATAATAGTAATAATTAATAATAATAAAAATATATAAAAATAAAATAATAACAATGATTATAATAGTTTTTAACCTCGTTTTTAACAATATATATTTGTTAATTTGATTGTTAATTCATTATAATATATGTTGTGGTATAATGTATCATTATTGTTTATAATTTATTATAATGAATAATAATAATTTAATTTATTGTATGTCCTTATCAAGGAAGGTAACAATTTCTTTATATAATAATAATTATTATTTTTATTACATTTATTTAAAATATTGTTATTATTATTAATAGTATTATTATAATTGTTTTTATTTTATTATTATTATTTTTATCTTTATTATTACTATTTATAATTATTATTTTTTTACATTATTATTATTTTTCTAAGTTTCACAAAGCAAAGAAACTATTTTCAATAAATAATTTCGTAGCAAAAATAATAAAAAAAATTTTTTTAATTGACAAATGCCTGTAGATAAAATATAAATACATTAAAAATATATTAATACTTTATTAGCATAAACATCATTATTATAAATATAATATTTTACTCGACTAGGAATTTTGAAAAAATTATTTATCGAATTTCATTGAAAAGTTTGTTTCTATATAGCGGAACTACTTCGAATCTTATCTGTATGTAGCATTTTTTTCAAATAACACGTTTTTCTTTTTTCAACAATTCATTATTATTATTATTATTTTTATGAAATATTTTTTTCAATAACTTTATACTAGGAGTTGAAATATAATTATTAATTATTGAATTTAATTCTAGTATATATAGGACACATTGAAGGAAAATTTGTTTGTTTATTCACACTAAAATAAATTAGTACTGAAATAATATAATCTAAAATGAAATAGTACTAAAATAAACTTAAATAGAACAGTAATAAAATAAAATAATACTATAATTTCTAAACAATACAAAAATTAAATAATATTAGATTGTGTAAAAAATAAATTTTTCCTAAAAAGGAGTTTTGAGAAAGAAAGAAAAAAACACATTCCACGTGATTTTATTATTAGATCGACTCTTTAAAAGAATGAGAAAATCTTAATAATTACGAATTCCATTTTGTGGTGTGAGAAACATTCTCAATTTACTAATGATATATGTTTTCTTGGAGAATTATGATACACTTGACGTATTTTAATTTGAAAGGGACAGTAAATTATTAGTAAGGGAAGTTACTTTGCATATGGCCTATAATAAATATGAATTTATGCCTCCCATAAATTAAAATTCATATGACACATAGTATCTTTTGTACTATTTAGCGTGTTAAATATAATCTTCATTATATGGTATCAGCACAAGTAGTTCGATACAATTTTATTCTATTTTTTTAAACTTTTAATTATGGTTGAAATAATATTTCATATAGTTAATTGGTTGTTAGTATAGTTATAGTTCATGATAGCATTTTATAATTTTTATTATGGTAGTGCTGTTTCAAAGGAATATCTTTTATAAGATACTCTCTAAATTTTGAATTAGTAAAAATTTTTACTAATTCGAAATAGTGACTGACTTTTTGCTTCTGAATTAGTAAAGTTTACTAACAAATAGTCATTTCTACTAATTTATTAGTAAAATGTACTAATTTAAAAGCAAAAAGGCAGTCACTAATTCAAATTAGTAAACATTTTTACTAATTTATATTTAGAGAGTAGTAAACTACTAAAGTACTATCAAACTATTATAATATTACTAACGAACTACTACCATAATTATACTAAACTACTATAAAATTATTATCAAACTTCTACACTCTGCATTTGAAATAATTGAAAATAATAAACTTGATAGTAAAAAGTCAGTCACTGATTGTAATAAACTTACGTAAAATTAACTAACAATTTTTTCTCCAAATTTTAATTAGTAAAAATGTTTACTAATTTAAATTATTAATTGACTTTGTTGCTTTTTAAGTAGTAAATTTGACTAATAAATAGTAATTTCTACTAATTCATTAGTAAAATTTACCAATTCAAAAGAAAAAAGTGTCACTAATTCAAATTAGCAATAACATTTTTACTAATTCAAATTTAGACAGTTAGTAATTAAGTTTTTTAGTCAAATTTAACTATTTTCGTAGTAATTTATTTACTAATAATTAGTTCTTTCTTACTAGTTGCTAAAGCAAAAAGTCAACTACCATTTTACTAACAATTAGTTATTTTTAACAATTTCAGATTTAAAGAGTACGAAGCTACTATTAAAGTACTATTAAACTACTATTAAATTAGTAACAAGGGAGTTTTTAATTTTAAATAGGGGATTAAGTTTAAAAAAGGATATTTTTCAAAATTATGAGTAAAAACTATTGTATTATATACCGTACATCGTTTACTCTCAAGATTTTTTACTTTTTTTTATCTTAATTGCAGCTTTTTTAAATCAATCTTCAATTTCTCTAAACTTTGGATAAAAAATTTTTTAAGACTTCTACTTTTGTTTTAAAATTCCATGAATTTTACTATACCCGCAGTAAATTTCTGTAAAATAAAATAAAATTTAACGTTATTTAGGAAATAAAAATTTTTAATATTAAATTTTACTATCTTTAGAGAAAATTTTACTAATTCCGAAGTAATTTTTACTGAAATTTACTGCGGATATAGTGAAATTCATGGAATTTTAAAACAAAAGTAAATGTTTAACAAAATTTTTGAACATTTTGACTACATACCATTCAATGTAAATTTCACTGATTCAAATTAAGAGGGAAAGAAAATTTAAAAAAATGTTATGTATAAGAATTAATTATGGAATTAGTTAGTTCTAGAATTAGTAAAATTTGCTATATTAAAAATCATTAGTTTCTGGGTAAATTTTATATCATCGGAAGAAAATATGTAGTAAATATTTAGTAAAATATTCTATCAGCGTAGTAAAATTTATTTTTGAAATAGTAAAAGTTGATAGAAATTTCAATCAATTTGTGTTTTACTTTATAGTAGAAATAGTAGAAATTATTTGATATTTGTTCTGTTCATTTGTGATATTTTTTATCAGTTTTCGAAGTCTGCAAATTTTCTAATTTTTGAATCAAAATTTTTGTTAGAACGCTTTCACTATTTTCTTCAAAGAAATTTTCTTCAGAAGTAGTAAAATTTACTCTGAAAATAATAATTTTCAATAACAAATTGTACTACGTTTGAAGAAAATTTAAAGTTTTTATACAAAAAAATGACAATTTTTAAGTTTTTCATTAAGAAAAAGGGGAAAAGGGGAGAAAATGCATGGTCTTAGGATTTTAGAGGATTATATTAATTTAAGAGGATAAAAAGAAGAAAAAAAAGGGATAAAGTGAAAGAGAGGACTAATAACAATGATAGTTTCAATTTTAGTTACACTCACTGATAGTTTCAATCAGTTGTACTAAAGTAAACAAATATTGATGGTGGTCATTTTTCTCACCAATAACCCTTCGTCATTTCGATTAATAATCCAACAATTCACATAAATTTTACTAATAAATAAATTATAATAAATATTCTCAGCTTTTCTAATCATTTTTATATAATCCATTTGGTTGTTGTTGTTGTTACCTATTTGGTATAGTCAACGACCAAATAAATTAGTTTAATTATAAATAATACCTGCAATTATTGTTTTACTACCCTGAAATAATTCTACAGTCAGTTATACAACATTAAAGATTTACAACCGTTGCTACTTTTAATTATACATGGACAATTTCCATCTCATTTTTTCCTCTTTTATTAAAATGAAATTAATTAACGTAGCATAGGTAAATTAAACTAAATTAAAATTTCAAGTCCTCTAGTGGTCTCAGTTGCTTTTAAAATTTAATTATTCCTAATTACTGTTTCGGCAGAGAAGAACATAGACACGCATTTCTTCAAACATTTTCGAGTGTTGTGTTATGTTCTGTACATATGATTATTGTTCTGTAGACACAACTCATCAGACAGAGTCATCAATCAAATATCTTTCTTTTTTTGTTTTTATAGCAGATACACAAAAAAGTGCCAGGTAGTTTTAGAAAAGCGTGTGCGTATACTTTTATTCGCGGTGTCCTTCGGATTCATTTATTCGAAGCTTCGTAAATCACAACTCGATGTTCCTTTTTTTCCTTTACTATTATTATATAGCTTCTATTCGGCAAACGAAAATAACTTTGGTAAATATATAATATCTTTCGTTTCGCACGTCAAGTTATCGCTCGCTCTTCTGATGGGGTTCATTCTGCGGAGAAATTTTTTTTATCTTTTTTTCCAATTTTGTATAGTAATGTTTATTATAGGAGGAACAAAAAGAATTTTCTATTAATAATGTCTAATTATTAATAGTATCTATTAATATTTTCTAATTATTAATAGATCGCTGTTAATTGTTTCTTAGTTGCTTCTAGTTTACACAAAGAACATTATTAATTTAATTTTGTTTTCGAGAGGACTATGCAGCTTAATTGTTTCTTAGTTGCTTCTAGTTCACACAAAGAACATTAGTAATTTAATTTTGTCTTCGAGAGAACTATGCAGCTTCGGAGACTTTGTTTACTCCATTGATTATAATTACTGTTGATTATAACTATCATTGACTATGACTACCATTGATTATAACTACCATTGGTTATAACTATACTATTGATTTTTGTAACATTATAACTCGTATTGATTAAAACTATTGCTAACTATAAAAATAATTAGTTGAAACCAACATCTACTGTAAATACTATCGATTATTTTTACTATAATATCAAATAATTTTCAATTATTTTAATTTAACGGATAGAAAAAAAAGATGCTAGACGATACAATCAATATGCTACTGGAATACCATCCGAAATGG